TTCCTATATCTTAGGTATATATCTTTATTATAAAGTATTACTTTTATATTAAAGTAGCTTCTTTTTAAGGCTTACCTTTCTTTTATTATAATTTTCTATATAATAATAATAAATTATTATTGAAGAGTAATAAATCTATCCTTTTTAGGGATAAAATAAATATTAGCTATATTAACCCCTTTATTCTATCTATAGATCTTATATTAATAGGTTTATAAGTAAGGTAAGGCTTATTATTAAGTCCTTATAGCTATATAAGAAAATAATTATTCTCTTATTTACTCTAGATATATATATTATAATAGTAATCCTTATAGGAGATCTATGAGATTTCTTTATATTAGGGATATATTAATTAGGTATATTTATTATTATATATATTATAATATAGTCCTTATTATAAGTTTATAGCTATCTCCTTATAATATACTTAGATAGGGATATCTTTTAGATTTAAGTTCTTTTTATTTTTTTATTTTATTAACCTAGAGGTTTTTAATTTCCTTTAAATAATCCTAAGGATTTATTTTTATTATTTCTTAATTTTATAGTTATTTTATTTATACTTATATATTACCTTATATAAGTCTTTATTATATTATACTCTTATAATATTAATAGAGTTATATTAATAAGAAATTTAATATCTTTTTATCTTATATTATAAATATAATTTATTATTAAGCTAATATAATAAGGGAATTAAGAAATAATTTTATTTTTATTTTTTCTTTTTATACTCCTTATATTAGTAATATTAATATAATATCTATAAGATACTAAGGTATTCTTTATATATTAAGTAAGTTTATATATTATCTTATATATTAAATAATACTTCTAGGTATTATAGGTTCTTAATTATTATCTAATAGTATATATAGATATATATATTTTATATATTAGTAGTATTTATATATTCCCTTACGGTCTAAATATATTATTCCTATAATATATTCTAATATTAGTTTCCTTATTTATTATAGAGTTATAAGTAATATTCTTCCCTCTATAAATTATTATTTACCTTAGGGTTTTATTAATTTTAAATCTAGGCTATTATTAATTATTACTAGGCTTTAGCTCTAGTGCTATAATTAAAATTATTATAATATTACTTAATTTATCTAGTTACTATAATAGTCTTAGTATTAGGGTCTTTATTAGGTTTATTAATTAATTTAGGTAATAGTTTTTATTTTAATTTATTTATAAGATAGAATTATTTTATCTTTAAGGGTTTTATTATAATATATTATAGTTTTAGCTAGGGATAATTATTATACTTAAATTATTCCTTAGTGAGGTATACCTAGTTATAAGGTATAATAATTTCTCTTAATTTTAGACCGGTATTATTATACTTAGTCTAAGCTATACTAAGTATTTTAATTATCTAGAAAGCTATTTATAATTCGCTATTAGCTTATATAAATCTTATTTATTTCTTACCTTCGGGGAATTATTATTATTATAGCTAATAGCGACTTTCCTTAATATTATATTACTTCTTATAATAGATCTTCTTAATATAGTTTATCTTATAATAATATTAATATTTAAGTCTATAGTAATCGCGCTTTTTTTATTAAGTTATTTTAAGTTTTATAGGTCTTATATAGGTTCTATAGGATATATTAATTTATTAGGGTTATCCCTAGTTAATATTAAATTAAGGTTTTTAATAGTTTTCTTTATTATTACGGGGGTTCTAGAGTTTCTTCTAAGAGAATTATTAATTATTAATCTTAATTACTCGGCTAATATAATTAATAAGGTTATTAGGTTAGTCTTCCTTATAGAGTTTAGCCTATACCTCCCTCTTAAGCCTATTAAAGAAAAAGGATATTAGGGGTTCTTAGTCCTAATTAAGCTTTAAGGCGAGCTAGAAATACTTAGTGCTATATTTTAATATAGAGCGAGTTTATTAGAGTATCTTAATTTCTCTTTCTGCCTAGGCTTTTTTATTTATTATTCTAAAAGCTTATTAAAGCATAGCTTTAAAAGTCTTAAAGCTAGAATAGAGGTTTATAGTCTAAGGCGAATATTTAATAGATAATTTAGTAAGGTATTCCTTTATAATAGGTTTAAATTAGGCTATAATATATTTAATAAGGCGCCTAGCGGCATATTAGACTTTACTAAATATTATAATAAACTAAGTAAGATAATAGAGTATAAATATATATAATTATATAAGAAATATTAATAACTTATATATAATATTATTAAACTTCTCTAGTTATTCTAGCTTTAGGATTTCTCTAATATCTTTACCCTTTATAATAGTAATTACTATATTATTAATATTTTAGATATTCTTATAGTATTATTAATTTTAAACTTACTAAGTAATAGCTATATAATTAATAAGTCCTCTAAGTTCCTTTATTTTAATAATTATAATAATAACCTAGGCATAGAGTTATTTAATTTCTTTATTATTATTATTTATTTCTTTATTATTATTAGGGTTAACTTAAATTAATATAATAAGGGTAAATAGGTAATTAATAGGTAGAACCTATTAATAATTATTACTAAGAGTAACCTAAGTAGCTATTATATTTAATATTATTTAAGGTAATATAAGTAATCCTCTAAATAAGAGCTATTAATATATAATAAGAGGGTATTTCCTAAGGGATAAATTAGTTATATTAGTTTATATTAATAGAGGAGAATATTATATAACCTTAAAGGGTAATATAATATTATATCTAGTAATATACTTAAGGTATTAAGTATAATTAAGTTATATTAATAGCTAAGGTAGCTATTATATAAGAAAGTATAATAAGTATATCTTATATACTTATATAGTTTAGGTGCCTTATAATTTAAACTATGAGGCTTATAATCCAAAGAGTGAGGCTTATGTTTAGAATAGTAAGTGACCTTATAATAGGTTAGTATAGAAGGGAATTTGTGGGGCCTTGTTCCCACGTGATGTGAGGCCTGTTGGGTCGTAATACCGTGGCGCAGTGGCTAAGGTGCCCATAGCTGTGACTGCCGTCATAGATAGCTTCTAAAACTAAGAGACTAAAAAAAATAGCTTTTTAAAGGGGAAATTAAAGCCCTATAATATATTATAATTTTATAGCTATATTATAATTTTATAGCTAACCTAGCTTACTAGGTTAGCTCGCCTAGGTCGCTAGACCTATATAAGCTAATAGGTAATATTAATATAATAATGTTTTTTAAACCTTCTCTTATAATAATAAATGAATTATACCTAGCTATATTATTATAAAAGGTCTAGCCTCTCATGGGTATTTTAGCTGCTCTTACCTCCGTTATGCATGATATAGTTAGAATCTCGTGGTAAAGCTCTACAGCAACATTCGTTGGTTTAGATCGAAGAGGGCCAGGAGTATAGGATGGCCAGATATTATCTGTCAAGCTAGACTGATGTAGCGATACGATTCGTGCCCCCACCGTCTACCAACTGATGTCAGGAGACCTTGAGTCGTGAAGGCGTGCCTCACAGCGTCGATGGTTCTCCTGACGCTCCCCAGATTCTCCATCTCTTGCATGCTAGCCAGTCGGTCCAGAACAAACCGCCTTTGCTCTTCATTCTCCAAGCTCGCGTTGCCGAGCACAAATAGAGGCCACAGTAGAGTAGACATGTCTGGAAGCATAGAGATCAACTTGACCATGGATGATACGAGCTGCTTTTTGGATCCTGCATGAAGCAGAATCTTCCCGTCATGCCGGATGTCCACATAATCTTCTGATGATGTGTGAGAGGAGAAGGAGTTCCATCCACTGTAGTGCGCATTTTCTCTTTGCTCCCGCATACTTGAACTCGGTTCGGAATTTGTGAACACCCATGGCTCTACATCTTCAACATCCCATGTTGTGACGTTGAAAGATGCACAAGTTCTTGCAGAATGGCTCCCGGGCTTCGGGCTGAAATGACCAAGGCGCTCGGTGAGGTAGAGCAAGGCTGCTAGATGTTTGACTCGCGCGACCAATTTGAGGTCTTTTCTCCCCGCTGCGTCTTTCGGGAGCTTCTGCCTTAGCGACAATAGGGCTGTCCCAATGTCGGAGGCCATATTGTCGTATTTCTCAACTTCGCGGGGCGTCAGAGCCCGGACTTTCAGTATCTATGAGCAATTTGTGTTAGAATATGTATTAAACTAACCGGCCTGTTCGGAATTACCTTTTCTTTCTCGGATCCAAGGATCGAGATTCTGTTGATTAAGGTCATGAGACCACGGGAGCAGCCCATGAGCATGTCGAACTGGTGAAAATCAGTATTGGCTAACGACAGCGAGAGCAGAGGCCACAATACTTCTTCTAGGTTTTCGCAGTCGGGCCATAACTGGGATTTCTCGTCTTCTGGCCAGAACTCGGATGCTGTACGGCTCATAATCTGATGGGCAACAAAATACATTCTGAAGAATTTCCATAGATCAGATGCGCTGTTGGTCGTGCTGTCGTCGACAAGTCTCAAGCCAGCCCGAAGGTGAACAACCCATGACAAAGAGCAGTCATCTGATATCTATGTCCTTGCTCAATACGAGGTGTGCATGAAATACAGGTAGCGTAAAGGTAGATCGACGCACCTCTTGAAAGCACAACATCAGGATGGATGCGACTGTGGCATCACCATGCATCCCAGTAGATATCTCTTGCCGGATGCCCTGCAACGCCAAGTCTTTGTAGCGACAGGTTTGCTCCGTGAACTGGTCTTCGCCGAGGAGACATCGTTGGCTTCCAGCAACGGCTAGTAGCGCGTGACGAAGGGTGATGGAGACAAAGCAAAGAGGGACCAAGAGTGATACATAGGGGTTGTGCAGCTCGCTCAAAGTGCAGGCCGGGCCGATACCGCGGATGAAGTAGTCGAGGAGGTAACTCTCAGTGTCTGGAAAGGATTGAAGAGGGTGGTTGAAGATGGGGCTCGTGGGCGTTGGGGTCCAGGAAGCAGTGACAGAGCCGCTGCGACGAGACTGAGGGCGTGGCGCGCTGTGGGTATCGTGGAAGTCGGCGTTGCCCAAATTTAGAAAGACCCACCGATTAACATACTGGTCAAGAGGCACCCCTTGGAAGATGGCTCTGTTGATTGGCTTGCGCATGGTGCCGGGTCGTTTCGTCCAAACGCCTTGCCAAGTGACCCAGAGTCAGTCAACGGTGTTGAAGAGAAAGCAAGATACGGCGAGGAAGAGAGGAAGGAAATATGGATACCTTCACGGCCAAATTTGATGCCTCGCTGAATGGCATCCTCGCGAAAGACCAGTTTCAACCCGCGCACGCATTCGACGTTGAGGCGCTGGCAACGCCCGCATCGGGGCAGTTCCTCGGAGCAGCGGATGTGCTGCTCTGGCCGAAGACAGTCAGCAGGTTGTCCATCATTTCAAGGATGGCTAGAAGTATCTGACGAAGGATTAATTGTTGCGTTACATACCTTTGCACTTGGCGCACCCAGATCGCTTGCGGACTCCTTGTCTTTGGCAAGACATCATGTGGGATTGATCACAGCTCAATCTTTGTTCTGTACATGCGAGGTGACGGATCTCAACAATGCGGGGAGATTATTGGGTCCCTGGTCCAAGTTCCTTGCTCCATGCCTACCTAGATAAGAAGGTCGGGGTCACCTGACTGATGCTTGCAGGGATAGGTAGGTACTGGGAAGTAACACGGTAACCCTATAACCGCTTATACCCCTTATTAACCGTTATGTTATTACGTGCAGGCGGCCGCGTTAAATGAAATTGGAAAATAAGAGTACGTACGTAAGGAAAGCACGGCAGTCTGGTACATAACCTTGCTGGGGCTCAATCGGTTGTGAATGCGCTCTCGTGCCAAGGGCTTATGTTTCCCCACCTCTCTGAGGCCATAAAAGCCACTTTCTTACAAGCGGAGGTTCAAGGTGCCGCAGCCCAGGTGTATTTTTGAATAACCACAATAAAAGGCATACTCTGAGGTAGAACCCGTGGGTGCTTAAGCCATCGATCTGGGCTGTTCACTTCAAACTCGATGTTTGTGTTGACAGATTTCTACGCGAGACGACATGTTAGGGGTACGCTAGTATGGGCAAGGGCAAGCAAAGGGCTTCGCATATGCATCGCATCTTCTCATAACTTGGAATTCATGGCTTGTGCCGAAAATTCTGAGCGTATTCTGATCTGGTGGGTCGATTTAAGAAGGGATGAATACCTAGCTTGGAATGTCACAGGAGAATGCAATGTCAATATGGAAGCCTTCATTCTAACCATATGTCAAGATGATGAGCTTATTTCAAATTTGATACTTTACCAGCTATCAAGGTCTTCTGGCTCAGCTTATCCCACAAAGGACCTGGATCGGCGATAACAAAGAACCGGCTAGACACAGACGGTTTGTACGATCCACCTTGGAAACCACCCGTGTCCTTGTTCTTCATGCATGTAGTAACAGTAAACGAATTTAATTGAATCTCTTCAAGTTAAATCTTCGACTTGGTCACTTGGCATAAAGCATTGTGCCAAACTTGAACGGCCAAGAGCGAAACTGACACATGCAGCTCGAGACCTCTGTTGCATTGGAAGGGTCTGTGAATAGCGACTCAATCGCATTAACCGAACCAGGCAACCATACAGCAAGCGAAATAAATGAGGCCACTATTAACCAGATTTCTCCTTGCAACGTCTCACCTCAAGTTTGACTCATCCATCATCTCAACAACCACCAAGATGGAGGCACAACTTCACAGCCCGGACCTCTACACCATTGGCTGGATCGCGCCTCTCTCGATCGAGCTCGCAGCGGCAAAAGCACTTCTAGATGAACGTCACGAAGCACCCGAAGAGTTCACTCAGTCTGAATCAGACACTAACTCGTACACTTGGGGCAAGGTTGGAGTACACAACATTGTGATCGCCTCACTGCCGGCCGGGGTAATCGGGACAGTCTCCGCGGCAACGACAGCCTCAAACCTGGTTTCCTCCTTGCCTCATATCCGGATCGGCCTTTTAGTAGGCATCGGTGGTGGAATTCCTCGTCCAGATCGGGGTCGGGATATTCGGCTTGGTGATGTTGTCATCAGCCAGCCCGATGGCTCCACTGGAGGTGTGATCCAGTGTGACCTGGGCAAAGCGGGTTTAGATGGAACTTGGGAGAGAAGAGGCTCTCTTAATATGCCCCCTTTGGTTCTCCTTCACGTGTTGGCGAGCCTCAAGTCTGAGCATGAAATTGCTCCATCCAGAGTTCCTGATTTCCTCGGCGCCATGTTGGCAGCCAATCCTTGCATGGCAGCGCCAAACAACCATGCACCCGGCTACATCCATCAAGGCATCGGACACGACAGACTGTTTAATTCAACATACAGTCACGTTGGTGGCGACTCGTGCGATCGGTGTGATGAATCGTGTCTGGTGGAACGGAAGGCGCGAGGGACGACTGATCCCGCCTTCCACTACGGCATCATCGCTTCTGGGAACATTCTCGTCAAGGAAGCCACGACTCGGGATAAAGTTGCCGCGACCGCCGGGGAGGATTGCTTGTGTTTCGAAATGGAGGCGGCTGGTCTGATGAATCATTTCCCTTGCATCGTCATACGCGGCATCTCGGATTACGCCGACTCGCACAAGAATGATCGATGGCAACGATACGCCGCTGCAACGGCAGCAGCTTACGCAAAGGAACTCGTTAGTTTCATCCCGGTCAGGACTCTCCAGGTCACCAAGCGAGTGGCCGATGTACTGCGGTCGAGTTAGTTCCCACACAGCACCCATAGAGCAATTGACATCAGTACTGATAAGTTCCAAGTTGGTGAAGATCTCAACCGGATTCAATCCGACACAAGCCGTACCGAGCAAGCAGTGCAAAGCATACGGTATGATTCTCCATTTTACGTCAGCCCTTTGCTTACGCTTAGCTACCATCAGAACGAATGTCCTCAATCTTGACCAGCAAATCGTCCTAGCCCGCCTTCCTATTGCTGCCGGGGCCGCCTTCGACTCTCACGCAGAGGAAAACAACCCAACTTGTCTGCCAGATACTAGAGTTGCCTTGATTGATGAGATATTGAAGTGGGCTCAAGACCCCTCCGCCAAGTCCATCTTCTGGCTGAGCGACATGGCTGGGACCGGAAAGTCGACAGTGTCTCGCACTATAGCTCAGTCCCTTGCATCAACGAACAAGCTAGGGGCTAGCTTTTTCTTCAAGAGGTCCGAAGGTGATCGAGGAACAACGTCACGGCTTTTCACGACCATTGCCACTCAGCTGGCTACGAGAATCCCTGATCTAGCCAAGCACATCAAAGAGGCGATTGAGGAAGATTCCACAATAAGTGATAAGGGACTACAGAGACAGTTTGATACACTTATACTCGAGCCGCTATCCGAAGTCTTATCATCATCTGGAAGTGTCGAGACTTTCGTCTTGGTAATCGACGCTTGGGATGAATGCGGGGTGGAGGACAAACAAGTCAAGCTCATCCTTGATCTCTTTTCCCAAGCTCAAAGCAAAGGCCTGAAGGTATTTCTCACAAGCCGACCAGAGCTTCCAATTCGGATTGGATTTCACCGAATCGAGGGTGAATACCAGCACGTCATCCTCCATGAAATCGCCAGCAACGTAGTTGAGCGCGATCTAACCGTCTTCTTCTCACATGAGCTGACAGCAATCCGGTCAAACTACAACGCTTCTGTGCCGAAGGGGGAACGTCTGGCCGCCAACTGGCCAGGCAGCTCGTCTATCGAGCGCCTTGTCAAGATGGCAAGCCCCCTCTTCATTGAAGCTGCCACCGTTTGTCGTTTGCTTGGTGATCAGAGACATGGGGGGGTCCTGATCGGCTGCTTCAGGATATCCTATGCTACAAAAGAACAAACCAAGAAACACGGTTGAACGCGACTTACTTGCCTATCCTGCATATCCTGTTTACTGGGGTATCTGAGCGACGGAGGGTGCAGAACTTGGAACGTTTCAAATTGATTGTCGGCTCAATCATCATTGTCGCCACTCCTCTCTCGACTAAGGCCCTATCAAGGATTCTCTCCCTTCCTCGAAACATTATCGACTGCCAGCTGAGTCTGCTACATTCTGTCTTGAGCGTCCCTCCATCAGCCGACGCGCCCGTCAAGCTTCTCCATTTGTCCTTCCGCGACTTTTTGGTTGACCCTGAACAACATGGACAAGATGACTTCTGGATCGATGAGACTACAGTACATGCCAAGATGGTAGCTGGATGTATGAATGTCATGCGCGAGTTTCTCAAGGAAGACATGTGTAGTCTGCGATCGTCAAAGGGGGAGGGCTCACGCATTGACCTTGAAGAGATCGGCTCCTACTTGACGGAGGATGTCCAATATGCTTGCCTTCATTGGAGTTTCCACTTTCAAGGTGCTCGAGGCAAATATCCCGCCGGTGAAATATCCGCATTCCTTGACGACCATTTCCTGCATTGGGCCGAGGCCATTGCCTTGCTGGAGCGGACCATGGATGGCATCTCCGCTTTGCATCGCATTTTAACTACACTTCAGGTACAGAATTCATTAAAACAGCTTCAAGACTTCAACATGGCAGCTGAATTTTACTAGACCCAGGAGAATGACTCTCTGTGCAACTTCTTACGAGACGCTGTTGAAATTCTGAAGACTAAGGCCCACATTCTAGACAAGTCACCCCTTCAGATATACTCTTCTTTTATGCTTTTCAGTCCCCAAAGCAATATCATTAGGCAAAAGTTCATTCGGGCATTGCCGAACTGGGTATCTCTTTGCCCACGATATGAAATCGACTGGGGTCAATTGAACCAGATACTTGGAGGTGAGGTCCACTTAAGCTGTGTGGTCTTGTCGCATGATTCAACTCTCTTGGCTTCTGGCTCAGTCTATGGAATTATTCATATCCGACGCGTTGACACCGGCGAGCTCATCCATACATTCAAAGCACACGACATGTGCGTCAGCAACATGTCGTTCTCACAGGACTCCAAGCTTCTCGCATCGTCTGGCTGGGATTCCGGCGAATCTAAGGGTTGGAATGGCCCTGAAATCCGCGTTTGGAGCACTACAACCGGTGAATGTACCAGGCAGATTGAGCATTCTTCCCCAACCGATCTCCCAAACGATCCCCCATTCAGGGCTTATAGCTGTCGTAAAAGTTGGCTGGCTTTCTCAAACGACTTCAAACTCATTGCGGTTTATAACTTTGAACACTGGAACATGCCCTTCCTGTCAGTGTTTCGATGCTGCAACAACTCGGGCGAATGCGCTTGGGAGGTCACTCAGCGTGACTGGCATCAGTCTGAGAACTATCGGGCCGCGTTTTCAGCAGACGCGACATTCTTTGCAGCGGCTTCGGGAAAAGAGATACGAGGATGGCGCATCGGACACAATGGGCCAACACAATCTCTCACAGTACGCGGTGATGGTTATAAAGCGATAGCACTATCACACAATGGTGCACTTCTGTTCGCAACCTCCCATGGTGCTTTGCAAGGTTGGTACACGGACACAGGCGAGCTAATCACCAAAATTTCCTTGCCTGAATTGTGTACTGATTTCTTGACCATCTCAGCTGACTCAACACTCTTGGCTTGCTGTGGTCAAGACGATGTCTATCTTTGGCACGCCACCAAAGGCGAGGGATATCAAGATGTCATGCGACAGGGGGAGCGGATGGCTGTCTTATCACACGACTCATCGCTTATCATATCGCGCTGCGGCGTCAGTGACCTCTCTGTATGGCGCACGAATGTCTTTGAGTCCGACCAGCGGCTCGACGATGAGACCCAATCCTTTCAAGCGATAGAACAATCCCCAAACTTGGAGCAAATTGCATTTTGCGATGGTTCCCAAGTTCAACTCTTCCGATGCGGCACGGGCGAGTTCATCCGAGATCTCCAATGTGACGGGTATAGTTTAGACGACATTGCCTTCTCTCGAGACTCCTCTCTACTTGCGGCAAGATCGACGTTATTGAAATGTGTTTTTATATGGTCAACCGCCACGGGCCGCCGGAAGAAACCGCTCAGGAACTTCGGTCGATTATCTGGCCCGGCGAGTTTCTCTCCTGACTCAAATCTCATCGCCCTTGTTGTCGATCCCGGGACCGTTAGCATCATGCACATTGCCCAGTGCGCACGCCTCCATACCCTGACTGTGAGAAGGTCATCTCGTCAGCCACCGAAACCACTTTGCGATTGTTCGGCAATCATCTCCCCGGCCTCACTGTTTGTGGCGGCAGTTTTCTTTCACCGTACCATAGAGATATGGTGCCTCGAGACGGGGAGTCATATCCAGACTCTGGAATGCGGCTATTCACCCATGGGTATGCCGATGGCCTTTTCTCATGACCCAACAAAATTTTTATATCCCGTCGGTGATGGGTGCCTTGGGGTCAAACAAATCAATGCACTTGGAGACTTTGACGGCTTGGGAGATTCATCGGCGAGGCTCAACGAGCCCCCCATAATGCTATCTTCTGTTGGAAGAAGCTGCATCTTTCATTCCGGAAACAAGATTTGGAATCAAGACATGATCGTGCAGCTTCCTGACGGTAGTGTCTTTACTGACATCAAAACGCTCCGCGTGGACTTCTGGTATCCGGCCGAGGGCTGGAATTTCGGCCCAAACCGAGATTGGATCACGTGGAACGGGCAGAAAATGATCTGGTTACCATTTGATTGCCGTCCGGTTTCATTCCTTATTAACGGGTCAATCTTTGCCTATGCCACCAAGTCTGGGCACGTGGTGGTGTTTAGATTGAAGCCGTACGAGAAGGCGCGCTGACGGATGCCGCCAGTTTGACTTCTACAACTGGGCATGGCGTCTATGAAGAGGGTAAGGAGTTCTTGGGTGGGAAAATGAAGATGAATGTGAGGAGAAGTGACTCCGGCTATGGTTGGAAAGTGTCGCCGAGAGTTGCTATGAGAGTGAGTGGGTTTGTGTGTCTCCACATGGTGCTAAATTGTGTACTGGGAAGTTGGGTGCGAGACTCAACACCATGGAGCTCATTATGGCCATCTACGTAGAAAGAACATCATCTCAACTTTGAGAGAATTAAGACTATATAAAATGACATCCTATCACCTAAATCTCAGGGACTGGACCTGTAACTCGACTTTCACCCCTTAATCTAACCCCTCTGCTCGACACTAGACATGGAACACTCTGCCACCTTCCCCGATCTCGCAGGCAAAGTTGCCATAGTCACCGGCATCGGTCAAATCGGCACTCGAGAACTCTGGGGCAATGGCGCAGCCACGGCTCGTCTCCTCTGCCATAATGGTGTCAAGGTCTTTGGCTGCGATATTGATATTGATGCTGCCGCCTATACAAAGACTAGGATAGAGGCTGAGGGAGGTACCGTCGAGATCACACAAGCTGATGTGACCTCGTCTGTGGACGTGAAGAGGCTCGTGTCTGAATGCATGGCCAAGTTTGGTCGGGTGGACATCTTAGTTAACAATGTTGGGCGTTCAGAACCTGGCGGTCCGGCCGAGATGGAGGAAAATATCTGGTCAGTGATATACATGCAACTTCTTGACACTGTGCTGACTAGTATAGGGATGCGCAAGCGGAGCTCAACATAAAATCCGTCTATCTAACCTGTCATGAGGTTCTCCCTATAATGGAGGCACAAAAGACTGGCGCCGTTGTCAACGTGGCCTCAATTGCAGGCATGCGATACATTGGAAAGCCCCAAGTGGCGTACTCGACCTTCAAAGCTGGAGTCATGCAATTCACTAAAGCGACTGCGGTCATTTACGCTGCCAAGGGCGTTCGTCTCAACACTGTCGTGCCGGGACTCATGAACACGCCACTCATGGTGTACCTAGCAAACAAGTACGCCGGCGGTGATCTGGAAGGGTTTTCGGGGAAGCGAGATAAGGCAGTTCCTATGGGGAAACAGGGCGATAGTTCGGATGTGGCGAATGCTATTGTCTTCTTGGCTTCGGGGAGTGCCAAGTATATCACTGGACAAGAGTTGGTGGTGGACGGTGGTATCACGTCGTCCACTGGTTGACCGAGTCTGATCAGGATATTTGGGGTCGTCATGACAGGGGATAAATTCATGGTTGTACCCTACATTAGGTACGCGGTGTTGCGCCCTCGGGCCTGAAATATGATATCATTTGCTGTGAGTGTTCTTATATACAATTAGAGACAATCAGATGAGGTTAGAATGGATAGATCCGATAAAAGCCCCGGCTGTTTATGTCTATGTTAGTCCAAGAGTGGATAACACCTTGGGTTCGGAGTTTGCTCGGAGAATGAAGGATCAATGGGATGAGCTATACCTCAACTCCATGTCAAAGTGAAAAGCATGTTAGTAAATTCACATTACATCCAGTATAGAAACCTTGTAATAATCTAAAATGGCTGAAACCGACTCACCTGAGAACGCGCCTAGTCTTAAAACGGTAAAATAAGTGAAGAGAGTGGAGGGCATCACGAGAGAGGGGGTCTTCCGCCTTGTCACCGCTTTCCTGGGTCGCATGCCGAGGCATGTAATTCCCACGCGATTCTTCAGTAACTTCAGCTCGTTTTACTTCTTCAGTGGACCGAATTTCTTACCCTGCGGCTTTCCCACATACCAAAGCAGGTTTAATACTGATTTCTAACACTTGCCAACAGATCTTAGGCACCAAACCCCGAGTAACATGGCAAGCTCGCATAAAATCCTTGTGCTCGAATTCGAAGAGCCTCCTGAGGTGATTCGTGCAGCGCATGGAACGCACGGAGATCTTCTAGTTCATTTTGTCTTTGGCGACCTAAAGTCCTGTCCACCGATCGAAACCAAGAAGCACCGGGTTCTCGCAAGCCAAAAATATCCCCATCTATCCGAGATCAGTGCGATCGTGATTACTGGAAGCAGTGAGACATCGGTGAAAAACATGTTCCGAGGAAAAGGGTGCTGACGCCGCCGGCAGAATATTCCGCAGCCGAGAACGACCCCTGGGTTCCATCATTGCTGGGCTATGTCAAGCAAGCATATCAGGCCGAGATTCCCATCGCTGGATTCTGCTACGGTCACCAAATCATCGCGAAAGCTCTGGGTGGACAGGTCACCCTCAGTCCTGGAGGATACGAACTAGGCGTGCAGGAAGTCACTCCATCATCCCAGGGTGTAGAAATTCTGGGGACTAAAACATTGGTTCTGCCTGTTGCTCAAAATCATGCTTGTTCTTTACTAATCCGTCGTAGAACATCCCCCAATTCCATAGCGACTGCGTGTCCAGTCTGCCGCCGGATATCGATAACCTCGCTTCTAGCTCGTTAAGCGAGGTACAGGTCATGTATCAGAAAGGCAGGGTGCTAGGATACCAAGGTCATCCAGAGTTTGATTCATACGTAACACGGTGTCTGGCAGACTTCCTTCTTGAGAATGGGGATATCAGTCAAGAAGTATTTGACTCTCAGGTCAAGAGGGGAAGTGAGCCAAAGGGGGCGGCTGTGTTGTCCAAGCTCGCGCGGGAATTTCTCCTTGGACTAAATTGAGAGGTTGGCACAGCACAATTAATCAACTATAAGTGTCGCCGTGTACCTACTTTCCACCCATTTTTGGATTTGAAGTTAGCTCCTACACTCTTCTTGACGTAGTAAAGACTTGAAAATAGAACATGTTTCTTAGGGCATGCGTTAACGGGCTGTAGCAAGATCGTAGTCTGATTTGATGCTGGCCGAGTCACTATCACCAAGGTACCTTGCGTACTTTATTCCCGTCGAGACACATGAACTCGCCCGCATCGTTGAAGGTTGCTGTTCGTCAACTGACTAGTCTGGTGCCCGGGCTGAGCGGACAGAAGTGGAACTCCAATAGTCGGAGACACATTTGAACACCGAACTAACGTGATAGAATGAAAGAAACCCAATTATCTCAACAACGATGATGAATAGCTTGATCATACCTTCGGAAAGATGCCATGTATTGGCCGTTTCCAGTATAGCCAAGTCCAGAGGGAACTTGTATAATGTCACAGCGATGGGTGTGCTCGCACTCGCAAAATTACCTATCCTGGGAATATCCTGCATGCCGATCTCGGGCACCAGAAGACGAAGCCGACAACGCCAATATCGAACTGACTTGCCAGCATTGAAAGACTCGCAGTAAACAAATAGCTGTATATTCGACCCAGGACTTTTCCTTCTATGTCTCTGAACCAGTCAAGACAATGTTAGTCACCACTGCTCTGGCCGCTTTTGGCCCTCTTTTGCAACACTCCTTCACCGGTACCGCCGCAGCCGTTCCGCAGGTTAGCCTCGAAGACTACGGCACCTTCTCCGGAGTTTCCTTATCAAACACCTTGAGCAAGCATAAGCTGCCTCAAGAAGTCGATGCGTGGCTTGGGATTGACTATGCCCAGCAACCTATTGGAAATAGGCGATTTCGTCCTTTGGAAGCTCAGCCCGATGCTTTCGAGGGAGTCAAAAACGCCTCTCAATATGGCCCTGTCTGCCTCCAAGACTTGAAATATCCCTACCCCGACGAACAAAGCGAGGCCTGTTTGTCTTTCAACGTGTACCGCACCAACGGCATACCTCTAAGCGAAAAGCTGCCTACCTTGGTTTGGATTCATGGAGGTGGCTTTGCGTCATTTTCCGCACGCGACATTGACGGCGCTGCTTTTGTTGCATCATCCGCAGAGCCTGTAGTTGTCGTTTCCTTCAACTATCGACTTAATGCCTTTGGATTTCTTCCAAGTGACCTTTTCAAGCGTCAGGGTCTCATGAACCTTGGACTTCAGGACCAACACTTTTTCTTGGAGTTTCTGCAGCGCCATCTGAGCTCTTTCGGTGGAGATCCCGATCAGATCACACTTGGCGGTCTCTCAGCTGGTGCTCACTCTACGGCATTCCACTACTTCCATAATTATGGCGTTGACAAGAACAAGCCACTCTTCGTAAGGGCAATTCTTCAGTCTGGTTCTCCTACTGCTCGAGCGTTTCCTCCTCCCGAGTATCCTCGCTACAAGAGAGACTTTGCGGCTTTGATGGACCACATTGGTTGCTCAGTTGAGGCCGAAGACTCGGAGCAAATGAGCTGTCTCATCAGTGCGCCTGCGGAGAAGATTAGAGAAGTGGCTACAAAGCGATACGAAGATGCCAAGAATCTGTTGGACTGGCCGTGGCAACCGGCACTGGGTGGACTGTTCCTTGAGAAATCTGGGTCAGAGAGCGGCATCGAAAGCACATTTCATCACCTACCCATCATAACGACTTACACTACAGACGAGGGCAAGTATTACACGCCAGGAAACTTGCAGACCAACGACGACTTTATCCAGTTCTGGCATCGCATGAGCCCCAATCTCAACGTCACCGATCTCGCCATCTTAAACGAGCTCTACCCAGACCCAGTGACACATCCCGATTCTCCCTGGGCCATGTCTCCAAACAGCACACAGTACAACCGAATCTCAGCTTCGTGGTCTGACATGGCCTACATCTGCCCCAGCCGCGAGACTGCCTCCCGGACATCAGCAGCGGGTGTTCCGACGTGGAGGCTCCGTTTCAACACGCCCGATCATCCCTTGGCAGCACAGTCGTGGCGCGGCATCCCCCATGCCTCCGACTTTGCGTATCTCTGGAACGACCCGGCCGTGCCGTACAGGGATACAGCCCAGATTTACTATAGCTACATGAACAGTTTTGTTCTTACCGGGGACCCGAATCGCCACCGGCGCGAAGGAGCCGTCGAGTGGCCACAGTATGGAGCTCGAGGCGGGAAGCAGATTGTTGTGAACCCGGGAGATTTCACTGTAGTCGAGGTGGACAATGCCCGGCCTTTGCAATGCGCGTTCTGGAACGACCATGAGAGGGCGCCAAGACTCAACAAGTAGTTAAAATAATCTCAGTCAATTAAGTAAGCGGAGGTCAAGTCCCTTATCAGTGCCAGAGGAGGCGTCGGTCCCGAGTGGCCACCGGGAGGGTGGAGCCGAAACCACTCAGCCCCGATGAGATTACCAGCTAAAGTGCCGGAGTGTGCAGGGAAGCTTAATATCTCTGTCATGTGGTTGGTCCCACTGACAGCTCGAGATCTGGGGTAATCTGGGGAACTCTGCGGAGAGCTTGGCGAACTCCTGAGTACATATTCTGCCGTGTCCTTTGAGGAGGGAAGAGATAGATTCTTGCCTTCGCAAGTCTAACAAGCTACGATCATTCATCATGGTTTCTTGGAAAGAAGCGTTTGCCTTGTCTGCGGAGGCTGTTGATGCAGCCACTCCTCCTGGAACTGTTCGTATCCATCGTTCGTACTCCCCACACGTTCAACCGCCCCCTACTGACATACCCAGGCGAACATGAACACACTGACCATGAGATTGCAAACCTCCCACCCTTGACCGATGACCCTCGAGATCCGTTGAACTTTCCAGCTTGGAGAAAGTTCGCCGCCTTGATCGTTGCCGCCCTCTATGGGTTTGTCGCAAACTACACCAGCGGTGTCATCGCACCAGCTTTCCAGCTCTGGGCGCACAACTTCCCTCACGACCCAAGGTCGTATTCCGAATTGACCACCCTTGTCGCCGTAAGCACTCTGATTCGGATTCTGCAGAGATGTGCTAATACCCACAGGTCCATGTCTTGTTCCTCGGCGCAGCCAACATCTGGTGGGTTCCTTTCTCCAACTGGATAGGACGACGCCCCGTGCTTCTTGTTGCTACGCTCCTCATGACGCTTAGCACTCTCTGGTGTGGACTCTCGACGTCGTACAACTCTCTTCTTGCAGCTCGCATCTTTCAGGGCATTGGAGGTGCAGCTGCAGACTCGGTTGCTCCAGCTCTGGTCGGAGATTTATACCCTGTTCACCAGCGAGGAAGGGCGATGGTATGTACAGAAAAGCTACAGATTTTCAGCGTCTTCGAGGCTCACTGAGACCTCAACAGGCACTCTACACCATCATGCTCTGCGCGGGCCCCCTCGCCGGAGGACTTTCCGGAGGCTACATCGTATTCCGTCACGGCTGGAAAGCCCTCTTCTGGGTCAGCTTGGCCCTCTCTGCACTCTGTTGCCTTGGAGTAGCACTCTTTGTCCCCGAGACGCTTTACGAGAGGAGCTTCGCAAGCGAAACGATCACAGCGGAGAATTCTGAGAAGAAAATGGCCCAAGAGGAGCAAGTGGAAGACAAGCAGTCAACTGGCACAAGCCAAGACCACGGAAGCTACAAGCCTTTCACGGTTGCTCAGGCGTTGGGTTTCCAGCGCCCTCGTGGAAGCTTGGCACGACAGTTCTTGCAACCATGGAAAACTCTCGCACTGCCAGGCACATGGGTGGTGATGCTTCACTACGCTGGTCTGGTTGGTGGTATCGTCACCATCTCAACCATCGGCTCGCAGATAATGGCTCAACCGCCTTACCTCTGGGGCGCCAATGCAGGACTTATCAATGTTGGCGCGCTCATTGGAACTGTTATCGGATACCTCTACACTCACATGCTCGCTGATGGAAGCCTGGTTAAGAAAGCAAGCAACAAGCGACATGGCGTAGCAGAAGCCGAGGATCGACTGCCTACACTGTTCTTTCCACTCGCTACTGCAACCTGCGGATTCCTTGTATTTGGATTCTGCGCTCAGTACCCAGGTCCGAAGCAGTGGGTTGGCTTGGAGGTTGGCTATGGAATGCTCTCTTTTGGGCTCATGCAAGTGCCATCTGTAGGATTCAACTATGTAAGCAAACACCCGAGTATACCCTCCAGACGTAAGCTGACATTCATTTTTAGCTCATCGATTCGTATCACTCTCTCGCCGCGGACTGCTTCACCATGGTAACGATCCTGCGGGCTACCATTGCCTTTGCATGGTCTTACTTTGTGGCTGATTGGATCCACGATAGGGGTGCAGCTGAACCGTTTGGTATCTTTGCTATGTTGATGGGCTTGTTTTCACTGTTGACGGTACCTCTCTGGATGTATGGAAAGCGCATGAGGATTGCCACAGCCGCTCGTGTTGAACGGCGGTAGACGGGGAGTGTGTTGATGCCGTTGCCGAATCAGCCCACGAGACTAGTGAATGACAAGACGCCTCTCCGGAGCAATAAACAACATTGAATGGTCCAGAACAAACGCTCACTTGCTTGCTGCCTGTCTCAGGTCCACGTTGCTGAACAGCCAAGCTGTACGTGTACGACACACCTGAGCCGTATCAACCGGTGCCAAGCCGTTAGCACAATGTAACAAAGCTCACCGTATCCTGCTGCGCCTCGCCCCCAAATTGTCGCGCGCAGGGTTTCCATCTCCGCATGTATGCAGTTTGCTTCTGCATGGCATGTCCTGGAAACAGCACGTCTGCCCCTCCTGATGAGAGCTATATAAAGCCAAAACATGAACCTCCTGGAGATGAAGGAGGAGGCCTCCCGAAGCTCGTGTGCTTCCCGCCCTATCCTGGACCTCCTCCTCGCGCTTGGTCTCTCGGTGGGCCGTCATGGCCGTTGAAGATGCGAAGGGACCAGTCCGGTGCCGTCGTGCCGACCCGTAGGCCATGCGCCAAGGCGGGTCCCCCCCTCGCGAAGCAAAGCGCGCGGTTCAGAAGGAGGGACAGCTTGACAGTTCAGTGAGGGGGTCCTGTGTGGGCTTACATACAGTGCTTACTGCATAGCATCGTGGCAGCTTCACCAACGGCACAAGACGGTTGAGTCGGGCTTGGCTGCTTGGACTTGATGAGGGGTGATGTCCTCGTCCTGTGCAAGTCCATGCGTGAGGCCTCGCGCGGGTGCAGGAATGCTTGTCACTGAGTCACTGTCACTGATGGGGATATAAACCCTCTCCTCCTCCAGGTTGCAGCTCGATATTCTCAACCTTGCACAACAACAACAACCTCTTCTTCTTCTCTAATCACCAACCTTTTCAACCGCAACAATGGTCAACTTCCACCTTAGCTCCGAGGACATTGAGCTCGAGGACGGTCATATCCTCGTCGCCAAGTGCGGCAACGGAGAGGGCGAGATGGTTGAGTCTCGTCTCGACCTCGACTACTACATCGGCAACGATGATGGCAGCTTCTCCTGGGGCGGTGAGAGTGAGTAGCATCTTCTGGCCCACCAGTTCTCCACGGTCCCCACTAACATCTATCTTCTTCTCCAGACTTCTCCCACTCTGCTGAGGACATCGAGCTCAGCATCGAGGGCGACGACAACGTCCCCATCCTCCGCGCCAAGCTCAACCCCGCCGACGGCGACCCCGTCGATGCCGACGTCAACCTCGCCGAGCGCATCGGCAACGACGGCGGTAACCTTGTCTTTGGTGTGTAACACTGTTCCCTTGCTACACGGTGCTATACTAACACAGTTATGAGAATAGTCCAGTTCTAAGGGATACGAGAGCACACGGGGTGCAAACGACGAAATGAAAGCGAACTTGGCATTTGTGCGATAGCAAACAAACAAAACAAATCAAGAAAAATTCCCTCCAAGCGTTCTCCATGTGACACTTGATTGAGCAAACAAACACCCTGAAAGTCTCGGCGCATGTGAAATGCAACGTGTACGGATCAAACTGGGTGGATCGTAGATGTCGACTGCCGATAGTCAGATCATGGCCAGGGAACGTGACGTCAGGGCTGGTCTCAGCTTTGACTCCCTGGCTGTCGCTAATCTTTGAGCAGAGTTTAGATGTTCCCTTAGTCTGGAGCAATTAATCGTGTTCCATTTTACTCATTGTTGCTGAAAATATGTTGGAGTTGGGATGGAGAGTGAGGACAGCCTGGCCATTCCACACCGCCACATCTACTTGATGCATCAGATTCTTGGCGTATCACGAACATCCTTGGCTTTTGGGTTTTCTGATCCTAATTGACAGCTGGTCGGTACTATTGATGACGGAAAGGGTTATAAGCTTCAGTTGGTATTGAAAGTATACCAAACCAAAATTCGTCCTTGCGTGAGGTATAAATTCCAAGTCTTTGAGCGGTTGAGGTGAGAGTTATAGAAAGACGAGAACTGATCTCAAATAAGCCCGAGAATTATTCCACTATCTCTAAAAACATTCAAATGGCCGGTTTCAGTGTCAGAGATTACATTGAGAAGCCATTTATTAAGAATCATCAAGAATATGGTTGTAAGCAACTACCCAATCGCACAACACCGTAACCCCGACTAGCTATACCATAGTGAGACATGCGTGACTTTGTCAGCACCTCTAGCCACTAATCACATTTATTTAGTTCTCTAGTTATGAAACAGCTAATCAGCTCATGAAGATTTGTCTCTGCTTCTTATATCTTGAAAGGCTCTATACTCGCCATAGTGCGACTGAACTCATCGCCACATAGATCATCATCCGGCCCTGTCGGCCGCAGCAGCAGCTCGTCATATTGCCCATTAATCTTGTCACCTCTATTAATCCTCATTACAATTAGATAATGGTTAATCTTTCTTTGTCTCCTCCAAAAAATGACTGGTGAACTTGTGCCAAACCAACTCTCTTGTATGTCTCCCCTACATGTTCCAACAGAAGACCCCATGCCCACTCACCCCGTGTGTTTAAGATTTCAAGAGGGAGAGGTCTGAATCCAACCGCTACACGAAATATCATCAAGCAAAACAATTGACCAATCGTGTTCAAACGCTCCGGCGTATCCAAGCTGCCTTCTCCAACCAGTTTACCATTTACATCGAATAACTGGGCGTTCACGTTTGTCCAAACAAATGCTGATTCCGAAGTTGTGATTGGGGAAATATTTGGAATCTTCTCCAAGAATCCGTTGGCTTCAATGGACCCAGCTGATATCTTTCCGTAAGGATCTTGGCCAGCTAATGTTGTCGAAGAGGTGATGATATCAAGCTCTACCTCACCATCCCAGTCGAATTCAAAATAAATGCAGCCGTCACAAGAGGCCCAAGACCAAGAGGGTGCTCGAAACGTGCTGGGCCGCCTGAGACCTTTTCCATCCTCTGAGCACCAGAGCAACCCGACTTGAAGGTATCCCTCCCACAGGCCCGCCAAGTACCGGTCTTTTCGGTGGCTCCCAAAGATCGAAGCGACCCCGGAGATTGCGGGGAATTTATCATCTCCCACGGTCAGATCTCGGTTGTTGTACTCGCATACGGTGTTATACCAGTCGCCGAACTCGGAGAATTCCATCCTACCACGCACCGCACGGAATGCATCTGCATTCCAGGTGGAACTCGACAGGGCTTTGAGATATCCACGGTGCTCTCCCTTGCCGCCAGGGAAACGCTCCTCTGTCATGGTCGACTGACATTCCCAAAACCGCTGGGTGCGCCCAAAGTGGACGGTCCGTCGAGAAAGCCAACGTTCCTGGAGACACCAACCTCGAGAGTTTAAATAGCCATTAGTCACTTCCTCACGGAATGACTGGATCTTTGTTTCCTCCAAGAAATAGTATTTCTCGGGGCTGTTGCTCATGTTATCTGTCGATGGGCCTTGGTATCCCATTCTCACCCTTACCGGATTTCTCTGTTGAAACAGCCCTGTGTCTCCGGAGGTGGCGCAAGCAGCAGCAAGAGTCAGTACTGCGTTCATGTATACCATATCCATGCGAGCAGCCTCTTTGGCCCAGTCCTTGGGCGAGTCTTGCACAATGCAGAGTGAATCAATCCATATGCATTGGTACCCCAGCCTTGAGGTCATGTTCAGGGCGTCCCAGAATGTAATGCACAGGCTTTCAAGATCGATGCCTGCGGTTTGAGCCTTGAGATTCGCTTGAGTCGTCTGATAGATCTTTGCTCCTCCCCATCGATGGCTCAACGCGAGATAATCCATGAGTTTGCCGTCAACCTCGATGAGTTTGGGGTGCTCTCCCTTCTCCCCAATATCAATTAGTCTGGTGGGCATTGCCGTCCAATCATGGTCAGGATGTGGCTCGGAACAAGACGGATGATTCAACTTGCAATTTTGAACCCATTTCTGTATCTGAACGGCGTCATCGCCAGGTCCCACTGAACGGGCGATAGTCTGATCAAGCAGACTTGTTGGGGCATCTATGTCTTTTCATCAGGATATTGATTAGATCAATAACACCACATTCTGCCCCTACCTACGCCAGACACGACGCTCAGGATTGAACGCTGTGCTTTGGGATGTTTCAAGTCCAACGTGTATATACCGTCAATTATCTGACGTGCGCCTTTTCTGCTCTACAAAGCTCGGGGTTCTGTATCAGTGACATCCAAAGAGTAGAATACCACGTGCTGCAACTTGTGATCCCGAACAGAGCCATCCGAGCTTCTGTCAGTCGTTGTGATACTGAACCTGTACAGTGGTTTATTGGGTAGCCATTCATTGTGGCTGGCTGACATGATCAAAGCACACAACTAGCATGACTAGGCACAAGCCTCGACATCTGATGTAGTCCGGTTCAAGGGAACGCCGCCGCTGGTGTTTAAATCCTCGAAACGGATAGCAGCGCAGGCAATACAGAGAGACATCTCTTAAGGTCTGTCTATGTATTCGGCGGATGATAGTGGCATAAGAAAATTGTTACTAGGTGAGATTGTAAGCAGGCTCTGGAGGCTTATCGTACTTTGGGCATCTATGCATAATGTGGCGTATCAAACACAACGAGCTATACAGTTATCAACCCGCGCAACTAAGCCCATACGATCTTCGGTCCATTAATCATTCCATCACGATGTCGACAAGACGAGCTGAAAGGACTATTGTGTGCTCGTCCCCAGACGACTAGGACATCTGGTCCATTGAGTTCAATAAGTCGGACTAAGTTTACGACCTGTGATAGTATATCGACCCGAGCGACCGAATCAGAGAGCCTCGTCGGCCAGAGGTTCCGAAAATCCGGGACTGGTAACCCAGAGAGTGGCACGATCACGCCTGGCTCCGATTATGCACTAGCTGACGAATTGGAGAGCTTGAGACCGAGGGAAAGGCAGAATATGAGCATAATCTCAGGATCTGATGCCTGAACCAGACGGCATATAGGAAGACCAAGAAACAGGAACACAAACTGGTGGGGTTTGCCCTCAAGACAGTCTCGCCTATTTACCAAAAGACGTGCTACACTACAGGAGACCGGTTGGACAGGTGGTACCATGAGATGCGAAGATCAGAAGTGGTGTATCACGAACGCCTCTGACCAGAAGCTTATGACAAATACCACGATCTTCTGGCTCAGTTGCCCCATAAAGTGCTGGGCTTCAACTATAATAAAGAACCTATTGCTTATACTTCCTCTTTGAGCCTCGCTTTCGCTTGACTCTGGCTGACATCCCACTTGGTGATAAGCCCAGCCGCACCTAGCTCGCTCCTACTGTCGCCATAACTCCCCATGGAGATTTCTCCCACGTTCTGCACCAGGTCAACATCAAATTCGAGTTTAGAGACACAGCCACTCTACTAGCCGCAAGTGAACAAGCACATGTGGTTGTGAGATTTCTCAAGGTCGGTCGTGGATTCTCTAGTAAGTTGGCTGTTGATGGGGTCCGGGCCCCAAAGGCAAACTCTAGCAGAACATCGATCAGCCAATGTTTCACTGTCCAATCAGCAAATGATTAATGCTTACTATGCTCCTTTTCATGATCCTTCGCGTGCCCATCTCGGCAGCCAAGCCCGTGCTTTTCAATAGTTTAACATGAAAGCGGAACCTCAGTGGCTCTCCCCACGAAGAATGCCTTGTCGTCTAGCAATGAAGAACGCCTTGGCACATTGGACAACGACCAACAGCTGTGTGAGACAATAAGCACGGATTTGACATGATGTGGCTGCACCTCGACCTGACGCTAACTTATTTGACATGAAAAAGACTGAAATCTAGAACGGGAGTGGATATCACAGCCCTGCCGAGAATAGACCAGCTGAATTAGTGGACAAAAGTAATCGACCTAACATGCAGGGATCTATGATCATCTTATTCTGTCATCAGCTCGACCCTGTATACGAGAGCGGGGCAGCAACATTCGAGTTTCCTCATTCAGCAGATCACCAGGATCTGTTAGTCCAACACATGTCAGCCGTGCTCTAGTCTCGATCTTTTGCAGCGATCATGTCTGTGTGGCTGGGATCGAGGCTGAGTTGGCAAGTAGGAAATTGGATAAAAAGTCAAAGACGTCCAGAACCATTCCCATAGACAACAATTCGTCCAGGCACGCACTTTCACAATCATGGGTCTCTCCAAGAGCTTACTTCTCGCCGTCACAGCATCTGCCTACTTTATGCAAACGGCTCTCGCTAAAGACGATGAAGAATGCTCCTATGTTCTGGAAGATATCCGCAAGGGCGAACTCGTTTTCAACTCGACAAACACGGCCGCATTCAACCCTTCTCCAGGCGTCCCGTGGCTCTTCACACTAGGCCTCTCAGACTGGCGCGATGAGGGAGCCACGTGGGGAGACTTTGACTCATCTCAGCACATTGAAACGTTTCTCAGCATCCCCAATGATATTCTCAACGGCACGCGAGCCAACCACACAAGAATCTGCGTTTACTATATGGACGGCCAAAATGCGACTGCAAACGACGGCAATAAGAGTGGTCACTCTTGCAATGGTGTATTGAGCGACGAGTGTCAAAAGGCTTTGCGGAGTATCAAAGGGCCGGCTGATGATGGCACATGCCCTGACCCGCCAGAGAGTGTCAAAGAAGCCTGCAACCAGTATGCATATTCTTACTATGGTACGTATTCTAATCCATGGTCCCTATAGATTTGGCCCACGGCGTAAGAAGGAGGATGCTAACATGTGTACAGGAACACCAGAAACCTACAACAACCCCAACTGTACAACACCTTCTATCCCGGGCGTCAACCTCCCCGGCGGTTACAAGACATTTCCAGTAATGGGAAATGCTCTGTTTCCCGCCGACAGCCCCATCGACTCATACAAGATATACGATCTACGCGTCCGACAGCCAATCCCATTTCTCTTTACTATGGAATTCCAAGACGAGGGTCTAAGAACTGCTACCGAGCTCCTTTGCGTAGCTCCCAGTCAGCTCATGAAGGGCAGCCGTAAGCCTGAGGGCGACTTTCCACCTAATGCTGCGAGCGGTCTGGATATCAAGGGTGCTGTTGTGTTGGCCGTGGGTGTTTGGTCCGTGATGGGATTGATGCTTGCATGAGAAAGGATATTAAGGTGTGGTGATTCGTCGTCATTCAAGGTGGAATTTTCAGAGACTTACTCAATAGAAAGACCCGTATACCCCCCCGTTGGATCCCTCGACGACGCGAAATTTCTGCTCTATTTAATAAAATACATGACGTTCCTTTTCCACCCAAAGGTAGACTCTTTGAGTTCGCTTGTTTTCTCCCATCTCCTGTGCTCATTGTGGCCTTCGACATCACCAATAGTTACAACAGCCATCTTGTAATGATAACTTTGTCTTTTGATGGTGTAGCTGATGGTCACTGTCGAGGCGTCAGTGAAGGCAAGGTACTGTTACCCTGTACCATTGGACACGTCTAGAAGCGATTCCCTTTCTCTTCAAACCAGATGTCCTTCCCAGACAATGCCTAGCCCTCGCCGTCCCGCTCAAAATATATACAACAAGCAAGGTAAGTGATGCAAGTTCAGGTGTAACTTGGCGTAACGAGAGAGCTTGAAACATATTAAATTAATTACTATATCTAGTCAGGCACTATACTGAACCTGAAATGTCTTGGTGTACGCTATTGATCTCTCATCAAGGATAGCCTCTTCGCTCGTATCATCTCTCCCGCTCCGCTTGGACTCCACGTCCGCAACAGTCGCTTGTATAACACCTTCCTTCTTGTGTTCCGAGAAATTGTCCAACTCGACAATATCGAATTGTGTGTATCCCGTATGTGGCTGGCGATGCAGCTTGCTTTGTGATGTGTCGAACGTAGTGGGTTTGGATGGATGTGACTGGCCGGATGAGCCCATCCATTTCGGTAGGAATCGCTTGAGGAATTTGCGAAAGGTCGGCATGGATCCACAGATGATGAAAAGGTTGACTTCGACGAAGCTGCAACAGGTTAGCACCTTGCATATGCAGTGAGATGTCTGCTACTCACGACCAAACGTTAGCGGGCGCAGCAACCCAAGGGATGTCGACAGCTCCCAGAAGGGACGGCAGATAAACCATGCGAACAATGGATGTCGCGACGGTACTGAGTATATCCTGTTAATCAGGCCCGGCATGATAGGGAACGGAGACGTACATGGAACCGACACCAAACATAAGGGCGGCACCAATCTTCTGCGCCGTAGGCATCTTCAATCGAATGATCATGGGAATCGGAATCGTGAAGAGAACGACGTCGGAAACGATATTGGCGACAGCGATGGCAATGTACAGACTCGGCAGGTCAACACAGGTACCCGTGCCAAACTCATAAGGATCAAATGCGGCGCGAATCGGTTTGCATCCGAAGAGAAGTAGGCCGGCGATGACGACAGTGTAGCAGGCCACCATCACGATGGTGGTCCAGATGGTGATTCGGAACCATCTCTGGGGCGATATTTGGAGGTAAAATGTCAAGAGAGATGTCTTGCTGAGGCCGTTGCAGGTGATGAAGATGGGCGCGACGATGTATGAGCTCTGTCGAGGTGGTGAGTGGTAGGTCGGAATAGCTTCATTCGTAGAAACTGACAAGCATGTGCTTCTCAAATACTTCGATGGGCATCTCCCATGCATGATGACATAGCCCTCCTATCGAAATGGACCCTGAACAATGTCAGCTGGCTAGACATCATTAAAGGAAGCATGAACCTACAGATTTGCACTGACTGCATAATGACGGATGCCAGCTGAGACCCATTAGTAACGCTTCATCAAGTCAACTCGCCAAGAGCCTCACCCAAGCCAGACAAACCAACGCTGTGGACCACAAATTAGCGCCAAGTTCACCCTTCCCAGCCAGTGTCTTTCTTACCATCATCAATCTTGAGACTCCCCGTCAGGAAATGCTTCGTATAAAGCCTCTGTATCAAACAAAAAAGCGCCAAAGACCCCAAGATGCCGAAAATCAGGTAGTGATGAAGAGCATTCTGCTGCTGTGGGTGCTCAAAGTCCACCACGTAGCCTTCTGGCGGCGCCAGAAACGTCGTGACGCCATTCGTTACCGGATAAGCCATGAAGAGACTTGAGCCGCTGTATCAGTTGGGAAAAAGAGAACCAGAGGAGCCAAGAACTTTCGACTGACAAATGCAAGTGTGCGCGACTCGGTGGAAGAATGTATTTGTATTTGCTACGCATCCCGGCTTCATGCCGAGTTTTGGCAAACTCGTGCTTTTTTCGCCGAAACACCGCATTAAAGATTTTGGGCAGTCACTCAAAAGCAAATTCAACCTCAAATCAGACGAGTTTTCAGGGACGGGACAAGACGTTGTGGGTTTCAATCTTTGCTTTTTAAAGGGGGAGAATCCTTCTTACCACGGCCTCGGTCTCGAAATGTGCGAACCAGGGTCAGACATGAACTTTTCTCTTTGGCATCTTGGCGGAGACATCAACGCTTTCTTATCCATGTTTTCTAATGCCTGAGGTTTAACGATATCTCAAAAAGCAAACCCCATATTCGCCAAGCCCCTGCATGAATCTAGCCAGGGGAGTCCTGTCATCCAACGTCGGGCCACTCCGATCTTTGAGGACGTTATTGGCAGGCGGGTCGAAAAAAAACACCGCCGGTCCCAGCACCAAAATTGTATGGGGAGAGCGGTGGTGATTTCTTCGACCCGCCTGATTGGTTAGTTCCGTGGAGCTGTGGCATTCGCTTGAGGTTGGGGGCAAGGGTTTATAGCTTGCTAGTGCTTGCTTATGGGTTCGCGGAGGACGGCGATTGTCGTCCAAGAAATAAAAAGCAATGAGAACGATGTAACCGAGAGAAAACTGGCCATGACGGAAATATTCCTCACTCGAACGAGTATTCGTATGTTGTAAAAACGTTAAAGATAAGGTTAAAATAACATCTTTGGGTCTGGTATTTGCAAACATTAAAGCTTTGGGTGGCATTACTACGTACAAAATAACCTCCAAGATCACCATCTCGATATCCGTGACCAACCATCTCCGGGGGTTCCGTTCAAATGGGAACAAACTCCCGCATCGGGGCCACCCGTCTTCGCATGGATGGGGAACCTGCAGAAATTGTTCGATGGCTGCAGCCAACATAAACTCCATAATTAAAAAAAGAGTTACATCGCAGGGCATGTAAATTAAAATCACCAAGGGTTCAAACACCTCATGGCAAGGAGACCCAGTCACCTGCCATCACATGGTACAGATAAACCTGTCAGCATCCACTCCTTGTATCGCACAAAAGCCACTCGAACGGCTTGCTTTTACGTTCCCACTCGTTTCACCCTGATTGTCACACTTCACACTCTTGCCCCTTCTCCTGCAGACGCACAATGGCTCGCTTCTCGTTACTTTTCGCCGTCTTTACGGTCTTGTTTGGGGCCACTCTTGCTGCGTGCGCCCCCTCCAACACTGGCCTCCTACAGATGGTCACCTACGTCAAGCGCCGCCCTGATTTTACACAGGAGGAGTTTTGGAAGTACTGGGAGACGCAGCATGCACCCAAGGTTGTGCCTCTTGCTACTTACTTCAACATCACCCGGTACCAGCAGGTATGAAACACACATTGTCGTGGCTCAGACAGATCACTCACATGTCGACAGGTCCAAGTTGGAGGCAAGATTGTTCCCACTGCAGGTGGTGCTTCTGCCCCAGAGTCCAACGAGCTCGTCGACTTTGATGGCATCGCCATGTTTCTGTACAAATCCGCCGACGTCCTGACCGAGATGCTTTCGCACCCTTATTACATCGAGGTCGTCGAGCCCGATGAGCACAAGTTTATCGACAAGTCGGCTTATGGCAACGGCATGGTCGCCACCTATATTGGCAAGCACATCGAGGCCGTTGACAAGGGCAGGGATGTTTGGGTGGGTGACAAGACCACTCTTAAAAAGTACCAGAAGATCTTCAACACGTATCTGTGATGGGCATAGACTTGGGTCCTGGTTGGAGTTTCTTCGTGAGAGTGGACTGTCTCATAGACGGGGTGTGCTGATGGGAACAATGGCAATTACCACCAGCGTGCGCGTTTCTATTCAGCGCATGCTCCATGGTTGTATCAGTATAGTACCTTGTAATAATGCATACCTACCTTTGATTCAACAATTGTCGCATCTCAATCACAAAGTGTAGTCAGAACAAAGCCCTCCATTCGCTTGGACCATGCAGATCTCGACTCCTCTTAAGCGAGACCAGAATCTTTCCCCAGATGTGAGGGAGTTCCCGCAGATCCCGTTGTGCCCCACGCACACAATGTCACCTTAGCATTGACCGGCCGTGGCCTGTATCAGAGGGGTGAGATGTATAAAAGAGACAGTTCTGTTTCTCCTGTCGTCCTTGTACTTTAGTCCAGCAAATATGGGCATCTGTGAGTGTCGACATCAGGCAACCACTTTCCTCTTCGCAGACTTCTCCAGCTCTGCCATTATCTGAACCAACTTCTCCGTGAGATGCGGAACGCGCATCCCAGTAAAATTTTCTCGGACAATGCTCATGATAGTCTCCATGACCTTATCCGGCTGTGATAGTGGCACGCTCACAAACACATCCTCCTCTCCGGGCATTTCTGATCGCCGTCTTATGCATGGCTGCCCTTGTCCAAACCCTTTAAACCGCTGCAATGCAGTACTCTCTTCTTCATCTAGGTACACACTCTGATTCGTGAGTCTCGTCGTTACCTGCGACTGATCGGAGAGGAGCCCGTAAACCCAAAATGCCAGGGTGGCATGATACAGAATTATGACGGGAGGACCTCGTATTGAGCCCTTTGGGAGCAACATGACAAGCTGCATAATCTGAGCCGCGTGGCAGACGGTGTGTCTGGCATCCTCGCTCTTGACCCAGTCGCTGATGGTAGGGTACACAGCGCGAGCTCGCTCCGGTCCATCCATACCGGCAAATATTTGAATCTCTTCAAATGGCATATGGAGGTGAAGCAGACACAGCTTAAGCCGGAGGTTGATCTCTGAGTCCGCCCCAAGTTGAGGCGCCAGGCTAAGTTCGAGATGGCCAAGCAACTTCATAAGCTCGTCCTTCCTGAGCTTCGTGACGAGGGCATTCCAGCGACGCGGTCGTGATCTCTGAAGAGAAGAGAATTGTAAATACTCTCGACACATGGCCCAGATACATGAAAGTACGGCCATGCTGGCAATGTAGATGTCAACCGGGTTTGCAGGATTGTTGAGAAGATCAGGATTGTCGATGAGGTCGGCAACAAATAGCGGTTTGACGTGCTCTTGAGCGGCCACGTATGACTTCCACTGCTCGGGACTGCCTGCCAACCAACCCTCTGGACTACCTGGCAGTGGAAGGAGGACCTCAGCATAAGAGATAAGAGGGTTGACCAGCAAGGCCATGGACACGCCCATGTCGTGAGCAAGCATCCTGAAGGCGAGTCTTTTAAATGACTCATTCTCGACCCAGTTCAACCACTCCTGTCGGAGATCAAAGTCGTAGGTATCCCCAATATTGGTATCTGGGTATGCAGTAGGCTTGAACTTTCCATCACGCCTCATCATCGTCAGGATTGGCTGGAAGAAACTTTCTGCAATCTCGACTTTTCGAGGAAGTCCGCTCCAAATTCCGACCTCGATGGTGATGAGGAATGCCTGCAAGAGCTGAAGGTCTCTTACTAGGGTGTTGTTTTGCTCCCACTGCAGGTTTAGTTAGCCAGGGCGTGTCATCTCACACAGAAGAATACTAACCCTCCTTGAGATTGCCAACCTCAGGCATTCTTGCATCGCCCGGCCAAGTTTGGATAGCGCAGGGTCTGATGTCAAGACAGCCCCGATGGCTGCCATGGCTGCGACAAGCTCTGGTCGTTTCTCATTGGGGTCGAACGAGGCGGCGTGAATAAATGACCCTGCACGTGTGTGTGGTGAGGTTAAATAATACTGCAATAGTGTGTCAAGAAGCTCCACTGAAGGAAACGAGGCAACTGCCTTGGACAGGCTATCTGACTGACAACTGTTCACAATCATCATCAAAATTCTGTCACGTGCTGGCCCTCCGAGTTTGGCACATGTAACGCGTGTGTCGGCATCTAGAGAGACTCTGGACTCTGGTGAGGGGTAGTCCAATGTCATGGAGGGAAGGGAGAGGTTGTGGTCCTCGGCCCCGGCATGATCTTTCGCGTTGGGACGGAACCTCCAATGCGAGTTCTGAAAGGCTTCACTACACATGGCGGCAGGCTGGCCTGGGTCCATATGAGATGTGCGAGGAGTTTGTGTGCCTCGCGGCGTTGGTTGGAACGTGTTGCTAACCTCGAAAGGGATGCTGACGTTGTAAGAGTCGAGGAATTGGAGATCCATGTCGTCTAAACCGCTGTATGTGCTGATCTCCATGTCGTTGGTGGGGGTGGAGGACCATTGTCCAGATAGAAGGTTGAGATCGGGGAAGTGGAAGAAGAGCGGGTTGTTTTCGATGTTGAGGGTAGGATCTATAGACTATTAGTCCCATCAACAATGGTAATTGGGATATCGAATTGTCATACCTAGCGTCTGGAATAGGCGTTGCGTGGTCTGCGGCGTCAACACATCCAGAGAAGCTTGCCCTCCCATGCTCGGTGATGTAGATGTCTGGTCCATACTGAGTGGATTGCTCAGAGATGTCATGGCAGATGCATCTTCGTGGGTAAACATGGACTCGTCTTCCTGAGGGCACGTGTCTGGTGGTGTCATGGCCATGTCGACGTCGGTAGAGCCAGGCCATCTGCACTCGAGGCCCTTCTCCTGGCAACGACGACACGGCTTCTCTTCACTGCAACGAAGATGGTTTGACGCGCATGCCTTGCACGCTTTCGTCACCCTTCCAGGCATGAAACGCGTCTCCCCAACGGAACCGCCATTGCTCTCCCCCGCCTGCGAACCGTGACCCGCGACGTGTCTTTTCAGGAGATCACTGGAAACCGATTGTTAGTCAAGCACAGTGGGAGAATAACGCCACGACTAACGGTCTCGTGAATGCCTTTGGACAAACATGGCACTTGTACGGCTTTGTCTGTGTGTCTGAAGAGTCAGCAGTCGCGTCAACCTCTCAGGCATGAAACATACGAGAACGCACGTGACGAGCCAGGTGATCCAGGCGCTTGTAGCTCTTCTGACAAGAGCCACACTGAAACATGCCAGACTCGGTAGACATGATGCTATTCACCCGGTGGACGTCGGGAAAACATACGAGAACGGTTCGGGAGGTGGAGAGGACGAAGGAACAAGAGTCAGAATTGGCTGGTCCATGACCGTCTTTATCGCAAATTACCCGGCCATCTCGGATGCGGAGGTGGCGTCTAGGGTGCGGGGAAGTCAACGAATCGGTTAAGGTTCTTTGGTCAATAGATCTGAAGCTAGATTAAAGGGGAATCGTCTCCGCGGTTATTCTCAAGGGTGAAAAGGTTGGGGATGTGGTCGGGAAGTTCTCTCCACATCCCGACGGACCATCGCCACCCCACATGAGCCACCCTGTAGCAGCCGGGAGACACGGAATTCTTAACAAACGCAGCGTCTTGTGTAGGGATAAGGACATTTCTTATTAGTTTTACATTTTCAACAATTGCAACCTATCGAAAATAAACCCATAGTGCCTAGCAATTGACCAAATTCAGATCATGGGTAAGTTGTTACTCCAAAGTCCGATACACACACTGACTAACCTCGGCTTAGCTCAGCTAACACCAGTCCACTTCTTCTCCCATGGGTCAACCATGATGCTTGGAGAGGAATCCGAAGCAGCAGACTACTGGAAGAAAGCTGGTGATCAAGCATTGGCAAACAAGATCAAGGGTGTTGTTATGATGGTAAGAGGCCTTGATGATTGAAGCGACCGTCTAACAAGAAGCAGGGAGCCCATTGGGATGCTCTCGGTGATAGAATCGAAGTCGCTACGAACCCTCAACCTGGAAAATCGCCCGTCGCATATGTTCACCCGTCAAAATACGTCGACTACAAGCTTAACCCCGACCTGGAGACGGCCGAGCGATGTATCTCCTTGCTTTCCAAGGCGGGATTTGATGTCTCTGGAAACCCGACCTTTGAGTGGATCCACGATACTTATCTTATCTTGATCCGTATGTTCCCCAACGGCTGTCCACCCACTACTCTCATCTCTATGAACGGCCGCTTCGATCCCCACTACCATATGAAAGTCGGCAAAGCACTGCGATGTTTGAGGAGTGAAGGATATCTCATCATCGGATCCGGTGGAGCTGTACACAACCTCTACCGCAACATCTGGGGCCCGATGGTCAAGTACACAGACAATTTCGGGCAAGAAACGCCTCCGGAGCCATGGGCCTTGGAGTTTCGACAGGCAGTCGAGGATGTGATTAAGAACAACACAGGACCTCATCTCCGACGCGCAATGACGCGTCTGATGAAGCACCCGCTCTATAGAGACGCGCATGCGACAGATGATCACTTCATGGCTGCTGTGTTTGTCGCTGGCGCTGTTGGCGATGAGGAGGATGAGGGAGTGTATGGGGAGCTCAAGGCGGAGACATGGGAGTTGACCAATATGTGCAATAGTCAGTTCACGTTTGGAAGTTGGCCAAGGACAGTTGCAACGGCATAGATTTTTAGGCTGAGAAGAGGTTTCACGATGTCAATAGCACGAATGCTTAATTTCCAGCTCTGCTTGCTGATCGTTTGGACTTGCCGGTGATGTGATCTCCCAATGAGGATTGGGCATAGACTTCCGACAACGTGTTGATGCGATACTAATGTAGATGTAGCGGCCTCACTAGTTGGCACTTATTTGGATAATGTCTCGATCTTCACCCCCAAATCGGATTAGACACACCCGGAGTGGCGCTTTCCGGTCGGTCGGGGAGATTATTATGCCCGGATCGTGGAGGCAGTGTTGGCGCTAGACAACGGCTGTCGAAGATGCCGCCATATTATCCAGGGAGAGATCGGCGTTGTGAGAGTGTGTGTGGCCCAAGTTATGGGGTCGATCGAATACCATCCGCCGTTCTGGAAAACGATGGCCCGCACAATTGGGCTGATTGAACCCCAGAAGTCTCCGGTTCCACGGCAATCGACAGGGCTGGAGCGATGGAAGACCAAGGATTCGTTCGGATGTTCACAATTTTACATGCGAGGCAATTAGATCTCAGAGAGCTAGATTTATGAATTGCATATTCACGGCACATGTTGCATAAGTTTGATGGCTAAGATTCGTTCCCACGATTCTTCCTTGGTTTCATTGGAAGCACTTTTTACCATTTAGATACCAAACAGTTACTCAAAAAATAATATACATTAAGGTCTATGAATGATCCAATCTGAATCACACAGTAAAGCGCTAACCCGGACCGTTCTCGTGTGCTCGGACACCCAGATTTGGCGAAGAAGAATAAATATTCATGCAATTCATGTACATTTAGCTGGAAATCTATTCATACATTGTTAGCACTCGGTCAAAGTATTTTTCTGGAAAATCACATACCTCAATGATAGCAGGGCCAGCGGCGACGGTGTCGTCAGACACGGCATCCTTACATCCGGTGAGAACAACATAGGTCTGGCCGGCAAAGCCCTCGGGGATCTCAACAGAGAAGCCGCCATCAACAGCCTTGGCCTCGACAAAGGTAGGGCCAGTCACGGCAATGAAAGCAGCGTAGACCTTCTGGCCGTCAGCGCCCTTGACAGCGTACCCAGGGGTCTGGAGAGTGACCATGTCACCAGTCTTGACAGGCATCTCGGTAGAGGGGTCCAGAGCCAACTTGGGGAAGGCCTTGACGGGGAGGGCAGGGTTGTCCTTGGGGCAGCTTGTGATGAAGCCTGACGCAAGGGAGTAAACCTCGTTGTAAGTCAGGGGGGCGTCAAAGGCCTGGGGGAAGGGCACCTCCTTGAGGTGGCCGCGGATGTATGACGAGTGCCTCGCCTCAACAGTTAGGATGGAACCAGCAGCAGTGAGGTAGGTCTTGCTCATGATGTCGGCGGCAGCGCCCAGGTAAGCCGAGACACCGACACCCTCAAGAACGGAGGCGGTAGCAAGGAAGCTCTTGACGTCGGTGTAGCCAAAGTCGTATGTGCAAGCAGCGACAGGAGTGGCACCAGCAGCTGCAAAATATTATTAGCAAGAGAATGCTTTTTGGTGGATGGATCTCTGAATTACCCTTGAGGCCCTTGGTGAGAAAGTCAACATGCGATGTCTCATCGCTAGAGACCTTCTTGATGTTGTTGTAAAAGGTCGAGTCGTAACCAGCGTCGGCAAAGTCCTTCTCGCTGAACTTGGAAAGAGCTTCACGGTAAAAGGTATCCTCAAGATGCTCGAGGGTGAGGGCATAGTTCAGGATGACTCCGTCGTTGATCTCAGAAGCACGCTTCTGAACAGTAGGGGCAGCAGAGGCAAAGCCAGCAGCCGCGAGGGCAATGGTAGCAGCGGAGAAGAGCATCTTGATAAGATTGATATGAGGGTGAAGGTATTAGAGAATTATGGTGGTTATAAGGATGGATGCTTGGGAATGAGTGAACTTGTCTGGTATGAATGATTTGGTTAATGAGCGAGAGTGACTGGTTTTATTTACAATGAAGCCATTGACACCAGTACCATCTGCCGTGAATAATCACGTTCAACCGCTTTCCATGACATCTGCAATCTCCCTCCCTGCTTTCAACCGTCGTCGGCGCAGTTTCCATCCGTTCCGAGCTCCGTCTTGCTCATCACCAATCTACTGAATCCAATATGGCTCACGACAGGCGGATCGGGCAGTGACGCAGAATAAGCTAACAAAGCAAAGTGAACCTATCATTGTAAACGGAACGGGTCCCGTAAGACTCCCAAGGTCAAAACTCGACGCTAGGCACGTGTGGTGATTGAGCAGAAACAGAACAAGATCGGCAGGGACTCTGGGGATCCGCGCACGGCATCTCACAGTCCCGTCCTACTCTAGCGTCGAAACTTGTTTGTCCCTCACCCGAATCGGGTCGGCGAAGTGTGGAGCTATCGAAGCCCGGGACGTCATCTTTCCGGGAGGCTAACGACGTTTTAGCTCGCTCATCTCCAACCGCATGTCTTTGGTTCCAAGACACTGCGGGAAAGGTAGCCATGGCCTACTGGGCGTGCGCAACGGCTAGCGTTGGGCTGGTATTGTAGACTCGGTGTCCGGATGAACTGGTTTTCGACTAATACAATCATCATACCTACCAATATCCTTGCTAGGTCAGTCTTGAGAACGGCATTGGTATCCGAATTGGTAATCCTTAGCTTGGACTGTCGGCATGCGTGCGAGCATTGATGAGTTGAAAGAGAGCGGTGTTGATCTTAAGCCATCTGTCTCCTGATCACTTACTTTCAATTAATTCATAATATCTCAATCTCCTTTCTCTTTGCTCCTGTCTCAAGCACCGTCATTCGTTCTGTCTTGCACTCATTCCACTACACTACGCCACCTCGAAGCCATGAAGTTCTACGCTGTCGCTGCGCTCGCCCGTAAGAGAATTCCCCCTTCAATCGTACTTCATGTTACCAACTAACGACCCTTCCAGTCCTCTCAGGAGTCCAGGCTGCCGAGTCTGTCTCTACTACTGTCACTTGCAGTAGTTGCCCCTCTCACTCTTCGACACCCGACATGGTGACGCGCTCCGCGCTCCCAACTATATCCTGCAGTGAGAAACCTCTGACTGTCGTCACCGACGCGTCTTGGTCATCTGGTGCCGCTGCACCCACCGGCTCTATGCCTGCGGCAACTCCCTCCACTGCTGTGACTGTCAATGGCGCGAGCAGCAACAAGATGGGTGCTATGGGAGGGGTGGTTATGATTGCGGCCGTTGCCGCTGGCATGCTTTGAAGAGGTGATTTTAGGAGGGGATTGGAGGATGTATTCCATGTAATAATTCTACTTCACAACTGTGCATTTTGGCAAGGAGACTGTTGTTCTGCGCTTGGTGCACAGTGGTTCGTCTAAATATACCATAGCAAGTCGTTTGGATGATATCGTTTACAGAATATAATTAGTCACTCATATGCCGCCTTTTCTCTTTGCTGCTAAGGCTAGAACAATAGTTTATTTTTACACTCTAATTCTATTTCCTTGTTTGCTACTCAAGTACTGCCGCATCTTTACCAGAACAAGTATAGTCAAGAGCCTTTTATTGGACATCATCTAGTTTGGAATGATGGGAAGAGTGATGTAGTTCTCAAACTTGGGCCCAAAATGAATGTTGTTGAGCCCTTGAAGGACATCTGGAGATCTGTTCGCTGTCAGCATATTTCTTAAAGATCAAGAAGTGAATCTTACCTGTCAACGGGATCATTGTGCACAAAGATGCCAGACCCCTGAGTATCTCCCGATGACACCTCAAACACAAGCTTGCCACCCTTTTCGACCACGACATTTGTTGGCCAGACCTCAATGTCCACAGCATAGATCTCACCCTGTATCACAGGCAAGACATCCTTGCTGGTGTAATTTCGGTGGGGAAGCCACTCGCGGTGCTTCTGGTGCTGCTGATCGACCTGCCGCAACGATGTCCTAAGCCAACCTTTGGTCACGGGCACAGGATCTCCCGCGGTGCCAGTGTAAAAGACCTCTTGTCCTGATGGGTCTATGTGGCGGATTGTGACGAATAGGTCAATGTCGCTCGGCGTTGGTCCCGTCGGATCTGGAGTAACCGAAACGTTGAGGTGGGCGATAATGTGTCCTGTAATCTCCGTCTCTGACTCAAAAGGAGTTGTCGAGAATTGGAGAAGCTCTGGCTTCTCTAGCGTGCCAAGAGCTCTATAAGACAGCTTCTTTCGGTCACTGTTTGGTCCGTTCCAAGAAAGGCCTAGGTCCGGCGTAAGGAACAGCTTGGTGTACTGGGTCCGCGCGATCGGCCATTCATTCTCCTCACGACGAGGATAGACCTTTTCCTTTTCGGCATCGTTGAAGCCGACGTTTCCCTTGCGCAGAACAAGACTTACGGGGGGAACCTTGCCCTCTTGAGACCAGCCAACTCGGTCATCGCCTTTGAGAAACGCATCCAAGAAGCTGAGCTGGACATTGACCTCTTCTTCGTAGTAGAAAGGAAGATCATGACGACCGGTAATCATTCGAAGGTACTTGAACTTTGATCCGGCATGAGTGTAGCCTTCGATGTTGCCTCGCAGGTGAAGTAGAATGCCTCCCCAGTTACCAACAGACAGCAAGGGCACCTCGATGTCACCCATGTCATACTCCTTGGATGCGTAGTAAGGCTCGTCTCGGAAGCGATTCTCCAGGTTGTCCTTGTTCTGGTCTTGTCGGTTTGCCTCGAGTTCCTCTTCTGGTAGATCGCCCTCAATCGTGTCAGGACCCCAGTTTCGCGAGCTTCGGCCTGGGCGTCCGTACTGATTCGTGACGACCTGTCGATTCCACCAAAACTTGATAAAGCCATTGGAAAGGATTCCTCCGTGACGGCATCTGTCCCTGTAGTAGTCTGACATTCCCTCCCAGGGTACGATAGCGCTTAGACCTTTGGGCTTACGGGCAGCTACTCGCCATTGACTGCCAGCGTAGTAGCTAATACCCAAAAGGCCAACCTTGCCTGAGGACCATGGCTGCTCCGCTGCCCACTCGACCACGTCAAAAAAGGCCTCGCTCGTGCCCCTAGACATGGTATCAAGGAGACCAGGGGACTGTCCGAGACCCCTCTCATCTGCGCGAACAACGGCATATCCATGCGTCGTCCAGAAACCTGGATCTGGGGTTTCCCATGCTGAATGATCAGACTTGTGCTGGGGATTAACCTCTGAAAAAGACTTGGGATGGAAACTTTGACATGTTAGGGGCGAGAAGAACAGCATGGAGGAGGGCTTACTCTTTGTAGTGAATGTCTTTTCCGTATGGACCATATGTGACCAGAACAGGCACCCGATCAGCACCCTTGGGACGATAGACGTTGCATCGGACTAATCCAGATCCCGACTTGAGAGTAACTGTGGCGTTTTGCTCAAAGACGTAGGGAAAGGATGTATCATCCACGGTGTGGATGTCCTTGATCTGATTAGGCATTGTGGCGAATGAGCACAGGTGTGAGCAGGGGTGATTGACAGCAGCTCGGTGTTGATGATTCCTCCATATCCGCATACGCTCTGCTTCTTTTTGAATACTCAAAACGTCATGATGCAAGACAAGCCGAGTATTGAGCCATGTGGAGGGTTCCGATCCGTGGTTACGTGGGGCCGACTCCCGATGACCCCCTCACCCGCTTCCCCGGATTTCATATCGGGAATCCACCGGGAATGCGCAGTCATGATGCAGTTGGGATGGATTGAACAGGTCATGGGGTATTCAGCCGACGGCTATCCAACACATGCTGAGTGATGAGTACTTGTGGGCGTGTTACCCAGTTAGCTGTTGGTGGGAGCAACTGTAGCCAGGAACATCACGCAAGCAGCCATGACCAGCACCTCAGAAGAGCGGCCTTTGAAGATTTTAGTGGTTGGAGCGGGTGAGCATCGCATGAATCATGTCTCACGTCGACATGACTAACACTGTCTAGGTATTGGAGGGTTGACTGCTGCTTTGGGCCTCCGTCAACAGGGTCATGAAGTGACGGTGAGTCCACCTCGTTGGTTGAAGATCGTCTGGAAAGCTGACGTCTTGTAGTTGTTTGAACGTTCCCATTTAGCCAAGGAAACTGGAGCAGCTATTCATCTCGCCCCAAATTGTCATGGCATCCTCAGGAGGTTTGGAGTTTTCCCCGAAACATTTGGAGCAAATCCAGTCAATGGAGTGAGTAATATGATGCAGTGAACGCGAAGCACAGCCGCTAATGGCGCGTAGGTAACTGAATACGATGCCGCTGGAAAGCTCAAATTTGACAATGATCTGTCAAAGGCGCTTCGCATATGGCAGCATGTAAGAGCCCAATTAAGTTATCTTTCGTTGGAGAGTTGATACTAATGGATTAATGCAGCCCTGGGTGCTGTCTCATCGTGTGCAGTTACACGAAGAGCTCAAGAAGCTTGCTACATCCCCTGAAGGACTAGGGACACCCGCTGTTCTTCAAACATCAAGCCAGGTTGTGGATGTTGATCCATCGACTGCCACAGTCAAGCTTGCCGACGGAGATTCAATCTCTGGGGACCTAGTCCTAGGTGCAGATGGCGTCAGCGTAAGAGCACCCCGTATATACCCCCCGTATTGACCATGTCCTCTGACAAGTTACAGTCAATCACACGACAGATTGTTGTTGGACCAAGTGTTAAGCCCTATGGGTCGGGCAAGAGTGCCTTTCGGTTCATGATTCCCTGCGAAAGGATCGGAAAGAACCCGATTACCAAGGAATTTCTAGATCGCCAGGGCTATCTGACTATGTGGATGGGCGACGACAGGAGATTGATCATGTATCCTTGCTCAAACAACACGGTGATGAACTTTGTGGGCATCCACCCGAGCGAAGTTTCTGCCGCTGCCTCAAAAGGAGATGGTAAGCCTTGCGGAATAGTGCATTGAGAACCAACATGGCTGATTTAAGACATAGGCTGGGGCCAAGGAGGAAGCAAGGAGCTGCTCTTCGAAGTGTACAAGGGCTTTGAGCAGAGGGTTCGATCACTTCTGGAGTTGGTCGATGCCAGTGAGCTCAAGGTCTGGACTCTTCTTGACATGGAGCGTATTCCGGCCTGGCACAAGGAGCGACTAGTCCTGCTAGGAGATGCCGCACATCCATTTTTACCTCGTGAGTCTCTGGTGATGGCATGATAAGAAGACGTTTTACTGACATGAGTTGCTTAGATCAAGGACAAGGAGGTATGATAAAGACGCCAAATGCCTCTGAAACATTGATTACTGACAATGATAGGTGGCATCGCTATTGAGGACGCCGCATCCTTGTGCGCACTCCTCCCACGAGGCACCTGTAGAGACGATGTTGTTGATCGTCTTGCTCTTTATGAGAAACTGCGTGATCACAGGGCCCACAAGGTTCAAGAGTTTACTCGGCAGGCTGGCATGGATCTCAATGATGAGAACCGCGGCGACTTTAACAGTGAGACACCTATCTGGACTGCTTATCAAGATACTAACGGCTTGCAGTCATGGAGTTCATGGGCTACAATTTCGGCCATGATGAGTGGCATAACTCGACACGAGCATTGAAGGAGCTCCTTTGGTCTCAGAATGGCGGTGTTTATTGGCGCTCGCCCGTTTCCTTCGGGCCCATGCCAAGTCCACGCCAGGATCACTATGGAAGACCTATCCCTGGTCAAAATTCACGATTCACGACTTACAAACTTCGGTTCAAGACTTCTGCCACGCATCTCAAGACCTTGCTACCAACGCCTGCATTTAGCTTCTACCAACCAGGAACCATCGCCGAAGCCAGCTTCCAATGTACTGAGCTCAAGGACCTCAAGTGGCTGGGCGGAGGCGGCTACAATTTCTTTGGCCTCTGGATCCACGGTGTGCAGTATGAGAAGAAAGATGGGAGCAAGTTGCGCGGCTCGTTCCTTGCTGTTCTTCTCGAGAATCTGACAGACCCTATCATCACTGGCCGAGAGGAGTTGGGTATGCCAAAGATCTACTGCGATATTGATGTAGAGAAGCAAGATTCCACTGCTAGCATCCGATGCAGCTGGAGAGGTGCCACCTTTGTTGAGATGGCCTTGGATGGTCTCGGCAAAGAAGCGGACGTCTTGACCAACGGAGCAATTGGCAACCCGCCTCCTGCAGAAGAAGGTCTCTTGGTTTATAGATATGTGCCAGCCGCTGGCAATCCCGGAGTCGCAGATGCAGCTTACCCAGTTTTTCTCCAGAATGGGCTGGCGAATAACCCGCCAGAGGTTGACAAGGTGACTATTGGCAGTGGAGGACGGCTCGTCTTTACGGAAGGAAACTGGGAGAATCTGCCAACTCTTCACCATATTGCCGCCGGGTTCTCGGAGATACCTGTGTATGACATTGTTGAGAGTAAGGTGGAAGAGGGACACGGTGTTGATGATCTCGCGCATGCAAGGCGGGTGGAGTAGATTCATGTTCGTATAGTTTTCGATTGTTGTTTGTATAACTAAATTCCACTAAATATAAGATCATCCTCACTAGTGAAAGGTGCTCTAGGTACAGCTTTCTGGCTTCCAAGCATTTGTAGAGTTGTAATAAAGGGGTCGGAAAACTGTTCTCAGCTCTAGGCCCACCATTTCTGTGAATAAACCCAACTCGCGTATTTTTTGTATTCAAGATTGACAGGAATTAAAGTAAATTGTTTCTAGACTTTTAAGAGATTATCTAGAACAAGTCTAAGTCGGACGGCTTGACGTTAATCGACCAATACATTCACCAAATCCAACACCTAACGAAGCTTCTTCTGCCACAGCAGTGATCCGCACAACATCCCCATCTTCGAGATATGTACGGCGCGATCCATCGCTTAGAATCAAAGGCTTCGTGCCGCCTTCTGTCGTCTCGAGTAAGCAGCCATGACTTCCATCAGTGGGGCCGCTGACTGTGCCCGTTGCCAAGATGTCGCCGGTCCTGAGCGCGCTACCAGAGCTCACGGCATGTGCCAGGAGCTGAGGTGGGCTCCAGTACAGAGAGCTCACAGGACAAACGCCAGTCTTTGTAGCAGTTGAGCTGGTTAGGATCTCGACTTCCATGGTGATGGAGTAAGTTGAAGGCTTGGAGTATCGTAGATACGAAACCAACGACTCCTGCTGTGGAGAAACGCCGGTTTTGAAACGTTCCAAAGCCTCGAGTGTGACTACCCATGGGGATATAGAAGTACCAAGGCTCTTGCCGTTAAATGGTCCCAGTGGGTTCATCTCAAACCCTTGGATATCACGAGCTGTAAATCTTGTCAGCCTCCGTCGGCGCACCCATTGGATGGCATACTCACCACTCCAGTCATTGAGTATGACAAAGCCAAAAATATGCTCCTCAGCATCCTCAGCGTTAAGTCTCTGCTTCATTGGCAGCGGCTTTCCGACAATTGCCGCCAGCTCGACTTCGTAGTCGACCTGCTTCGAAGGCCCATAAATGATGGCCTTCGAGCTGAGGGGATCCGTGACAGACTTATCCCGGAACTGTCCCATGGGACGCTCAATGTCGGTTCCAGAAACCACGATGGAACTCGTGCGGCCTTGGTATCCAATAGGAAATTTGAAGAATGAAGGGGGCGGCTGTGTGCTGCCGACGACAATTCGTCCTGCGTTTGTTACGTGTTCAAGAGAGCAGGAGAAGTCTGAGCCGTTAGTAATTATATCTCCGTATCTTTTGAGAGACGAAGTACCTGAAAAGTCCTTTATCTCAACAGGAAGATGCATTGTAACCAATGATACATCCTCTTGAGCTGTGGGAGGGAACCCTCCAATACCATCCTGACGAAATACACCTCGAATTGTTTTGCGAACGTCCACAGATTTGGATCTCGGGAGCGCAGCAAATTCGTTTAGTGTGCCTTGCTTAAATACACCCTTTGGAAGACCACTAAAAATTCCATTGTCCTGTAGGTCAGCGAGGAATAGCACCGTGTTCCCTAGCCTCGTAACAGCTTGAGGGTCCTGATGTTTGGCAGAAGATGCAATGCCGAATGGGATGTTCTCCTGTGAGAAATGGGCTGAAAAATCCATCGTTGCTGGTATCTGGTATCTTGACGGTAGGCAGTCGCAATTGGACAGGGCACTGGGCCAAGTAAAGTGCCACTATTCATAAAACACGACCTAATATTATGAGATATTGCTAACAACCTATTTCCGGCTCGGAAGTCGGCCCCGGAGATGTTGTTCGGAGCGCGAAGGCAGGGAATAAGGCCGGGGTCGGGGCGTCTCTCCACATCCCGATCGGCAGCTAGCGACGGCAGAGGATCCCTATGACGGGGACCAATGCACTATAGAACATCCCATACTTCAGCTTGTAGCTTGGATATGCACGAAGAAGCGCATAACAAATTACCTACCGTAATACAGTCAACTTCAACCATGGCACTCCAAGGAACCCTCAGCCACCCCAAACGCTACATCACCTCCCACAACAGCGAAGGAAAGGCAATCATCGACTCGTCCGTCCCTGAGGAAGCACCTTTCTATGAGCTTCCAGACAAAGTTGCTTCATTCGCCTCTTGTTACGTCACCCGAGAATTCCCTGTGCAGCTTGATGAAGGGGCGGATGTGAAGTCTTACCAGGACTTCCTCAGTAGTCCTCCAGGACTGACAGTCTCGACGGGGACTGTCCTGCGCTACGTCGACATGGGCCCCAACATCACTTCTCCTATGCATCGCACTGTTAGCCTTGATTACGGGGTTGTTCTTGAGGGAGAGGTTGAGCTGATCCTCGACTCTGGAGAGACCAGGTTGCTGAAGAGGGGTGATATTTGCGTGCAGCGAGGTACTATGCACGCGTGGAGGAACACTAGCGACAAAGAGTGGGCTAGAATGCTCTACGTTTTGCAGCCATCAAAGCCAATCACTGTGGAGGGGAAGAAACTAGGAGAGGATTATGGCACGATGCAGGGAGTCGAGGCATCAAAATGATGATTACAAGTGTCTACAGATAGTTATACATTCAAAAAATTGACAACATCGAAACAAATATTCATTGAAAGAGAATGAACAACTACATACTTCCACGCTCATAGCTCTCCTCCCACTTGATATCTAAATACCCGATCCGTCAGTCTACCAAAAGAGGCTCTCCAATACTGCGCAGCACCCTAAAATATAATCAGTATATCGGCATTCCAGATTTAAGGTGTAAGGCGTACAGCGTTGATGTTCAGGCCCGTAAACATGACTGTGATGAAGACACGCTCAATTGAGCTTGTGTAGACTCTAACTTCAGACTGGTCTCTGTTTCTGTTTATGGCCCTGTAGGCGGGTACGCGGCGGTGTTCTGTATCCCACTGACGGTCGATTGGCGCTGCAACTTGGGCCTCGCGCGCGCCAGCTTCGCAGGGCTGGGACTGGGAGTGGTGGAGCTCATAGTCTGACAACATATTGCTGTGCCAGTTTCCATTCAGTGCCGTGGCTGATTCAGTTGTGGTGATGGTAGACATGTTGAATGCGGTGTCAGGCGTGTCGTTGCTGTGCTGAGGATGAGGATGGGGGCAGTGATGGTGCTGAGCGGATCTATGGGCGCTGGCCAGCCTTGTGTTGTAAGCAATAGTTACTCTCTAACTCGCGTCTTCGGCCCGTTCGCGGTTCGGCAGATTAATTCCATGCCGGACCGTCGGTCGGGACGCTTGGCGCTCGCCAGTCGGCATGTGGAGGGGACTCTGAGACCACATCCCGAGCCGGTCGGGAGACCCCGACGGGACCTCTCTGGGGTCATACGCGTTCTTTCGAAGCTCTCCAAGGGGAAATGGTGTGCTTATTTGGGTGTTTACTTCTCTCAATCGCTTGACGGCTTGGGCATCCAACTGAGTAGGGTCTCAGCCACACATACACCACAATGACGAAGCCATTCGCAGCAGTGAGATCCGCCGCCATAGACGGCCGAGTCTTGAATCCCTTCTACAGAAAGACCCAGCTCAAGCAGCTACACACCACACTTTCGGATAACGCAGCCCAGATCCAAGAGGCCATCAAGAAGGACACCAACCACAGGCCAGCAGAGATCAAGGGCGAGTACTGGCTCGCTCTACAGTGCATCGCGGATGCATTTGCGTCAATTGACCCACAGAAGTGTATTGAGGACGAGTATGCTATCTCAAAAGGACGCGATGATCCGCACAACCGGAGTCCGGTTGGCATTGTAGTCATTGAGCCTTCTCCGCATGCCTTTTTGTACAGCCTCATGGCGGCCCTGGTGCCAGCTCTTGTGGCAGGTAATTGCGTAATAGTCAAGGTAATTAACAAGAGGTACAAGTTTGAGACAGAAAGCTGACTATGAAAGACTCAAAACTCTTTGCTGGAAACACCATCACTTGTACTGGGTCTGATCCAGGAGTCTCTGGACAAAGATATCCTGGAGGTCACAAGCCAGCAAGTGAATTCAGCAGACATCAACCACCCTCACATTCGCGTCCTCCAAAATGGTTCAACACAGTCAACATCAAATCAAGACCTGGTGTCCAACTCGAAATCACCAGTTCTCGCATTCGTGGAGCGAGACGCCGATGTGCAAGCAGCCGCAAAGGCCCTAGTTTCGTCTCGCTTTGGTCTTGGTGGAAAGTCTCCGTATGCTCCAGATGTTGTGTACGTGAACGAATGGGTAAAGAAAGATCTCTTGCGCGCTCTTGTACAGCAAAGCACCGACTTCATGGCCAACCCAGCTTTGTCTCGGAGATCTGTCAAAGCGGCAAAGTCCGACCTAGCTAAACAGGCCGAAAAAGACGGCTCTGTCAATGCCATAGCATCAGGGTCTGGCGGACTCATCCTAGACGTTGAGGATAGGTACGATTGACCAAATAAGACTGTAGAGATAAGTGCTGATGACAACTAGGAAATCTGCTCTGCTTGGGCAAAAGGTAGCAGAAAATTGTCTTGTCATCCACTCCGTCACTAGCATGGACGACGCAATTGATGCATCTAGGAGGTGAGAGCCAACCCAAGTTCGTCAGGCACCTTACTGACTTGTGTAGTTCCGGACCACTTGCGGCAGCATACATATTTACTACCCCGAACATGGCCAAGTATATGTGCCAATTTGTCGACGCGACTGTCAGCTTCGTCAACCAGATCCCAGCTGAGCTGATGTGTAAGTAATCGTGGCTCTCGAGTAACACGACAAAGTTAACAAGCGACAGATTCACCAATTGCTCCCGAGGGCCATCCCCCACAACCAAACACCTACAGAATCTACCAACAACATCTCTTTTCTAATCCAACCCCCAAGTACATCACAAACTCTTCCACCAGCGAGAAGCTTGCCAAGTTCATGAGCGGATCCTCACCTCATGAGCTAGTTGCCTTAGACCGGGAAGCAACGACAAAACTTCCAGAGATTGTGAGGTTGAAGAGAGCAGGGGGTATTGGCTTCTTCAACCAGGGGATTGTGACAGGCTTGGTGCTGGCTTTGACTACGCTCCTTTCGGGGACTGGGGTGCTTGGGTATTACGCTGTAAAGTACTGGCGGGCTCGAGCTCTATAGTTTCGGGTTGTAATCTTCATATCGAATATGTTTTCTTTGGCGTCGGATAGTCCATAACTGGGTAGTTTCATTACAGGTTGTGACCTCTCCTAATCACTCGAAACCACAAGACGACAAATACAACACTTGACTCGTGGTATCTTTGTGGTACGCTAGATAATATCAAAAACCTCATGTGCTTCCGCCATACCCCCTAAAGACTGCAGAAACTCCCCATGCATGATTCCATCCACAAAACATTCACCAATAAACTCAAAACCCCCTCCACTCGACCCGTCCTCATTCTTAACCGGCCGCAGCAGATACGGCACATTTCCACCATGCAACACCACAATCACATCTCCCACCTTTGAGGGCCAAGGACACAGCCCATACTGTCCATTTTCGGCGACAAAGAAGCAAGGATCAAGACACGTAGGAACGAAGTCTGTCTCGTGCCTCTCCAACTCTGGCGCACCAGCTGGCGTCAAAACTTGCAGGTTTGGCCTTCTGACATAGTTCCAGTGGGCGATGACATGATCCTCATACTTGTGGCGAGCCTTTTCAACAGTCTCGTCGTTGGGCTTAAGGGTCCAGAGACCTGTGAATCCGCATGGATCAAAGAGCTTGTCAAAAACTGCACATATGTCGCTTTGCTCTCCGTTGTCGTGGGCAAAGGGGTAGAGGTACTCGATGGGGTAGTGGCTGATGGCAGCAATCTCGGAGACGTAGTGGCCTGATAGTCGGATGATCAAAGGATTAGAGGTCTTGAGGAGATCATTGTTGGGTTTCGTTTTGCCGCCTGCCGAAAACTTGAAGCGAGCGTTGAGATTTGCTTGAACCCATCTCGAGTTTCCAATTGTGCTTACAGACCAAGTTGGTCTGTTAGGCTCCATCTCGGGATAATCTGACCCAACAGTTCTTCTCCATGTTCGAGCTGGGTGGCAATGAACAGCGGATAAGATGGCGAGTGAGTCATGTTCTCGGATCCACCAGCGAGTGAAGTCAGCAAAGACTCGTTCGGCGGGTTTGTCATAGTTGGGGCGGATCAAGTCATCCAGGTCTTCCGCCACATGAGTTTCGTCTGCAAAGGTTAGCAGAGCAAAGAGCTTGTCTCGGGGATCTGTTGCTTTGAGGTCCAGTCCAGCAAAGAAAACATCAAAGATTCCAGAGAGTTTCCCTGTATCTTCAGCGTCCACTGGAGTGATGGGAGTCTCTGTTGTTCTCCCTTTTGGCTTCAACGATTTCCAAATCGGTTGCATGATGGCTTGTGACATGATATGCGGACTCTGTCCTCGGAAACGCGGATCTCCTAGCCAACTGTTCACCTGCAAAAGCTCTTCCCAGAGGACCTGTTCACCTGAACAGTGTACCAAAGCCTTTTTCGCGGACAAGGCTTCTTGAACTACCCATACTCGAGTGAACCAGGGATTTTCGAAAAGCGTGCTCATCAGGAAAGACAGTTGTGTGTTACCGTACCAGCCCGCAAGATCGATGATTTCTCTTGACCAACTCTTTTCATGAATGTCAAAGACCTCCCACATGCTCTGGAAAGAGATTGGGATTTTCTCCTTCTTTTGGGCGTCCATATGGGCATCCATCTCCTCCAAGGACAAACCGTGAGGAGTGCCTGAGCATGAACAGCCATCACCACCAGGACATTGACGGCTGTTGTAGTTGCAGATATCTCGAATGAGTCCAAGGCAGGTTTCGACGCCGACGTTGTTTTCTCCAAGCCAAATGTGTACGGTCGAGGCGAGCGAGTAGATAGAGCTCATGAGCGTGACTTGTTGAGCTCTCTCTTCGAGATCATCTTGGTTGATACAAACAGCATCAATCCAGATTGTCAGAATCTCTTGCTTTTTTCTCAACCGTCGAAGAGCCTCGGCGGCTGATCGACCGACACTGAACCGTTGGAGGGCACCGTCAAGCTTCACGTCGTCTTTGTCGGGGGCCAGGAAAATGTCGGTACGGTCTGTGACGTCTCCCCAGCAATATGAAAGCGCATCAAAGCTGAGAGATCTATTCTCAGCATCATTAAGGCTGGCTTGACTGAAGTATGCCTTGATGGGATCGTCAAATTCGCCTGGTTCGACGTGAAGAAGTCGGATTTCTTGGTCGTTGACGCTCAAAAATGTGTTGTAATGCTCAATGTTGGAAAATAAGTGTAGCTCATCGAGCTCTTCGTGTATGGTCTTGGTCTCATATTCGATTTTGATCCGACATTCCTTGACGATGTTCACCCAAGCTGTGTAGATTGCTCTAGGAATGAGTTGAATAACATCTCCAGGGCGGAGGGCTTCGATCCAGAGTCGACGACGAGGTCCATCGCGAAGGTGCCACCTCGTATTGAGCTCAAAGAATTCTTTGTTTGCCAGGCGATTGTGAAAGACGGTGATGGTGCGTAGATCTCCTCGACCTTCTGGGCGCTTGACTGAAGCGTCAAACCATGTGAATGATGGCTCTTCCTGCTTGCTCGCCCAACCTATTTAGATTTTAGCGACGAGCCGAGAGTAAAATACATTCTGGCTTACCTTGATCATGCGATACTGCGGTGAAAGTGACCGCTACAACTTTCTTGGCATCTGCAGGGACTTGCACTTCAACATATGCCCGTTCAGGACAGTGGTCATGGACCTGAAGCAACTCCTTGTGCTCTGCCACACACTCTTGAATGACGGCATCCATGTTTTGAAGATAAATAAAAATTATACTAGATCATATTGCAAGATATTGTTCAGCTCTTGAGGTATTTAATCGCCGTGAGTTGTGAGGAAACCCACGAGCCATGACCCCTTGCAATCAATTTCAGACATAAGGCTACGCGATATATGCACCGTAGGCCTTCGGAGCTGGATTCCACCAGTCAGAGGTCTCAAAACAATGGAGGGTACGATCGCAGGGCTGAGCGAGGGGCGCAGCGATGTAACGTCTGTGGGTCAAGGGTCCCAAATATAGAGCCAAGACGGGGACTAACGCCTTATCTGTTGTTGCGAATGCCTGCTTAGTGTCATTCGAGATCGACATGCGCCGCTGGATTGCGTAAACCGACGAATACGGGCTGTGTTGTTGATGCATGTGGTCGTTTGAGTCACAGAAAGATATCCCAAAGGACTTGGACCGGTCACCAGAAAGAACAAGTGGTTTCTCACTTTGGAGAGTTGAATATTTGAACCCTTTCCAATGATCGCTACTAACAGATTGTATGAAACAAACAACCGACAGGCGTCCAGGCGATAATCCCTTTGGTAGCTAAGAAGTTCTAGTTCTCCGTGGCACCGAGCTACAAATAATCAACACTCAACGCATAGAAATTCCAAATCGCCAGCAGATGATGCCTCAATATTGGGAGTTTTTCTAAATCATAGATTGCCCTCTCATCTTAGGTTGACTCTCGCCTCTTCTCCTTACCTCATTCAAAGTGAACCTTTTTCTTCCCCTTCCTTGCCTCTCTCTTCTTCTTACATTCGCCACAGATTGCCGGTTGCTGAGCATCCCTCATCTGGACTCCCATGGAGCACTGGCCGTAGCGTGACATGTTGCCAGCCCCCTCGCATGACTCTTGGGTCATCTTCCTCTGCCGTTTGGAGTTGCAGTCAGGGCAGACTGTGAACATGATGGTCTTCCAGCACATGGTGGCTACCGGGCGAGAGCCGACTCCGAGTTTTGATAGATTTCGTGGTTTCGATCGGTGGTGGTTTGTTCGTGTTTCGTAGGATGGGGGAAAGATCGAAAGAGACGTTGAGACTAAAGCAGAGACGGTCATATATAGATGACGCTGACAGTGAGTATTATACTGCCTGGCTGTGAGTCAAGGCGTGAGACCGAACATTCTTGACAGTGGCGGACATTCAGGGCGACTTCCGGGTCACCTCACTTAAAAAGCGTCAACTCACAGTCCAAGGTATGTCGATATTGAGACTTCTGTTCTAATTTTCCAACAGTTGATCAATGAGATCAGGCCCGAGAAGTAACAGCTCTGTGTATACATATCCTAGCGCACCCATGAAGCCGCATACGCGTCACTTTGCGACAGCCTCTGACAACCTTCCTCGTCAGGAACTCCCTGCAGAGATTCTCGCGGAAACATGACTCTAATGGCCACGAGGCCATGCTTTACAGAAACACCGGCTGTGAATCATGGCCTTCTACGAGCATATAAGCAGAGGCCCAGCACTAGGGGGAAGATGAGATTCTTTCTTCTGAACTACAAAATCCTAGTTCAAGACCGAAGCTACTCTCTGGTTTACAACACACACGACGAGATATCCATCTGACCAGGACCCAAGCTCGAAAACAGAACAATCCCGCAAAGAAAAGCTAACCAACAACATGTGCAAGACGGTCATCTACAAGTGGCTCTGCCTCCGCTGCGACTGGAAATACCGCCATCAGATCGACCAACTCGTCTGCTCCCGAGTCGCCAATGGAGGGGGACTGTTGGTGCATGGCTCCTGTGGGATTGACGAGTTGGTCGAAGTCACCAAGAGAAATGGGCTATGCGGCCCATGCGTGAACAGGCATAGGAGGAGGCATATGAGATAGCTGGGAGCAGGGTAGTCGCGGTAGTTGAGAAAGCTTCCTTCGGGAGCGTCACCGTATCCGCAAAACATGGTGTAGTTTAGGAGCAGTATGCATTATGTTTGTAGGTATTGAGATTGATATCTCGGCAAGAATTCCCTAGGCTCTCTTCGGGTTGATCGGGTTGATCGGGTTGAACTACCACCTATCAGCCGCACTCGAAGACATGCGATCCTCCTATTTTGCTAATCTATGCTTTCTCTGCGTTATGTATATACTACACGTGGCCACTGTCACCTTGGTCATGCAATGCCGTACTTTTCGGGTGCCTCCCATCAATCCACAGCCAAGGACTTTGACACGGACCCATATCACGAGAAGAACAGTGCAATAATAACTGCCTAAATCTTCCCATGGGTGACAAACGGCCCCAACTATGCTTATCGCTGCATATCTAGAGTTGATAGGAGTGAATCCGTAAAATGAGTGACTGGCATGACCACGAACAAGCTCCTTTAGGCTAAATGGTCCTCCCCCAGACTCTCCGCATTCCCCTCAATCTTCACCCACGATCCTGCACCACCCGGGCTTAAATGACATGAGGTTGATCCACAGTCTTTAGTTCAACCTCTCGGCGAACGGGAAAGTAGCTCGCGAGCTCTAGGTCACGGGGAGCTAGCTGGCGCGGCCGGCGTGCAATTGGATCACTTGGTCAAAGCATCCGACCTACATCGAATGCCTCTGTTTGCGGGTGGAGAATAAGTCAGGAAATTATGTCGCCTACTGCTCTTACAAGAATGATGGTAGGGCGGAATCGACGCTGACACACTGGCGCTGTACGAAGAAGGGACGTCAAGAGGTATTTGGCCTCACTGAGCTGCCGTAGTCGCATTCATGACTTCCGTGAGCTTCATTTCTTTAGAACTGTACCTCACCTCTACTATAGCTATCACAGAGCATCTACAAACTGCGTGATTTCCCTATAGCATGATTTCTTCTGCCAATATAAACGATATCGACGGCTTGATCAGCCAGCTGGACCTTGCGAAGATCAGTCTTATCGCCGTGTAGGGAAGATGCTGCACGATAGGTTGGCCATGTCCTTGCAGGGGAAGCTCTCTGCCACCGCATCTCGGTCATCCTCGCTCCCTCTTGACGATCGCTCACCGAACCTCTCATACTGAGGGTCAAATGTCAGAGATGATATGTTCTTACCCGTGACTCGTATCCTCTACTCCTTCTTTAACGAGGACATCACCTTCATCCTTCTGAGGAGCTAATCCCCGACGAAACATGCCAGAGGAGCGCTTCTCCTAACCCTCAGCTCCTCTCAACCACCCCGTTCTAGGGTAAGAAGCCAATGACAATATTTACGCATTCAACCCGTAAACCTAAGGTATTAGCGGATACGCTAGTCCCCACTAGGACATCCCTGTCCTAGCCAACAGCCTCCTCATGTAACGGGACCTCGGGCTCCCCTGGACGTCATCTTTGTGTTTTCACATCAGACATGCGTTCCTTGGGGCCTCTTCTCTCTTCTTCTCCCCTTGTCCAATGCCGAGTCTTCCGATGGGAGCTGCATCACAAGTGGAAGCTCCCCGCCTGTCCGACTTGCACCACCAAGCCTTCCTCTTACACGCCTTGTCCATCATATCCGAGTCAATACGAGATGCGTAAATCCCACAAAAAGTCCCGTCTGGGCTGTCAAACGTGCAAGAAGAGAAAGATAAAGGTAAGTAGTATCCATCTCTTCTTGACAGGCGCATTGCTAATTTGCCGGGCTCCTCTAGTGTGATGAGGTCAAGCCTGAATGCGGGAACTGCCGTCGATTCGGAGTCTGCTGCGACTTCTCTCCCATCCCTTCGCATGTCCTTCGTCCCTCTCCTGCCTCGAGCTCTGGGCCAGGCCGCCGTGGTCGCCCTCGATCGGACTGGGCTTCATGGGCCGAACAAATCCGACTCTCCTCGAACGCTTCGAACTCAGGTCTTCAAGGTGCCCATGAATGCCTCAATGTCACAGACCTCGAGCTGTTCCACAACTACATGACCACGACGGCCAACACATTACATGCGGGCGATCATCGCGAGCGCGGCCTCTGGTGCGAAGGAGTACCCCGACTAGGCTTTCAGCACCCTTGTGTGCTGGCCTTTCTGCTCTCTCTGTCTTCGTATCATATGGCCAGACTGAAACCCCTCGAGGCCCGAAAGTACCTTGATCTCGCAGAACAGCACTTGGGCACGGCTCTACAGACAGCAACGATACTCCTCGGCCATATCAACCACGAGAATAGCCCCGCCGCCTACATAATATCCATTCTCATCTGCTTCATCGGATTCGCCAAAGGCCCAAGTCCTGGTAACTTGCTTCTCATTTCAGAGGATCAACAAGTCCCGTACTTGAACCTGTTACGAGGCGTCCGACTGGTGATATCAAGTGTAGGATGGACTTCTATCTTCTCGGGTGTTCTCGCTGAATACTACCCCAAGCCGAGCGTTGAAACGGAAATGCTTCCCCTCGATCCGACACTCCTGGAGCCAGGCATCGAAGACTGGAGAGCCTCGCTAAACGACGTGTTGGATTTAATCACCGTCTTCACTGAAGATAGTATTGCTGAGGCATATAGGCATGAGGTGAGGGTCTTGATGGGATGCTGCGAGAAGACATTCGGAAAAGGACAGAACGCCACTTTGGGCGCCGTGGGCAAGATGGAGGTGATTATGATGTGGATATACCAGGTTGGTGATGTCTACGTCGAGGGTCTGACTAGGAAAGACCCTATCTCCATGTTGATACTCGGTCACTTTTGCGTCCTGCTGCGCACGGTAGAGAGACATTGGTTTACCCAAGGGTGGGCGTCTCATATCATGAACGAGATACTGGCCATCTCAGAGAGGAGCCGCAAGTGGCTGACTTGGCCCCTCGCGTATCTCTCAGGACAGAGTGCCTTGCTCAACATGTCGCAGATTTAATGAAATCATTCGGCGCATAATTGAACGTGGTATCCTTTTAATATCCATTGACTTTTGACCGTTGGTAGGGAAGTACAAGGCACTTCGCACGACAACGTCCCCTTTTGCTCTTCTGATGCGATGTAGACACTTGTGCGAGTTCTTCCCTCGTCTGTTCTATCGAGTTGAACAACTTCAGGGAGTAACATCAGCTCTCAAAGACCCGATGCCACTAGTTAATAAATCTCCAAGATCAATGGGAATGGACAGCTGTGGTTCTACTCGAGCTCCAGATTGTGTGAGCAAAAATGAATGAACTGTCAGAATTTTATTGACATTTAGAAGGCAAGTTACACTACCCAGCTACTAAGCACCTTGTTCAGCCCCTCTCGATGAACACAGTTCTTGAACGAAAAGCTCTGCGCCAACTCCTCCAGCTCCTGCTCACTCTTGCCCCTAAACAACTCTGCAAACTCTCCACAGAGAGAAGAAGCCAAGAAAGTTTGCAAGATGTTCCGAATGACATGGGCTCTGGTGTTCCAGTTGGAAGGGTACGTCTTGGTCGCCGACGGCGAGACCTTGTTGATCCACGCAACCAGTGGATCGATGAGGCTGTCGACTTCCTCTGATGGAAAGCCAGTCATACTATCCACCTGCAGATGCTTCTTTCGTTCCATGAACGACTTGGTGAGTTTTCCCCAGGGAGACTCTGGCGAAGTATGGATCATATCCATAATTCCAACACCCTTGTAGGTCCAAATCGCCCACGAGATACGAGCTTCCTCGTAGACACGAAGTTGCTCGCCCAGGAGTTGATACCGTTCCTCATTCTTCTCATCCGCTTCAGGTCCCTCAGTCTCGTACACAGCCCCAAACTCGCCGTTCCAGATGGGAACGTTGTGCGAGCGGTGGAACTCGATCTTTCTCGAGAACTGTTGCTTCAGCTTGGCCTTTTGTTCAGCAGTTCCCTTGTAGCGAGGTCCAGAGGGAAACCCCATCATGCTGTAGTCGTGAACGGCGTAAATGGAGTTTGGAAGGATTTCCTTGAACCCCTTCCACTCCATGGCATACGTGTTTCCGTCGAGGAAGAGGATGTGGTTCGGGTCGATGGCTCGGATAGCCCTTTCTAGTCTGTCGTAGAACTCTGCCACTCGAGTCTGTTGAGAATCGGCCGGTTCATTCAACAGGTTGAACCCAGCTACCCAAGGATTGTCCTTGTACCGTCGAGCCAAGGCCTCCCAGAGCCAGACCGTCCGGTCTTGGTGGTCTTTAAAGTCCCAGAAAGCGGCATAAGAGGTATGGTTGTCCGAATGCCAATCCTGATTCTGGCACCCGGGCACGGTATGCATGTCGAGAATGGTATAAATGCCATTCGAAGAGCAGAGGTCAATGACCCGATCAAGGTGCTTGAATCCTTCCTCCTTCAACTGTCGTGGGTTCATGTCATCCTCAAAATGTTTGTACGAGAAGGGGAGACGGATCGAGTTTAGTCCGAAACTTTGGAGGAACTTTGCATCGTCCTCGGTGAAGAAATGGTAGAGGAAGCGGTCGAAGAAGAAGTCGTACTTCTCCTTGCCCATGACCTCCAGCATCGCAGCTCGAGTGAACGATTCGGTACCCGGATAGCCCGTCAGGAAGTTTTCCATGCTAAGATACAATACACAGTTAGTTTTCTGATGCTCCTTCCATGCATTACTCCAAACAATTAACTAGCAAGGGTAACTTACTTGAGCCATCCTCCCAGTGAGGTGCCTCGCAAGACGACTACGTTGCCATCTTGGTCAACAATCTCATTTCCCCTAACTTTGAGGTATCCTGAAGACATGGTTTTACGATAGTGATGCCACTATGTTGCTCGAAGTTAAACGTAGAATTTCATGAAGTAGTGCCTCTAACCTGCAAGCTTTTATCACTGAGGTACAAGTACATGTCCCACGGCAGCACCGACACGAGACTTTACGCGTCTTCTCGGGCACTATTCACACGACTCAGGAGTATGGCAACGGCTAAAATATGCTTGAATCATTCTGCGGGGTCCTGTATCGTGTGATGACGGTCCAAAGAGAGACATGGCAGCATGGCCCATGAACGTCCAGAGTCGACGCCAAGCGCCCTTGGTGCTTTTACCCGGAGACATTGAAGTAACTTAACCGGTAGGGCAGGATTCAACTACCTGGGATATACTCAGCCGATAGCCTCGACAGTTCTCGTGCCATTCTTCCCCGAGCAGCGGAACTAGTCCGGGGTTGTGACACCGGGGCCAACAGCGGCTGACTCGGGCTCGCGGGGAAGCGGGCCAGCTCCATATGGGGCACTTTTAAGCACTGTTGGATCGATCAGGTTGTTCAAGGGTGGTTAAGTCAGAAAGGGAGGCGTCTCTCTCTTCTGGCCTTGTGAGAGTTGTGGTCGTACCAAAACACCAATAACTATCTAAACCTCTACAAAAATCATACAAGAATAGGTTAATGTCTTATCTTAATTTTAGTGAGCCTAGGAAGGACTTATCATAATTGGTCTAGATCCCAGCTCAGTGGATAATAGCAGTCCTCGCGCAAGCAAGGAGATTCCCGACTGCTGGGGCTGATCTCGGATCCTATGCGTAAAACCATACCGGTTAGGGGGAAGCGTATAAGCAACCAATCGGATAGAATACGGCACCCAAGCCGAGCCAGCTAAAGTGAATCCCCATCTTGTCCCCAACTCCCTCGACCTCCACATGGGGCAGTCCGTTCCCCCTCGCTACGGGGCATCCCCTTCCCCCGTCCTTCATACACCCGGGGTACCCGGGGACCCCATACCCCAGGTTCTCTTCCCCGGACCTAGTGTCTGGATTAGCCTCAACTTGGGCCGTCAGGTGGTGCCATCAGGATGGGGATCGACGAATGTTCCCTTGGCATCGCTCATCATTCTCCCGAGAGCCTTGTTAGAGGCGAGAGTGGCTTACCCAGCTGATGGATGACCGTGGTTCTGGCTTGCTGATAGGAGGGCAACACCGCTGTCTCGGTTGAGCAACGCCCGAACGGCTCGTTTGGTTGGACAGTCTCGGGTTGTAGCCCATAACTTCACCAGAGCACTGGACCATGACCGTGGGTTCCGTAAACGCGGAACGTACAATTCCCAGGGGGACAACGACTGGCTCATGGTCTGGACCTTTTCCGTGACAAACCATCGGTACCAAGTCTTGACTCCACACACCAGACACTAATGCACCCCAGTTCGACCGTCAACACAACTTCTAGGAAGTGGAGAGACATAACCTTTCATCCATGGCAAGACTAACGCCCTGGCGGTCATGCCTCGGTTTAACTCAACTACTATAAAGTCTCTGCATATCCCTTCTGCAGATCCTTCCCATCACATCCTGAATAATCTCACTCTCAACAATTGGTCTCTTACCTCCATATTTCTATTGACTCTACTCAGTAGAGCACCACACAATCATGGTCGTCAACGAAAAGGACATGACCCATCCACCCGAGGTGGCCGAACATCAAGAAATCGCCGATGAAACCGCCCACTCTCCCAAGGACCTCAGCTCCGAGGCTGCTGCCAGAGGTCAGGGCGTCAGCGGCTACGAAGAGCTCACCCCATGGCAGACCGTCATGAAGTTCAAGATGAACTGCCTCATCTGCACTGTCATGACTATCAGCGCCGGCACGGACGGTTACCAGATTGGGTGCGTACACCATGGCCCCTATCCCACGACGAGGAGCTGACATAACATACATAGACTCATTGGCAACATCATCGCCAACGCTGGCTTTGTTGCCCAGTTCGGAACTCAACACACAGACGATGGCAGTGTCGTCCTCGCATCTTCAGTACTGAGTGTCTGGAACTCGCTCGGATCCGTCGGTCAGATCATCGGTATGGTCACGCTACCCTTCATAACCGACAGATTCGGTAGAAAGATATCCATGTACTGGTATTGGCTCCTCCTCGCGATCAGCGTAGCCATCGAGTGTGTCGCCAAAACATGGGGCGTCTGGGCTGTCTCCAAGGTCTTTGGAGGCATCGGCGTCGGCTGTCTGCAGTCCACAATCCCAGCATATATCTCGGAGGTTGCTCCCGTCAGGGTTCGAGGCATGTTTCTCATGGCATACAGCTTCTGGTGGATTCTCGGACAGTTTTTCGCCCCTGTCGCCCTCCAGGTCATGCTCGACAAGGATCCCACAGACTACCTGACGCCGGTCTATACCCAATGGTCCCAGATTGGCCTCATGCTCATCATCTATCTCCTGGTCCCAGAATCTCCAGCCTGGCTTGCCACCAAGGGCAAGGCCGAACAAGCCAAGAAATCTCTCAGCACCATCTACCGGGGCGTCGATGGCTTTGATGTTGACCACCAGTACAACCTTTTGCTCATCAACGTCGAGCACGAACGCGAGGTTGCCGCCGAGCAAAACAGAGAGAAGTGGTACGCCATCTTCAGGGGTAGAGATGGTCTCAGAACAGTCATCTCCTGCTGGACTTTGATGGCGCAGCAGTTTATCGGCCTCGGCATCTTCTTTGGTTATGCGACCTACTTCTTTCAGCAGGCTGGCTTGAAGGATCCTTTCAAGATCACATGCATCACATCTGGTATCAACATTTTCTTCTCCATCGTCGTCATCGCAGTGTCGGATGTCATTGGTCGTCGATGGCTCGCAAATGCTGGAACAACAATCTGCTGGGTATGCTGTGTCGTCGTGGGCATTCTTGGAGTTGCACCGCAAGTCAAGGCGACAAATTATGTCTTTGTGCTCTTTGCCTGCATCTGGAGTAAGTAAACTCTGCCGACTCAAGCATATCATTGACTAATGCATGCAGATATTGGTCTAGTCGCTAACGGAGCAACGGGCTGGGGCTTCATCGGTGAGATTTCCTCGCAACGTCTACGACCCTACACAGCTGGGTTCGCGGCTGCTTCCACATGTGTCGTCGGTGTCGTTATGGGTATTCTGATTCCTTATATGGTGAATGCGCACGAGTGGAACTGGGGCCTCAAGACCAGCTGGTTATTTGCCGGTCTGGGTGCTCCCTTTACTCTTGCCATGTGGTTCCTCATCCCCGAGACGGCTGGGTATGTTGTCAATGTCTGACGAAAGTTGTTGAAAGATACTAACTGGTGATATAGTCGCTCTGCTGCTGAACTTGATGAGCTTTTTGAGAGAAAGATCAAGCCATGGCGCTTCCACAAGACCGTCACTGCGACTCAACGCATGGTTGAACTGAACAAAGAGGAGAGGGAGTGAGATGTATTGTCAGGGTTGGATGGATACTCGTAATCTTTGAGACTCTTTGTGCTCTTCTCGCATGTCGTGTGTCCCATTCAGCAGAAGATAGTTATGAATGGCATTGGGTCATCGGTTTTCATAAGTACTCTCTTGTCATCGTATGTATCCTTTCACCCAAGCTCAAGTTGACCATCGGAGCATGTCGTCTTGTCACTTAGACCGAGATGCACCCATGCAACGTCTATCGATTGCGTGATCGACGCTAGTATACTTCCAGCTCTAAACCGAGCATGTTTGACAAAGCAATTCTAAACCGAGATCCTCAAATCCGTGATATAAATCCATTCCCGAAGCCTCAGCCATACAAAAAAGCAATATGCAAACCAAAAGACGCCCTCCGGCTTTTCCGCGACTCGGACTTTTTGACAAAAAACGCCGCACATCTCCAACGGAACTTGAATAACGTCATTCGTCAGAGTCGACTTTTGCGGGGCTTTGGCTTGACTACATAAACCGACCGGGCCCCAAAGCCGACGGCGACCGGCTATCGGGATTCAGGAACGGACAAGCGAAATCGGCATCATCTGATCTGATAACCAAGACGGCATCCATCTGGAGTTTACATCTACGATCAACAACTTACTTTCAAGATGACAGCAGACAAGGCTTCACTTCCTATTGTTGACTTTGCCAGGTTGAGAGATCCGAGCACAAAGCAGGAAGAGCTCAAAACTCTCCAACATGCTCTGTTCGGTATCGGGTTCTTGTATCTGATCAACACCGAGGTGGCCGTAAGTACATCGGAAGGCATCCCGAGGACTCACAACTGACATTGTCAATCGCAGAACACAGTGAAAGATGTCTACAAGATGCTCCCCGGGCTCTTTGCCCTCCCAAGTGAGAAGAAGGAGGCTGTTGCCATGGTCAAGTCGCCGGCTTTCGTCGGTTATACGAAACTCGGAGCAGAGACCACAGCCGGTGCCACAGACATGAGAGAGGTGTGTGCATGAGCCTCTAAACATCTCAACTGATATTAACACCTGCAGCAATTCGACTTTGGAACTGTGAATGAAGAGATCTGGAAGGAGGGACAGCCTCAGTGGCGTCGGATGGAGGGTCCGAGTGAAGTAAGTCAAACATCTCATTCGAATCGTTAACTTGACTGACACTACCATCAGTTCCCCGACTACCCAGGCTGCGAAGCTCTTCTCCGACGCTATCTATCAGAAATGACAGACCTGTCAAACGAGTTTCTAGGCTACGTCGGCGAGTCTCTCTCACTGCCTAGCGACGTATTCGACCCTTTCAAGCACATCATGCACCGCCTCAAGCTGGTTAAGTATCCCCAGTGTCCCCCAGGCTCAGTGGGAGTTGGTCCTCACAAAGATTCGGCCGGCCTTTTCACTTTCCTGTCTCAAGATGCAGTCGGAGGCCTTCAAGTCCTCAGCAAGGATGGAGAGTGGATCGAAGCGCCCCCGATTGATGGAAGCTTCATCATCAACGTGCAGCAAGGATTTGAGGCCATCACTGGAGGAGTCTGCCCTGCTACAACTCACCGGGTTATTGTAAGCCCCCTTGAATATCTCATCATGGTTCCCATCTTCTAACTCGCGTCAGGCTCCCACAAGCACAACCCGCTACAGTGTCCCCTTCTTCCAGGGCATCAACCCCAGCCTGACCTTGGATCAACTCAAGAGCGTGGCCGCTCATATTGTATCCAAGGTCCCGGTCTCGGATGATGCCAAGAAGCGAGCTGTCGACGTACCGAGCGAGTATCTTTCGCCTCTATTCTCTTGTGTAAGTTCATTCTTTGGCAGTCTAGAACGGGTCTAATATCAGCCTGCAGCTTGGAGAAGCATATCTTCGCAATCGCGTCATCAGCCACCCGGATGTTGGACAGAAGTGGTATCCTGATCTGTACACCAAGTACAGTCAACAAAAGCTTGTATGATAGGAAAACTTGTTTTCAGTGTGAAATAGTATGAACTTGTATCAAACATTTGAGGTTCGGGCTTGGATTGCCTCCTCACAAAGACTCGGCATCCTATCAGTGTAGACTCTCTGTTGCCTGGTGTTAGTGTTCGGTTACGAATACGAGCTCGTGAAAGTGCGCTCGATTACTTCCTGATCGAGTTAGCCCAGCTGATGACGACAGGCTCCTCTTAGCCCCCAGACAATTGGGATCTTGACGTTGACTTTTCCTTTGCAAAGATGATTTCCATGTGAAGATGCCGCATCTGAGAGAATGAAGCGCGCTGTCGGACCTCTGGATAAGCGCAAGAAGGTGACACGATGTCAGTCGTGCGTCAAGAGGCGCATCAAGGTATGGATGAATTGTCAACCCTGACGCACCAATAACATGAAGCTAATACATAGCAATAGTGTCAGGGTGGTTCTCCATGCGAATATTGCATACGGACTAAAAAGCAGTGTCTTGCTCAACATCCTGCGCCGAGGCCCAGGCATGAATTTATCGCCGTGACGCCAATCACCACGCCTCTGCCAGTCATCCAATTCCCCACACAGGTTCCCACGGCCCCGGAAAATATTTACTCGGATCACTTCGTTTTATTCATGAAGCATTGCGAGTTTACGAGGGGCTTTGGGGATGTCAGTTCCGACCTTGTCTCGCTCATCCAAGCATGCCCACCACTCCAACAAGCAACGGTGGCGATCGGCGCACTCGAGGCCAGCAGAAGGGGAAGCAGAAGCACATCATCTAGTTCTGAATCTCCGCAGCATCTTGCGTTTAAATCATACAATAAGTCGATCCAAGCCCTTCAAGGGCAACTACAGTAGACAGGGGCCTTGCAATCCGAAGGTGTACTTTGGTGTACGTTTCTTCTAGGGCTGTTTGAGGTACGATCCTACTACGCTCAGAATCTGGTTCAAAAACTCTAATTAGTTATCAGTTAATGTCCGAAACGTCTGGGGAGAGGTGGATCAAGCATATGCTGTATGGCACATGTAGAATATTCCAATCGAAAGGCCCAGGGAGGCTCGATCCCCTCAGCGAGAGGCTCTTTGAGGCCTTTCGCCTCCTGGAAGCCAGCAGGGCTATCATTTATGGTGGACCTACTTTTCTATTCCAGGATTCATGGATGAAGCGCAAGAAACCCCGAGCAAGGGATCCCTCAGATCCAATGGAAACCATCCTTGAATTTCTAGTCCGGATTTCTACTTGGAGCAAAAGGTAAAAACACCTATGTGGTCGTTTCCAAGCCAGTACCTAACCATCGAGTAGCTTCTTTGAGAATCTCGAGGCTATTCCAAGCCATCTCCGCGCCAACCATCCAGCGGTGCATCTGCTCACTCGTCAAGCCAAACACTTTCAGCTAAAGCTAGAATCTTGGCTTCAACAAGCAAATGAATATCCAGATTCTGAAGATCCATACTTTAACTTGGCCATGGCCAATTGTCATGCGCTGGTGCTGTTTCTCTGCAGGAACTTCACCTATTATTCCTTCTGGGGAGAAGTGAAAGTCCCCTGGCTGGCTGAGCCAGAGATTACTGCACATGTCAACGCAATAACTAGCCTTTCAGAGGTCATCCTCGAAACATCGAGCATTCCAGGAGTGCTGCTTCTGTTTCCCTTACGAATGGCAGGCTCAAATGCGACTGATATGAAGCAGAGGCAAAGGACATCGAAATTGCTCACACGAGTGTCTCAAAAGGGCTTTATCATTTCAGAGAGGATAACTGTGGATTTGCAAGAGCTCTGGAACTATGAGAATAAAATACCGGTTTAGTAACTATCGACAAATTTACAATAGAAAAGAAGGGAATAATCTGATGCATGTGTCCAGGTGAGCTCCATCGATCCGGAGATCCAACCACATTGCCTCACAACTACTCCTTGGCTTCAGTGTTGAAGAACTCGTTTATGACTCGAGTCCTCAAGCCTGGTGAGAAATAGTCATAGCCAACTATAACATGGCAGTTGTCGACGTAAACGGTGACAGGGATCGCATCTTGGTACATCAAACTCCACTGCAACCATTGTTAGTCCTTGGACAGGTTATCACAAGAAGGGCGATTGCGTCTTACTGCTGCAACAGGAGCTGGAATAAACTTCCTCTGAACAAGGCCCTCAAAGACGGCCCCACCCTTGAAGAGAATGTCCTTTTGGAAGATGGGAAAGTTGGAGTTAACATATCCCCTCCAGACTTCAGGCTTGCTGGAACCAGGAGTATAGGTAGTCAAGGTGTTGTCGACAAGGCCGGACTTGGTGACATTGGCGTAGTTGAACAAGGACGAGGCAAGCTTGCCATCAAAGGCTTCATCAGCGCGAACGAGGCCCTTGGAGGGAGAATTGTCAATAAACCCTGTCGTAATGTGCGACAAGTTTTCGTTCCTTTTAGTTTTAGTCAGAAGAGAAAGGAGATGTCAGAAGAGAGGTGTACCATTTGTGTTGGACAAAGTTGGTTTTGAACTCAGGCTTGACGAGGGGCGGCTCCGGCTGTACAAACCCAGCCGAGAATTCTACCATGGAAGAAGGGAATGGGGAACAACGAAGTGAAGAAGCCGCCATGACCGTGGTCGAAGCTGCAAGAGCAGTGAAAAGCTGGTAGAAGCGCATTGTTGTGTTTGATGAAGAGGCATGAGAATGCAACTGATGATGTTTGAGTTGTTTGTGCTTCATAGGAGGTTTCATTGTCGCCTTTTATTCTTTGAGCGCTTTGAGTGCGTTCAATAAATGCCTTTTTGGGGTATGACATTGACCTCAAAGGATGGTCCGTTTGCCATCAATCAAGGAGGCTGTGTAGATCAACCATCGCCCACTATTTTCCAAGTCGGGAAGCAATTGAACGCATCTAACCCGACCTCAACATCACGAGAATTAGGTCAAGTACTGAACACAAAAAGTCGGAAATAAACGAGAAGTCATTACGTAGACGGAAATTTGAGATGACGCGGCATCGTTCATCTGCCCGTGTCGGGACATTAGGCAAGATTCCAGACTAATGGGGAGTGGATGGAGATTTCAGCCAGCGTAAACACCAAGAAGCTCAGATCAAGTGCCGATAGGATTAGGTAGGTACAGGTCAATGGAGTGTTGAATTAATTTTGTGCCTCATCAGCCTTGGCAGCGGCATGGAGTAATTCAGGTTGCTCCTCCTTGACATGATCAACCTTTGCAGTTGCCAACGACGGCTCAGCAGTGACACCAAGCAAGGGGTTGGTCAGTCGAAGCGAAGAGTGAGCTCTCCAACAATTGAAAGGAAGGTCGTATCGACCGCAGAGCGTGTTATGCGGCAGTGTTGAGTGTCGGGTCCCAGATCTGGAGCCTCTCTCGAGCTCCATCTCCCCAGATCCACACCACAGCAGAATCAGAGATAATCCTGACATATGATAACAATTCATCAAGCCATTCTTCTTTTCGGTCGGACCTTCTCCCGGGGAACCCACCCTTTAGACACCAATCATCACACCCGCCGACATGTGCTTTTCCAAAAACACCATCTGGGCCTGTCACCGATGCGGAACACACATCGACAATCAACAAACACCCGTCGGGTATTGCCCCGACGTCAAGAAGAGAGAAAAGTGCTTCCGCGCCTTCGTCAACGTCTTCGTCGCCTGCGACCCGGCCCTCTGTCTCTACTGCGGCTTCCACAAACACGAAATGTACGATGAGGTCGAGCACCGAGTATGGGACATGTCGCTAGGTCAGGGCTTGCTTGGATCTCGCCGTGTGAAATACTTTTGGGGATTGGATCCTGCTCCGACGTGGGAGGCCTTTGAATCGGCGGAGCAGGAACGTATTGCTGATGGTGAGTGGCGCTGCACCGAGAGGGACAGGGCCTTCTGATTCTCTCATATGGTGTCACGATAGGCTTACCAGTAACGCAGTGGCTAAAATGAGAGCTCCGTGGCGCTCAGGAGAATCGCATAACAGCACGCACCAGGCCGCGTGAGGACGTGGCAACGGCACCCAATTCGAGCGACTGAGCATCAGGATAAATCAACACGGCGGGGGCGAACGAATTTCTCTCAAACGGAATCGATACCACACAGGTAGAATCACTTGTATAATCAATAGTTTCATTGCTATTGATCGGTTTGCTGCGGGTCTTGGGTCATTCAGTGGGAGAACGCACCTGGTGGTTTATATAGGAGTCGCTATCTTATGCTGTGTTATTAGTGATGGTGACTTGTTATTGCTAGAATGAAGAGCATTTTATCGTTCTCGATGAGATAAGGTTTGTTGAGGCAGAGTGTTAAGCGCGAGAGTATCTATAGAGCTTATTTGATATTAACTCTTATATTGAAAAGCATGGGCATGATGGCTTCACTGTGTAAAGCTGTATTTATTTAACTGGGTTGCCTTGATTTACCTTCTGAGTATGCTGTGAGGCTAAATTACTTTTTAATTGTTGTTGGCCGAAACGGATTGCGTTCCAAACAAAACGATGAGAGTAAACACTGCTTAACCAAAGAAAGTGAATATCAAAAGAAGTTCCGAGATGATATCAATCCATCTTCCATTCATCTCCTTGATCAACATCACACATTCACTCCAGAGATCCTTCATCAGCCAGCGTTACATTCACCTTCAACTCTCATCGCTCCTGCCCGGCATCACTGACCCGTACCCTTCTCAGTCACTACATCATTTCTTCACCTCTCATCATTCAAGATGTGCATCACCACCTACACCCGAGGCCTCTGCAGCACCTGCGGCTTCCTGGTCACCTACAACATCGACATTACACATTGTTTCTTTACGGGATCGGAATCATGCCGAGAGCAGCAGGCAGATCCGGTTGTCGTCAACACAAAGGTCCAACCTGCTTCTTGCAAGAAGTGCACCGGTGCATCTACTCTGCACAGCCAAAAGGTTGTGTGTGACGTCTGGGGTGGTTCTTGTGACCTCGCAAACGCCAAACCCCTATAGTAAGTCAGAGATGAGTTACTCTGGCCAGTGACTAACTTGAGACCTAGATGCGAGTTGCGGTCTGCAGAGGCATACCATTACGGACTTGGCCATGGGCGACGGAACCGACTTGGTAGCACCCAACATGGGACACATTCACCTACATCTTAGGAACTGTCGGGCTTAAACAGGAGTAGTCGTTTATTCCCTGTCACTGATCAGTCAGGCTCGAGCAGTGAAACTCTGAGGGTATAAATTGAAATGGTCTTGTCCCTCGCTTGAGAGTTGTGATGTTGTGCCCGCTGTTCCTTAGCACGCCGCCAATCAATGACTTGTTTGCTTCTGATGAACCATATCTCTCGACGCTTCCTCGTTAGTGTCCGCCAATCTAAAAGCCTCTCCCTATCCCCGGTGAGCCAGATGATTTTCCTCTCAGAGCCAACCAATCGCCTGATTATCGGCCCTGTGTGCACACCAAAAGAAAAGGGCATAAGACGGCCATATCATAACCATCATGTGCATATCCTACTTTATCCGTCATATCTGCGACACCTGCGGCTACCTAATCCGGGTACGCTCCAACGAGTTCGAATGCAAAGACAACAAGTGCCGCACTTGGGAGACCTTCAAGGATGATCTCAAGATCGAGGAGGAGGACTGCCCCAAGTGTATCAGGAGGAGTCGAAAGAAGAAGACCCAAACAGAAGACGAGTAGAGCATCGAATCACTTTCGCCCATAGGTAGCCAAAGCCTTTCTCACATCCTGACGGTGTGACAGTGAAACAATGCTCATATACGTGATACAATGAGTTTGGAATTGAAGGGTCTTCTCGTGCAACTTCAGATGACCAGTGATTACTACCTTTCTAGGAACATTTGTGACCTCGAAAATCTCTTCGGGCAAACAATACGCCCAAGCACAGCAAGACTTGACACTCGCCACGACAAGAACAACTTCACAGACAATCTGCCAAACATCACTCGATATTGAACTTCGATACATCTTTGGGATTTAAAATGTGCAAATTCACCAGCACCGGCTACCTATGTAGGGAATGCTCCTACCTAATCAAGATGCCATACACTGAGGAGAAATGCGACCACGTTTTACAAAAGAGGCCTGGGGTCTGTCAGTATATTCCCAGACACGACACGGTCTACGTTCACCAAGATGAGTGTCCGGAATGCAGGAAGAAAAAGAAGGGCAAGAATGTGGTCAGGTGAGGTGGTTGATGTCCCAGTTGCGGTAAAAGTCAATTGAGCGACAACGCGCGGAGCGAAGCTCTGCGAGCAATGATAAAGAGTTTACTTTATATATATTTTTACCCGGCGCCATGGCTTAGTGATCTTGCCCTCCAGGCGGTTCCTTGACAACCTCCAGCCAGAGACATGGCTTCCGAGACCAAGTAGAAGAACACATTGAAGCTTGTTGATCTATCAAGGCTTCGGTCAAAACTCAAGGGTCAAAATACGGCATTTATCCTACATTCGTCGTGCCTAGGGGATCCGTGTCGTCTTACCAGCATTTCCTCAGGACCAGGAGTCGGTCTCTGTGGCCACTGCGCATTTGCGAGGTGCATGTTGGTAGGCACGGAGTGAATAGGGAAGATCATAAGGTCATCACGACGTTGCTTCCAAATAAAAACGTTCTATCAACTTCAGATGCAAACACAGCCCCAGTGAAAGTCCATTCGCACAAAAGGCACTTGAGCATCGCTTGTTCCCTGCCTAGTCACTAGCAGTTCAGCCATCCTGCTGGGTCCGCCAACACCATCATCAATCGACGTCCCCCCTCCAGGCTTCAGGGCTCATGAATCGATTGATAGCGCAGTATGGAAATAAAACTCCATTCAATGGTCGGCCTCCGTGTTTGTAGACCCGTCAAAACGTGCGACCCAGCCACGCAAGTCATGTCCGCCCGCAGCGACAGCAAGACGAGCCAAAGTACACAGAAGAGCAGGGACTAATCGCGGTTAGACAACGATGAAAAGAAAATAACCAGAATTTCCATTTCTCGGTCACTGTCAATGGCGCGTTTCACGTCTAATTCTCCAAGCGGACTCCTCCTCGCGGCATCGCGGACCGCGGACGTTAATATCGACCCGCGCATCAGCTTCGCCATCAACCTTAACCACCAAGCGTCTGCGCTAAAGCTCCCGACCCTCATCTCAGCCCTGCGAATACTGGGGTCGATCTCTTAAGTTTCTAATTATCGCGCTTTCTCGGTCATCCGTCGTCACGTCACAATTTCCGAAGCTTCAATGCGCCTCCGCGCAAGTCGAGATTCGCGGGGGATGGATTGTCAGAGGATGTGTATAAAGGAGCTGGGAAAGACTCGGCAATGGATATGGAAGCAAGCAAACAAACAACATCTTCATTCTATAGTCTCTAGTCTCGATTTTTTTGTCACAATGGCGATCCGCAAGATCCTCGCCCTCTCCTTCACCTTGGTGTCGCTGGCCTCCTCCAAGACGATCAACTACCCCAACAATTCTGCCGATGTCATCCTTGATCGAGCCTTGAACGCGATGGGTGGTGAAGATGTCATTGCGCGCCTCGATGGAGTCACCTATCACTCTCCAAAGTAGACTTCTCTTTCTGTGTTGAGGGAACAACAGCTAACATGGTCCAGCATCTACCGTTCTCGAAGTCTCATGCAGAGCTACAACATGGACAGAGCCGATACAGCCATGGCTATATCTGGCGCTCAGAATGTGTCTTTTAGTTTTGACTCGAACGAGTTGACTCAGCGAATTGATCGCATCCTCAAGCCTTCCGGTATGTCCTAGACTCAACCTGCTCATACCAAGGCTCACAGATAGACAGAGTATTGGTCTTGGGGGTCTCCCAGACTCGACGAGTTCAACCACTCGCTCGTTGTCAGAGGTGGCAAGAATGGCTTTGCGTGCTATGTTCGCGGTAACAACCAGATCTGGCTTCCTGCCGACCTCACTTCTGGATACACCGATCGTAAGTAATGTAATTCCCGCCTTCTGGCCAGACTCTGATGATTCGCTGTAGCTGCCCTCGCCGAGTACTTGGTGCTCCATGGAAACATGCTCTCACCCAAGCTCTTGCTTCAGGTAAGTTTGTGCTCAACACAACGAAACCGTGAGATACTGACGCAACCAGGTCAAGGAGCACCGTGGCGCCAAGGCCACCGAAGTCGACGTCAACGGTGTCAAGATGCCAGCTGGTACGCATCTTGTCTTCTCATCGTCACAATTACTAACCCAGTCAGTCTATGACCCTGTCCTCGACATCACCGTCATCTTCGACACTCGCACCCATCTCCCCCACATCGTCCGCACCGTAGAAGACCACATGATATACGGTCCCTCAACCAGCGACCTCTACCTCAGCGACTACAAAGCTGTCAAGGGCATCAAGTTCCCCCACCTCGTCCAGACCGTCTACAACTCGACCGTCGAGAAGCTGGACGCCACCCTCGAGGACTACATCATTGAGGAGATCACAGTCAACCCCAAATTCTCGCGAAACTTCTTCCAGGGTCTTCCAGACGACAAGGGTTTCTTTCCCAAGGCTGCACCCAAGAAGGTTGAAGGTTACACGCATGCGCGCATCGGCGAGTTTAGCTTGAACGGCCTCTGGGCAGGCCTCACAACGTCTACTGTCGATACCATCAAGGGCGAGAAGCCTGTTCCTGGGCTACCCAACGTGTACTGGATCATTCTTGACCATGACCAGCTCGGAGTCAAACAGTTCATCATTGAGTTCGAGGATCATCTCATTGTTGGAGATGCTCCTCCCCAGCACACCAAGGAGGTGATCAAGTGGATCAAGAAGAACATCAACAAGCCCATCACGCACCTCTGGGTAAGTCTACCACAGTGAGCGGTTGAACCATGCTAACAAGGCCAGCCTACTCACCACCACCGAGACCACACTGGAGGTGCCGCCGAGTACGTCAAGCTTGGAGCCAAGTTGATCGTCGCCGACGTCTCAGCTAAGTACTGGTCAAGCATCCCAGGCGCCGAGCTCATCACCTTCAAGTAAGCCACTCTCATCCATACCTTCAATACAATGTTCTAACATCTGCCAGTGATACCCACCCTTACGTCCACAGCGACAGCAAGACCCAGGCCTGGTTCGTCTGGGAGGAACAATCCACTCACTCCATTGACTGGACCTACGCCATTGTCACCGAGAAATGTCCTTCGAAGCGCTCTTCCGTCGCCGTACTTGAGGCCGACATCTGGCACCCCAGCATGCCCGACGGACAAAACGACCGCGAGCTGATGAGAGAATGGTTGGACCAGGTGGACAAGGACGGACTTCCCGAGAGCGCATAGTAAGTTCTTTCTTGATCCATCGTTTCTTTGAATGAGTCAAGCTAATTTGAGCAGTGTTCTTCCAACTCACGGCCAGGTTCGCCCGATCACCGAGCTCATTGAGCACACCGGGTACGTGTATGCCCCCAAGACGATTAAGGATTGGAGGGGCGGTGGAGCCATATGCCAGAAGGCTTAATTGTCTACTTGAAAGAGTGCATACAAGACACTCTTGCTGCAAAATGCAAGAATCGACGAAAAGGGCCAGAGTTGCATGAAAGGGGGTGACAATGACATCCTCAACCAGGTAGTAGGATGGAAGGAGGATCTACATCAGGGAGACGTTTATAGACTTGTTTTTTTATCATCTTCTCTTCTTCTTGTTATTAGTTGTGTCGTATATTGGAATCACCAACTTCGCCGAAATGTTCAAGTCGCTCAATCTATGAAGCTGAACACACCTCAACAGATGTCAGCACTCACGCATACCCTTCTCGTCAACCCCTGCTCCGAGCCAAATATTCATTGTATTTCCTATCTTTCAATGTTTAGCAACACTTAATTATCTTACTCAACATCGACCAATCAAGATTCTTTGAAGGCCGTTCAAAGAAATCAGGCCCGAGTCAACGGAGGCTCCGGAACATCTTTCTACGCCGTAATAATGACTGCTTCTTTGAAGATAGCGAGAAAAGTCTTTCTATACAGTCGCATATTTCTTTCTGCATCTGAAGTAAACCCATTCACAATTAATCTTAAGAGTTCTTGTTAGTGGGCAATAGTCAACACAAAGAAGTAGTCGGCAATAGCCCCCCAGAGGACATTATATTAGACGTAGGGTTTCCATGAACTTTACCGATAACTTATGACTTCCTCTCCCTCTATTCCTTTACTTGCAGTGTACAGTGGTGTCTTCTTGCTGTCAAGTGCTCATCACTATGGACGGCTCTGATCCCATCAGTGACCTTGGCCTCGGGTGCCCCTTCAATGGGACCTTCTACATCTGCAAAGACAGCCCAACACGATTTATAGGCTGTTGCACCTCAAACCCGTGCGGAGACAGAAAGGGTCTCTGCCCCGACGAACATCTGGAGCCGGCCACCTTCGAAGCGCGGTACAGGATCCCTCCCCAAGCTTGTATCAACGATAACTTTGCCGTCTCCTGGTACACGTGCCCAGATACGAGTCCCCCTTTCTTGGGATGTTGTGCCGTGGACCCCTGCAGCAGGAGAGGTTGTCCGGATAGAGAGCTTCGAGCAGCCAAGCTGAGCGACAAGAAGAGCGATGCCGACCTGTTTACTGGGGGATCATCTCCAGGCTCAGACCTAAAAGGGAACCCATCAGCCAAAGTATCAATCACCACCGCAATGTTGACCACCTCATACATATCTACAAAGACCATAGAGGCAGGGGCGAAGGCCACGTCGACCATCGACTCGGCATCTCCAGCCAGCCACCCCTCAGGCGGGAAGAAGAAATTGTCACCGGGCGGTCTAGCTGGCGTAATCCTTGGGGTAGCAGCCGCTTTTTTCTTGGTGGGTGTGATTTTTGCATGCATCTACTCACGTCACAACAAACGACGGTTCCGCACTACCAACGAGAACCAGTCCTCCTCACGTTTGTCAATCGCTCTCTCGTCAATGTATTCATCGCGAAGGGGGCCAATTTCAGCCCATGGGTCCCTCTATGGACTTGAGCATGAGGGTCGGATGACTGGGATCCAAGCACCCTCCAGGATTCCTTCTGGTCAAGATCCGGGGCAGGGGATACACGAGGGGGCCTCTTCGGGGGGACAGCACCTACAACAGCAGAGTCAAGAGGGATGGACTCAACAGCCGCAGTCAATTCAAGATGCCTTGTCTATGCCCAACTCCCGTGTTCCGAGGAACCCTGTACAAGGACCCAACACGGATCAGACTTCAATGCCGTATCCTTCTACGCCCCAGCCTCCCTATCCACCTTCAATCATTAACCAGAACGAATGGGATTGGGAAAACCGGAGTCAACTAGACCCCCGTAGTTATAATCCTTGGACCGAGTTGCCTGCGAATGCAGAAACGCCTCTTTCTATAAACCCTCCGAGCACTCCTGTTGATCAGCCTCAGTTACCGATAGCCGAGTTGCCCGCAAATGCAGAAAAGCCTCTTTCTACAGGCCGTCGCAGCACTCCGATCTTTCGTATCATCCTTGATGAAATTGACTGCAGGTGGCATGAACCAAGCCCAGGGCACCCTGAAAGCTCCCCACGGCCTCCGATCACCAGACCCAGCACTGCACCTCCAAGTGGCATTTCTGAAGAGCAGTCTGCGGACGATATTGACTCCAGCAACACAGTGGCCACGAGATTGGAGCGACAACTGAACCATGATCAATCAGGATCTAGAGGCGAGCACCAAGATGTTACCAGCTCAGGACAAGATAGTAGGCCCGAACTAGGTCCGTAAGATGGACATGGTTCCAGAGAAGACCGTCTGGGAATTGGAATAAGTCGTGGCCCGGCGTGGACTCTGGACGGACAATGGTTTAACAGATCTATTATGATCCAAGGCGTTGATGTCCATGGCTATGTCGCATCAAGTCAGAAAACAGACAATTGTAGCTAGCTCTTCCGCAATGAGTAGATGTTTTTCGCTCAATTCTAGAAGATTTCTGGGAAACCATCCCGTTTTGCGAGAGGAGTGCTCATTCCTCGAGCCCATGCTCACGATATCGTTCGATCCTGGGGACCGGATAATGGGGACAAACATTCATCTCGGAAATGTTGATCCAGGTGATCTTAACCCGAGGCATTCGAAGGCTGTCGCCTCGTGCTGGCACCGAATCCTCTGCTGGTATCACGATGACGTTGGAATACTGATCATCAAAGGTGCAGCTAGAAATGGTCTCACGGCGACGGATCTTACTACCAGCCAGTGCCCAACACTGCGCTCGTCAGCCATTCTCAAGCGATTTTGGAGCCTGATTCAAGAGTTGGGCACCTGTTCAACAGCCATCAACTGATGATCCTCCTGATCAGCGAGAGTAGTACAGATAATAGCCTCCTGTAGACAAGCAAGGAGATCAGCAAATGTGGCAACAGCGGTTATAACACGCCACAGGCGCATTTTCGCCTCTAAACTTTCTTTAGAATAAACTATTGACTTACACATTCTAAGAGTTGTGTTGTTTGGTGGACGAGCTTGCTTTGTCGGCTGCGAGAAGCTCCATCACGAAGAGCTAGTCATTTAACACTCTCAATTATCCCAATAGTCCTAATCTACCGTATCTTAGAAGCCTACATGCATCCTACAATATGGTTAGACCATGCATTCGTACCTATTCTGTGATCTTTCTCTGTTGAGAGGAAAGAAATTAGCGAGTTCCGCTGCATCGGAAGTCGGTTGTCTAGGGTAACTTGACCCTGGAGATGATAAATGCCTGCATCAAGATACCCAATGAATTGTTGCCCAATTGAGTGACGAAAAGATGATTTCCTTCAATAAACAGTCTCGCATGAGTAATTCAACCATGATTCAGGCTGCCGTTGGAATTTGAGCTATTGATGTCTCTCCTTCTCGGGATTATGGACAAGCTTAACTCCGGAGCCCGCCCAGAGGCTAACGGACGAATGCCCATTTGCATGTGTTATGAATCAGTGTGCGACACACGCTATTTCGCATGCCTTGACAAGAAGAGCAACGCATTAAGGTGCTATCTGAGCTTTAACTCCATACCTAAGACCGATCATTGTGTTACTTGCCATCACCGTCAATCTTAGGCCATGCTACCAACATCGCGGGGTCTCTCGTCGCTCTGGTCAAAAACACCTGGAACATCTCTTTTCCAGTCAACCACATGGAGGAACTGGAACTCACATCACACCACGCGGAATCCGTTCCTTGATACAGGTATGCGGAAGACAGACAAGCGCCCAATCCAAGCAGAACGGAGGGGGACACGAGGGAGGGGAAAGCAGGCTTTTTTGTCTTCACCGTAGAAGATTGGAAAAGAGCCTCTGTAAAAGTCTATCGTGGCCGTCGCGCGCGAAAGAGAGAGACTGAGAAAGCGATTTGGCTGAGAGAGCTGAACGGCTGGAATGGTGGAGTGCTGATCGGGTGCGGATTAAGCTCGCGACAAACGTCTGATTACTATTCATTAAAAATCGACTGTATTCTATTGATTGAGTACGCTGTGCCTTTGGAAACAATTACTTGGATATCTCATTCAACATCGAATGCGGCTCAAATTAATGGCCAGGATATCACCCAACCACCTCTCGATGGTATTCCCGACCAACAACAAAGGGGACAAACCAGGAGCAGACGCGCATAAGTTACCCAAAAGCCTCGTGGCAAAACGTGACCTAGCAAAGTCTAATTAAGCAGAGACTTTCTCCCCTCCTCTTGGTAGCGCCGCCGCCCTCAGCAGGGAGAGGGCGATAACGAGAAAGGCTTTCTCAGGTCCCGTCGTCTGTCCCTTGATCATTTGTCATGATCTGGTACGGGCCAGCCCAAAACAGAGCTAGCTTCGGCGTAGACTGATTCATGGGATCAGAGGGTCATGATTTCGGTGCCTGGTTTTGGGACCAAACGGTCAAAAAAGAGAGAGTCTAGAGCAGTGCGGTTCCGATGGATGTTGGTTCATCGGCCAAATGACCTTTTTCTCTCTCTGTTAGCGGAAGTAGGAGATGGGAGTGGGGGACTGAAATGCGGAAGATGCACTGCCTACTGCCAACAAAAGCGCGTTTGACATTGGAGCGAAGCGAAAAAAAACCCTTGGCACCAAGAGTGACCTCGATCGCGATCATCGTACGACCCCGTCGTTCGGTCAGACGGGGAGGGTAGCAGAATGCGGAGACGGACGAGTTGGTCTGAAAACTAAGCAGGGGCGGTGACTGAGTGGGATATGTAGTTTTTTACCTGTCGAGCTGGTGATGTCCACACGAGGTGTGTTGCTAGACCTTTTGGAGGGAGAGGTCCCCTGGGACGCATCTACCCGCTGCCACGCAGTGACATTTCCCTCGCAAGAGATTTGATCTCTTCCGCCTCGACCTTGTTTACACTGTTCAAAAAACCTCGACGCCTTCGAGTGCCGACAGATACAGAGATGCGATTGGCGGGACCCTCAGTTGTCCAGACTCTTGGTGGAGATGCTTGCCCCTGTAGGCTACTGACTTGGCTCAGTGGGGGAGTGAGAGATGCCCCGCCGATCTCGCCATCCAAGACCCGCATGCGCCAGCCCAGACTTAGGATGGCCTCGCTTGTCCATCCCTTACGTAGGTGACGCCGCCTGTCAAGTCTCGAGATGGAGGGCATGCTAAGGGTCTCAATGGTCCGTCTTGGTGGTCCGCCACCAGATTGGGTGTCGGTTGCCGATGATGGTGTCGATCCGTCGTAGGCCAGACATGGGACGGACCTGCTCATGTCTCTCCTTGACGTGCTTGTCTCTCCGTGGCACCCTACCCTTTGTGCGGCATCATCATCATCCATGTCTTGTCTTGGTCTGCCGTCCTAGATTGTTTCTCCTCTTTCCCTCTCTTTTCTTCTTCCCTTTCTCTCCCTTGCTCCTAGTAACCTATTGTTGCCCGTCCATCAAAACGGCTTGTCCTCACCTTTGGAATTCTCCCCTTCTTCGTCCTGGAGACGCACATTCGTCCACCACCTTTGCTACCCTTGTCTCTCCCTCTCTTCACTTTAGGTCCTCCATCCAACATCAGCGGGCGTATCTAGAGGCCTCTTACGAGAGAAACCAACAATCCGTACGTCTCGCCGAGTCTCTCCCAGAGAAAAGAGACGGTGTCACAGCTTAAACCTCACGCCTTTCCACTCCCGGAAGGATCCTTTGCCAACCAAACAGAGAGACACCCATCTTTCGGCCGGCGACAAGAAGAAGAAAAAAGAGAATCAAGCAACGACAGGAACGGAAACGGAAACTCAAATCTCTTCCGGTCTAGGTCAACTCTTTTTTGTCTCTTCCCACGCGGCGGGAAACCTCGCTTCTTCGGGCTCTGCACGCCTCTAGTCTCTCGGGACCGCTTTGGCTTCTCTTGGCTTTCGGGGCACGACAACACCCCCTTTGGCGGCCATCCCAAGATTTTTCCTCTTTCTTTTCGATTATACCCTTGACATGTCCCTCCTCTAACCTGAGGGGTCCATCTTCTCTCTTTTCTCTTCACTCCTCTGTAACCATGTTATTGCACATCAGTCAACTTCATTCGGCGTGCCCCTTGTTATAACACACCCCACCAGGATCGACGACAAGCAAGCATATCAAGCAGTGAAACCGACACGAACCCGAGGGGGACCCGCAGAGTTGATTCACCTTCACCTCTCCCTTTTCATCGACGACATCTATCATGCCTCCGTGGCCTCGCCACCAGGCCACGGGGTCTTCGCCATGGGACGTTGCGATGCCGCCCATTGAGGCGAGAGCAGTCAAGTACTTCACCATGGCCGTCTTGACACCCAACCAAACCTACATCCTCCACGTCGCGACACTTGTTGTCGCATCTCTCAGTATCTCTGCCACCATTCTCACCTCGATATGGTTCTTTCGCATGAGGAGGAGTTTTCGCCATGAGTGAGTCTCAGTGGCCGCTGTGTAAATCACTGCTAACCGTCGTCAGTCTTATTATGCTGCTCATCTATAGTGACATGTTCAAGGGGTTCTGGCTACTCCTCTTCCCTGCTGTTGAGCTGGTTGCGGGAAAGATCGAAACAGAAGAGACATTTTGCCAAGTCAGCGGCTTCTTCCTCTCCCTGAGCATCGAGGCTTCAGATGTTGCTGTATCTCTCATTGCAGTCCACACAGCATTATACATCTTTCGAGGAGAACAGGGCCTGTACCCCTTCCGGAAGATCGCCTACGGCCTTGCAGCAGTCATCCCCGTCGTTCTGGCCACCATTGCTTTCGTTAGTAGCCCCGGATACGTCAACACCGGCCTATTCTGCTACCTACCTTTTAACCCCATGTGGAAGCGACTCGCCTTGTCCTGGATTCCTCGATACCTGGCTTTCACTGTCATTCTCGTCCTCTGCGTCGCCATCTACATCTACGTCCGAGTACTAATGAGTCGGTTTGGAGCGGCGGGCGACGACTCCAGCAAGACCCTATCAAGAATGTCCAACCTGGACAGCGCTGATCGGCATCGACAACTAGCCGCGACAGTGCATGCAACTCCAGTCATTATAAGCCACGGACTCATTCCTTCGTCCATGTCTTCACGCCGAAACTCCATCACCGTCTCCGAAGAACGGGGTCGCAGACCCTCTCTCGCAACGCTGAGCACTCTACACATGGATATTCCTATGGTGTCGCATCCTAGCAGACTTCACTCTGCTCGTATGGCGCGAAGGGGCTCTGCGCAGATGTGGTCAGCTCAGTTCAGCACCGACCTAACGGGCACAACTCTATCGGAGACAACTCTAACGAGGCGGCGATCCGAGTCCGACTTTCGAGTCTCGATGGGTACGACTCGTTGCGGCTCGGACGATGTCATCACGCCCATGGAGATCCATACACAGCCGGACCTCTTCCAAGAGGCACCTCCTCCTGAATCCACAACTCCTTCGAATTCCGCAGAAAGCCCAGGAGGTTACTACCACAAGTCGGCAGACGCATCCGCTGTGCCGTCGCGAACACCCTCTCTCCCCAATCTCTTTTCCATGCTCCGCCGCGAACGCAGCAGCGCTCGCATCCCTGACTACGACGTCGCTCTGTCCCAGGGGGACTTCAACACACCCGGTACTGTAAAGACACGCGAAAAGATTATCCGACAGCTTCGTCTACTCTTTATCTACCCCTTGGTCTATGTCGCAGTCTGGATTCTGCCATTCATCGTCCAACTCACTGGATACGGCAAGGGTGCGCCTTTTGGCATGAGATTGGCCAGCATCATCTTCTTGTGCTCCCAAGGTCTCGCAGATGCCATTGTCTTTTCATTAAAAGAGAAGCCTTGGAAACACGGCCAAGCCGTCAACCTCCAGAGTCTCATGTTTTGGAAGCGCCAAAGAGGTGTGCCAGACGCAGGCCCCAGAGTCGGACGCACAAGAGAGGAGATGATGGTCGACGGTCGATTCGCAAGAATGAGACGTGACCAAGAAATCGCAGCCAAGAAGCTGGAGCGAGAGGCCGACCAGACTGCAACGAATTCAGTCAGTAAACCCAAGATAACTCCCGAGTGGTGGGACAGCGAGGATTGAATCGAATTGAACTAAGGAGAGGGAGGGGACATTGGTTTAATGGGATGAGAGTGGAGGATGATACCCAGGCTTGGAAGAGGATAGAAAGGCTTTGGGATATTTTGCATTGACAGGCGTTACAGTTGCAGCATTTACAAACAAACGATTGCATTTGGGTGGCGGCGCTGAATAAATCAAGTTGGATGCTTATTGTTTCGCAATGGATACATACATAGACGGGTATCACAAGCAATTGATGAGTTTGGAGCATCCTTTCTTCTATAACCTCGTAAATTCGTGCATTACTTCATAACGACATGTATATCTCTTGGCAAGCTCCTCCTCTTAATGCTTAATGTATCCCCCCTGGTCGATATGCGAGGACAGGGGTGGTGTCTAGCCGCAATAATTCACCCCTCCCTCATGAACTTGAGAAACGCGCGGGCAATGGCCACACCGTCGTGCGGGATGGGCGCCCTCTTCATAGCGTCTGCGTACAGCTCGTCGCTAAAGATTCCGACCGTGTGTCGGTTAAAGAGAACCTCGGATATGATCTCGTCTGTGAACTCGGGGTGACCCTGCACGCTGATGTATCGGCCGGGGGAGTAAAATGCTTGCACTTCGCAGATGGCGTTGGAGCCGAGGGGGATCGAGTTGGGGGGGAATTCGGAGACGATGTCGCGGTGCATTTGGTGGATGCGCTGTTGTCGCAATTGTTAGTGTAACCGTCGCACGAGAAAACGGGTATGTATGCATCCTTACCATCTTGTCCAACCCAAAGATCTCTTTGCCCTTGGCCGTCAAGTCAACCTCTGTCACGGCAACCTCCCAGCCCTTATCACTCCGTCCGAGTTTGGCACCAGCAGCACGACCGATGATCTGGTGGCCGAAGCAGATACCCACGACGCGCACACGGTCCGTCTCGATGGCCTTTTTCGTATACTCGACGAGCTTGAGGATCCACGGATCATTGTCAAACGCCGTATGCCTAGAACCGGTGATGAGGATGGCGTCAATGTCCTCGAGCGCAGGATACGAGTGAAGTTCGTTGACAACATCGTATCCCTTGATCGTCACAATCTCATCCAGCTTCTGAGGCGGCTTGAGCGAATTGGCAGCCGCGTTTAGCAGAGCCGTAAAGACACCCGTATATCCGCCATAGCGATCGCGAGTCTGCGGCTGCGGCGTGTCGGCCTCGAGAATGGCGAGGCGCAAAGGAGCGGCGGATCCCATCTTACCGGCGTCACGATAGGTAATGGTATAAAAAAGAGCGGTCGAGGTTACAAGAAGGAGAAGGAGGAGAATACGAGGTTTCCGCGCGAAATACAGAGTCATGGAGTTTTACCGGGAGATGGATCCATCAACTGGATCCGCCCTCTCTTCTTACCACTCACGCAAGCACAAGCCGAGGGCTACCTCCAGTGTCACGCATACAAAGACGCGCATGCGTACAGTAGTCAAATGCAATCCCAGGACCCTTGAACACCGATAGCGGGGGGGGGTTGTAAAAGGTAAGAGGCGAGATAAGCGGGCAGAATTGCGAGATGGAGGGGCAAGCTCATGATGCTTCGTCATTTGGCGGTGAAGAGTGCTTCTGCAAGTAAGCCACAAGGATCCCACTTCGAGTGACAGGTTCTGTGGCTGTCGGAAGGCGCCGAAAATGGTTGGGTAACGTTTAACGAACAGAGGCTCAACTTACAAGTTTCATCCTACGAGGGGGTGGGCAAGCAAATCTGAGTTGTAACTTTTTTTACGAGTGGATAACCTTGATTTTCTTTTCCTTTTATTTCTTCTTCCCTTTTCTCCTTTTTATACTGCTTCTAACTTGAAATGCCCATCTTACTTCAGCCTTCAGTCGTGACTATGACGTCGAGACTATCCCTCAGTGCTTTTCTTGCTAGGGCGAGGACTGCCCTGACGGCTCCAGCTGCGCAAAGAAAAGGACCTCTAACTTTTGTCGTGGGAAACGAATCTGCCGGCGAGTATAACCTCATTCGAATGGTGACACAATTCTGACATTTTTCTAGATCTCGACTCCCTTTGCTCAGCGGTGGTCTATGCCTACATCCGCTCTCATACCCCTCCTCACACCCTACACATCCCCCTCTCAAACCTGCCCCGCGATGACCTCGCCCTGCGCACCGAAATGAACGCGGTGCTTAAGCACGCCGGTTTGAACCTCACGGATCTTCTTACTCTTTCTGAGCTTCCGGATCTCAAGCCAGAGGAGACCCGCTGGTTGCTCGTGGACCACAACTCCCTCACCGGTCCACTGGCCAAGTTTTCCGGACAAGTGTTTGGATGCGTTGATCACCACGCCGACGAGGGTGCTGTACCGAAAGATGCTGATCCGAGAGTGATTGAGCCTTGTGGAAGCTGCATGAGCTTAGTCGTGGATGAGAGCCGCAAAGTCTGGGAAGAACTATGTCGTGACGTCGGCGAGGATGAAAAGCTCGCCAAGATCGGTCTAGCAGCCATTCTCTCGGATACAAACAACCTAACCTCAAAAGAAAAGGTTCGCGAAAAAGACACCAAAGCAGTTCCCTTTCTCGAATCCCACATCCACTCGTCATTCAGCCAGAAGACCTACTTTGGCGAAATCTCCGCCGTCAAGGAGGACATTTCGCACCTCAGCTTCCGCGATATCTTCCGCAAGGACTACAAGGAGTGGGACGGTTCAGGCCTAAAGCTCGGCATAAGCTGCGTTGTGCAGAACCTCGACTACCTAGTCGACAAGGCCGGTGACCCTCAAGCCCTGCTGCGCGACTTTGAGGCCTGGGCGCGTGAGCGCAAACTCGACGTTGCGAGCATCATGACCACATCGCACCCGGACGGCGAGTTCCAGCGTCATCTGCTCGTATGGGGGTTGAGCGATGGGGGCCGCGGGGCAGTGGAGCGGTTCGTGAGGGATGGAGATAAGCTGAAGTTGGAGACGTGGAAGGGAGGCGAGTTGGATGATGGCAAGACGAGGTTTGCGTGGAGGCAGAGGGAACTAGCTGCGAGTCGGAAGCAGGTTGCACCGTTGTTGAGAGAGGCTCTACAAAAGAGCTGACTATCAGGGTGTCAAGGAGGTTCCAAGATATAAGCCAGATACACGTTTAGTAGACAAAGAATTGAACAAATCAGTAACCGTATGCATTGAGATGTGTTGTTACATGGTTTCATATGTTGTACATGCACACAAACGCCTGTGACCTCCCATATGGTCATGCTATCCGTACCAATCCAACATCATTTTCAAGTCAGCCCATCATTGGTGCAACGCACCAGACTCTGATTGAACAAGGCCAGCCCTCATCAGCTCGGCCCGGATTGATTCCACCTCCCGCATCACCTTGAGAAACTCTCTGTTCTCGAGACGACGACGCTGGACAGGTCGAAGGTTGATGAGCTTGGTTTCGCTCGCGTTATGCATCCAAGTCAGCGCACCTGGGTCTGCAACCGTGAGGCACGCCTTGAGCGAGTCGTAGAGGGGGCTGACGAGCAGTATGGGAGGATCTTGGCTCATCATTTCAGGATAGACCCAGCGCAAGGCGGCGATGCACATCTTTTGGCTCGACGTCAAGGCCATGGCTCGGTAGGCTAGTTCGTAGTGTTGCGATTCCCTGGCCATTTTGAACCTAGGCGGCATGCGGAACGCGTCCCAGAATCGGTCCCAGTCTTTTTGGTATGCATATGCGTTCATCAGTCGAAGCACCTGGTCTCCGTTAAACTGGCATCCCTTTTGCTTCATCAGATACTCGAGATTCTTCTGCGCCCGTTGAATCTCCAGACCATAGCATGGTGAAAGAAGACCAGCCTCGATGAGGGTGACAAACATTTCGTCATTCCAAATCTCCATACCCCGCTCCTCAGCCGTCAGGAGAATCTGATCAACGAGGGACAGTCGGTCCTTGGCGGCGTTGTTCGGGGATGGCGTCATCATGGCTCCCTTGATGAGATTATATAGCATTTCCTGTGTCATCGGAGTCCCTATAAGCTGGATATCTTGAATATGCTTTTGGACCAGGGCCAAATCAAGGACCACTGGCTCCTCAGCGAACTCTGGCTCCTCGTTCAGAAGATTTGATGCTGGTTGTTCTCGTTCCAGAGAAGGGGAGAGTCGTCGTGCACTCGTGGAATAGCTGCGATGTTGCTGTGATGCCTTTTGCATGGCTTGCCATTGGAGGGCAGACGCACTGCTAGGGAGTTGTATCTTGGAGGCCAGGACCTTGTTCAGCTCCTCTGCATCCGCAAACTTCTCACCCCTGGCCTTCTTGTTTTCTTGCAAGTTCTTCTTCAAAATAGCCTGCCATAGAGTCTCCAGGTCAAGCTCTCCTCGCCGAGCCTCGGTCATGCACTGAACCACAACTGTGGTTCCTGTTTGAGGGGCACCAAAACCGGAGAAACGTCCGCTGTCGTCGAAACTAGCCGCCTCGTTGATGTTGTCGCCACTGGAAGAAAAGTGCACGCAAACCCAGCCCGTCGAAATGCCGTTGTCTCCGCCAGGAATGATGGCAGTGTTGGTTCCCAGCAACTTGGCCTTCTTTCGAAGTCGACGGAGCTTGGTTCGTAGTTCGCCAGGCCCAATCAAACCATCCGCCCTTGCAGCAATGCTGTGGTTCTTTCGTAGCCATCGCACAAATCGCCCCGAGGAAATGTGAAGGTGTCGCTCACTACGAGCAGTCCCAAAGAGCATGATCAAGTTGGGACCAAGTGCAGCTGGTGGATCGAGATCTCGTAAATCCAGGAGTGAGATATCATCCAGACCCATGTCCTCAAAGATGTACTTTATCATGGGTCCGATGACTTCGGGCGCATCTTCGGGAATCTTGGGTAGCTCGACCTTGTGTTGACTCTCGGGATGGCGGGGCGGTTCAACTTCGAGGAACCAGGGCACATCATCGGATTCGGCTGTGTCTTTCGTCTCAGGAGCATTATCGGGAGTGACCAAGACCTCGGCGACCCTTTCACCCTTAGGCTCGATCGTTTTCTCCTCTGAAAAGAATCTCCTCGTCAAGATCGGAAGCTGTCGTGCCTGTCGCTGTGGGAGAGTGCGCAAAGAGCTGGCTGTCGGCCTCGAAACAACGGCGCGGAGGATGGCGGATCGGCATTGCCGGCAACTCAATGCCGCAGCCACGGGGCGAGTAATCATCTTTTAAGTTGGCTCTCGATCCCAATTCAGATGCGAGAGCTCAACGGCAAAGAAATCGAGAAACCGAATCCAACTGAAGCCTCAAGCTCAAATTCGTCAAACCCAGTCGGACGGAAGTGGGGAAGAGCGTTGATAGTCCGAGCTCTCGGCTTCTGGAAAGGCGGCGGGTGGAGACTGGTCTCTGATCCCGCCTGCGCACGTGACCCTTTTCTACAACTCGACAGACGCCCAATGGATAACCATTGCTCAAAACTCTACAAGACTCTGGGAGACACAAAACGTTAGAGAGAACTTTTGCTCAAATTCATCTCTACAACTCATAGGATCTTTACTACGCAGTAGATACTCTCTATAGCTGATTGCAGCTTGGTCCAGCTTGATTTTTCAAGCTCCACTCGACCAAGCACATCCCGATCCTGACTAAGCAGTGGCCACCCGCCTGCCCGTCCCCACTAGCTGTGATTGAAGCGAAAAATTTGGGAACTTCTCTTTTCTACTTCATGCGACGGGCAATAGCGAGGCCGCCCCGAACTGCGACCAGCCCTATTCACCATAATCATAATGCTCGCCCGACAGATTCGGAGGGCGATTGCCTCTCAGCGGGCTGCTCCAACACGACCAATTGGGCTGTCATCGCTCCAAACGACCAGCCTTAGAAGATGTGTCGTCACGCAACAATACCAGCCCCGAAAGCGCCGAGGATCAGAGTCCAACCATGCGACCATCCATGGCAGGAGTCTTGCCACGGCTGTCGACGACTTCAAGTTTGGCAATTCTCCTTATGGCGACCTCAACCAGCTCGCTGGCTCGGGCCTGCAACCCTTCCGGACATCACCTACCGAAGTCCGCCCTCTCGACCCCTCCTCATTTTTGACCATCCCGGAGCCACCCAGTCGCCGACCATTTGCCAAGATGAACGCCAAAGGCATCCCTGCTGAAGCTGAGGAGATGTTACCCGTCTTTGATGCCTGCATCAATGTGGGCAGACTTGAGAGAGCTGCTCTGATCCTGAAGCGGATGAACCTGACCGGCGTCTTGCCAGGTGAGCATCGAATTATACTCCACAACCAGTACCTTCGCGCATCCCTCGACCAAATGCGAATGAGTCCCGATCGAAAACAAGCCGAACAACTCCACAAATGGTACGAGCTCCAGATACGCAATCAGGGTATGCCGCAGACCGCCGAGACCATCGCCTGTATGCTCAAGGCTTCACTTCTTTCCGAGCGGGGAACAAGACTCGAACGTCTCATCAACCGATACATGAGCATGGCTCCCGGCGAAGCTGGTCTGCGCGTGCTGAGCATGGCCGACATCCTCACCGATCAAGATCTGGGCATCATCACCGAGATATGCCCTACTTACAGCTTCGCTCCTGAATCCGAGGACAGTGACTATGTGACCATGGTATCCGAGGACCAGGACTTTGCAGCTGAGGAGGGTCTTGAAGAGGAGTTGGACGCACAACAGGTCGGACCCTACCCTGAGGTCAGACCCACTCCCCAGCGTGGAGACGGTCTGCAAACTCTCAAAACTGCTCTCTCCCTCATGCATGAGCTCCAAGATGTCGACATCTCCAAGCTGTCGGTTGAGGAGCAGCAAGAGTTTCAAATACGTCTAGAACGAGATTCTATCGACGCTGCAATCGAGAAATGGCGAAGTGCCAAGAAGAAGATGGACAAGATGGGCATCAACACTTCTCTCAACGTCAAGAGTGACGACTTCAATGTTGGCGACATGCTACATAATTGGCTGACGCAAATGGAGACACGATTGAGACAGGAGATTAGCAAAGTTGAGGAGTCGGAGGAGAGAGAATCCAAGACGGAGGAAGACTTGGAACGCTGCATTTACGGCCCCATCCTTCGCGCGGCCAACCCTACTCGACTGGCTGCCGTCTCCATTCTTGCTGTGCTCAATAGTGGTGCAGTAATGGGCTTGGATAAGGGTGTCACCATGATCCGCCTTGTGAACGATGTTGCAAAGGTGGCTCAGGAGGACATCCGAGCTCAGATTGCTGATAACGCTGCAAAGGAACGTCGACGTCTGCGTAAAGTCAAGTATACCGCAAACCCCGACGAGCAGGTTGAGACGAGCGAGCAAGCCATCATCGCCGATGCCCACGAACCACTCCCAGAGATTGATGATGATAGCGACGCGAGAAAGGTGTGGTCGACCACGGTCAGGATTCGGATCGGATCTATTCTCGTCAAATCCTTGATGGAGACTGCCGAGGTCAACGTGATCAAGCAGAACCAGTTGACTAGGGAGAAGATTAGTCAAGTCCAGCCTGCCTTTTCACATATGCACGCGATGCGAAAGGGCAAAAAGATTGGTGTCTTTGCCTTGAACCCATTTCTGGTTGAGCAATTCAAGCGCGAACCAGTCGGGGATTTCCTCGCCAAGCATCTTCCTATGATCGCTGAGCCCCAGCCATGGAAGAACATGAATACTGGTGGCTTCCTACAGAGCAAAGTCTCCCTGGTCCGTATCAAGTCAGGAGACGACGAGCAAAAGCTATACACAAAGGCAGCCATCCAGCGAGGCGACATGGACCAAGTCTTCAAGGGATTGGACGTGCTAGGAAAGACCCCCTGGAGGATCAACGACAAGCTCCTGGATGTCATGGTGGAGGCATGGAACACAGGCCATGAGATTGCCAACATACCAGCGCTGAACCCGGTGCTGCAGTCCCCCCCTGAGCCAGAGACACCCGATCCCCTCGTTAGACGTACCTGGATGCGCGCTCTCAAGTCGGTCGAAAACCACCGGTCCGCTCTTCATTCCCAGAGATGTTTCATGAACCTCCAGCTCGAGATTGCAAGGGCCTTCCGCAAGCAGGTCATCTACTTTCCCCACAATGTCGACTACCGAGGTCGTGCTTATCCTCTTCCAACCTATCTTAACCATATGGGAGCCGACCACATGCGATCTCTCCTCAAGTTTGCAAACGGCAAGGAGCTCGGCGAGACCGGTCTCAGGTGGTTGAAGATTCACATGGCCAACGTTTACGGGTTCGACAAGGCCAGCTTTGACGAGCGAGAGGCCTTTGCTACAGACAATCTTGACAAGATCATCGAGTCGGCCACAAACCCTCTCCACGGAAGTCGATGGTGGTTGAAGGGCGAGGACCCTTGGCAATGTCTGGCTGCTTGCTTCGAACTGAAGGCCGCTCACGATCTCCCTGATCCTACAAAGTTTGTGTCAAACCTGCCGGTCCACCAAGATGGCACCTGCAACGGTCTCCAGCACTATGCGGCTCTCGGTGGTGACACCTGGGGTGCTCAACAAGTCAACCTCATGCCAGGCAGCCGGCCGGCCGATGTCTATTCGGCTGTCGCTAATCTGGTCAGGGAGTCGATTAGCAAGGAAGCCGAGAGCAAAGAGGCTCTTGCGGAGATTTGCAAGGACAAGATCACCCGCAAGGTTGTGAAGCAAACTGTCATGACCAACGTTTACGGAGTCACGTTTGAAGGCGCCAAGAAGCAGGTCGCCAAACAAATCGATGCCCTATATCCTAACCTGCACAAGGAGAGTGGGATCCCTCATCTTGTCGTGGCAACATACATTGCCAAGCACATCTTTATGGCCCTGGCAACCATGTTCCGTGGTGCTCATGACATTCAGTACTGGCTTGGTGAATGTGGTGGTCGAGTGTGCCGAGCCCTGACTCCGGCTCAGCTTGACCAGATTGCGGAAGAGTATCAGAACCCATCCGACAAGGCAACCGCCAAGGTAAGGGCAAAGAAGCCGGCCAAGAATCAACTCGAGGAGTTGTCTGCCCAGTTCCGATCCACTGTCGTTTGGACCACGCCTCTACGCATGCCAGTCGCGCAGCCATACCGCAAGTCGTACATGAAGGAAATCCGTACCTGTCTGCAGTCCATCTCATACCCGGCCTTCGACCAGACGGACCCCGTGAACCGGAGGAAGCAACTTCAGGGATTCCCTCCCAACTTCATCCACTCGCTAGATGCCAGCCACATGCTGCTCTCTGCGCTCAAGTGCGATGAGCTGGGCCTCAACTTTGCCGCCGTCCACGACTCGTTCTGGACCCATGCTGCAGACGTGGACGTTATGAACACAGTTCTGCGGGACGCCTTCATCCGAATTCACGAAGAGGACGTTGTCGGCCGCCTGGCCACCGAGTTCAAGGCAAGGTACAGGGGCGCGTTGTATCTGGCCAACATCGACGCTGACAGCCCCGTCGCCAAGAAAATCAAGGAGATACGAAAGAATGGCAGGATGAACTACAAGGAGGAGCTATTGCTTGAGCACAAGCGCAACACACTTCTTCTTTCCGGCAATCCTTGGGATGTGGAGGCTGCCAGCAAGATTGTCACGCCTGCCTCAGTATATGAGGAGATGGCTGCAGCCGAGGTCGACGTCGAGATTCAGAAGGAAACCCAAGAGATTGGGGGTCTCGGGGATATTCCAGAGGGCGAAGTCAGCGCACTCGATGAAGCTACAGAAGTGGCAGAACTGAGCACTCTCGGCAACAATTTTGCCCAAGCGCTCATGGAAAACCTTTCAACCACGGCATTCGAGCACCAAATCGTCAAGCAAAAGAAGCGCGCGGAGCAAAATGTCAAGAAGGTCATTCCTATCTGGCTTCCACTCAAGTTCCCTGAACTTCCCCAGAAGGTACGGCCAACTTCCAACCGTGTTTTTCTTGATAGACGTTGGATGCTAATTAGGTAACAGGGCGACTTTGATGTGACGCAGTTGCGAGAGAGCAAGTACTTTTTCTCTTGACTTTCGACGGGTTATTAGCATTATGACTCTTAGTTAGACTCGGGCATGGTTATCGCTAGGCTGTCGAGTGCTGAGAGGTTATCACGCCATGTATCATCACGTGTGTATGACGGAGAGTTGGCATGAGGTGTTTGGGGTATTGCAGCGTTGAATTCTGGCGTTCTTGAAGAGACGGGGGATCTTTTGAGCGACACCTAAAAGTATATGTATAGAAGCATGAGGCGGCCGAGAGCTGCTCGTTGTATATTACTGGACATATTGATGGATCTGGACCAAGGGCGTCCGGATGAACAGAATCCAATCAAGATATAAATCAAGTCACAGTGCTGTATAGCTCATTGAGTGCTGTTGGGTATCAGGGACGAGCCTCTGTGCCTTGCAATCACATGTCAAAGTCATCAAAATGGAACAGAACGTTGGTCTTGAGTGAATACGCAGATTCTATCTCGGTCTACTTCTTTTGGTTCATCTATCTATAGATCTTTATACAATCCATCTCTTTATCGCACAACGGCATCCTTGAGGCTGGGAACAGTGCAGACACCACCGCTCTCAGTGACAAGACGGCCCTGGCCAGTCTTGCCAAGCTGCTCCACAACACCAGCATCGAAAGCAACCTCGAGGGAGTCGGTGGTGGTGAAACCAGGCTGGAAAGTCTCCCAGATCTTCTTCTTGGGGTTGAGCACACCCTCGGGCTTGCCCTCCCAGCCCTCGAACCAGACACGCTCGCCGGCCTTGGCGCCCTCGGGAGGAGAAACGAGCTCGACGGGGCCCTTGTGGTCATCCTCACCCTCCTTGACCTTGGGGGAGGCGGCGAGAACCATGGCGCACGACTTGATACCTCGCATCTTGACGGGCTTCAGGTTGCAGACGACGACAACCTTGCGGCCTTGCATCTCCTCGAGGGGAATGAGACCGTTGAGGCCGGAGCAGACGGTTCGGCAGATCTGGCCCTCGTACTCGACGTAGTCGTCGTTGCCGGGCTGGTCACCAACAGCAATGGTGGAGACGTAGAGGGAGTCGGCGTCAGGGTGGTTGATGGCCTTGAGGATGTGGCCGACACGGAGGTCAATCAGGGCAGGGGAGAGAGGGGCAGCGGGAGCGGGAGCAGCCTTTTGCTTGGGGGCCTTCTCCTTCTTCTCCTTCTTGGGCTTGGCACCAGCAACCTTCTCCTTGGCCTCCTCAACAACCTCCTTGACCTTCTCCTTGGTGCGGTCGACGAGAGAAGCCTCGCCACCGGCGGCGGCGGCAGCAGCAGCCTTCTTCTTCTTCTCCTTCTCGGCCTTGGCGTCGACGAGGGGCTTCACATAGAGGACGTTGTCCTGGTCAACCTTGACCTTGTCCTCATCCTTGACCTCGAGGCCGAACAGAGTCGAGTTCTGAACAAAGTCGATGTGGCGGACGATGTTGGGGTGTCCCTTCTCTCCGGTTCGCTCCTCAGGTGTCCACTTTGCAACGACGGGAGCGAGGGTCTCGTAGATGGCGACGTCGGCCTTGGAGGGCTTGCTGCCGAGGAGGGTGGAGCGGCTGGAGAGGTGGTCGTTGAGGGTCTCGAGGATGGAGGATTTGTCCTCGTTGGACTTGAGGCGCTCCGAGGTGGTGAGCCACTGCTGGATCTCGGCCTCCTCGGTGGGAGTGTAGGTCTGCGAGGCGAAGGAAGCCATTCTGAAGGTAGTGAGCGGGCGGAGGGGTAGGCTTCGAGTAGCCGTGCGGAGGACGCGAAGGGAGAACAGTGTGTCTGGAGAAAAAGAGGAAGCTTTTTTGGCTTCGCTCAGGGGCTAAATGAAGGAGAATTGTTCCAAGTAACAACTAGACGAGAAGATGATTGTTTCAAGTGTTGGAGTGACTGTTCAGGTCTCCCGATAATTTTCATGGTGGGGGAGGGGCAGTTGGAGGAGGTTTCTGTGGCTAACTATATGTGGCGCATGTGGAGCGTGGCTGAAAAGTTTGTTCCTCGCGCTAACCCGTGACTGCGCTACCTTCTCGCGTCGCGGTGCGTCACGGCTTAACGCGCCACGCCCTTCATTTGACCCTGGCACTCTGATTCCCCCTGTCAACGGCCTTTGCGCAAACAAACGCTCGATTGGAAGCGCTCACGGTCAATTGTTGGAGTTTTGACTGCCCATTAGCGTATTTCACTTTCTATAGACTCTTGTTAGGGTTATTGCTTTGTTAATTCCCCCTCTTTTCTCATCCACCGATCCGAGGAGCAGAGTCCAAGACATCATCGCCGAAAACCTCACTAGTGGCGATCGACAGGCAGAAACTCCAAGCCCCTGAGCTTCGAGCTCGCAGCCTTTTTCTTTTCTCATCTTTCTCCTCCGTTGTCGTCTCTTTGACGAGTCTTTTTCCATCATGACAACACCAAGGTCTCCCTCCGAGGCCACGACCTCCGTTCGGTCCACCTCCCGCCTACCTACCAGTGTTCCGAGCTCCCCGCCGCCTCCCGAGTCACCAAACTCCACCATGAAGCTCGAGGACGAGATCGACGATGCGCTCTTGAAAGAAGAAGAAGCTGCGCGAGAAGAGAACGAGAAAATTGAGGAAAGGCGACGCCAAGCTCTGCTCAAGAAACGTAGGAAGAAGAAGGCAGAGACCAAGGCCGAGAGAGAGATCAAGGCGAGAGAGCTCGATGACCTGTTGGCCAAGAGTGCCGCATTTAGCGATATTCTCACCAAAAAGACACAAGTTCTTGGACGTGTCGGCAGTAGTCTTGACGGCAAGACTCTGGGTGAACACAATCTAGAGATGGCTGCGCAGCCAAAGTGCATGGTTGGCGGCACCATGCGCGACTACCAACTTGAGGGTCTCACATGGATGTATGAGATTTGTTCGCAAGGCATGAGCGGGATTCTTGCTGATGAGATGGGTCTTGGTAAGTGCTCATGGTTGCGACGATCCATCAGAGCTAACTCGTCGCAGGCAAGACGGTGCAGACCATCTCTCTGATCGCGTTGCTGAGGGAGCAAGAGAATTATCTCGGCCCTCACTTGATTGTCGCGCCTCTAAGCACACTCTCGAACTGGATGGATGAGTTTCATAAGTGGACGCCCTCGATCCCCGTGGTCATGTACCACGGCAACAAAGAGCAAAGAGAGGAGATCTTCAAGACGAAGATGATGCGACACCTTAAGAGTGGTCGCCCGACTGAGAAGTTCCCAGTTGTCTGCACGTCTTACGAGATGGTTCTCAGAGACCAGCACAACCTGTCGAGAGTCAGCTGGGAATTCATCATAATTGTGAGTCGTCCTTGTGACTGCTGTCTACCCATACTTATTCGCCTCCAGGATGAAGGCCACCGCATGAAAAACGCGGAGGCGAAGCTATTTCAGCAGCTGCGCCAGTTCTCTTCAGCCACCCGTCTCCTCATTACGGGCACCCCGCTTCAGAACAACTTGAAGGAGTTGTGGTCGTTGCTTCACTTCCTCCTCCCAACCATTTTCACCGACTGGGAAGCGTTTGAGTCGTGGTTTGACTTTTCTGACCTGGAAGATGAACGTGGCACAGAAGAGTTCATTGCGGACCAAAAGAAGCAAGACCTTGTCAAGAAGATTCACCTGATTCTTCAGCCGATGCTCTTGCGACGCATCAAGCAGGATGTCGCGGCCTACCTCCCCAAGAAGCGGGAGTATGTCCTCTTTGCGCCGATGACGAAGGAACAAACCGATCTCTACAATGTATTGACCAACAAAAAGATTGACACAAGAAAGTATCTTGAGGACAAGGTCATGGAGAAGATCAGCAACACTCCCTCGTCGACAAAGCCCAGCCGAGGGACATCGCGATCTACCAGCAGGGCGCCCAAGACCAGGTCACTCCCCATTCGCGAGAGCCCTGTCAAGAAGCGGGTAGAGGACAAACCCGCACCGCCAGTCGTTAACAACGCCTTCGCCATGATGATGCCAAAGCGTGGCCGGGGTCGCCCACGTAAGAACCCAGTGCCTGATACAGCATCGCCGACCCCCTCTTCTGCCAGCAAGAGAAAATCCCCTCCAACATCAATCAAGTCGGAGGCAAAGAGTGCAAAGTCTAGTCGTCAGTCGACGCCAGTCAGCTTGCGAGGAAGACCTCGAAAGACGCGAACGTACAAGGACGCCGGCTCTGACGAGGAGGCCATGTCGGATGATGAGTTTGAGGCCAAGCTTGCTAAGGAGATGGTTCCTGAAGACGTTGACAACAACGCCGAGACGTCCTTGACACCCGAGGAGATGGAACGCGCTCAGACACTTGAGCTTGCCAGTAAGTCCACTGTTACCAAGATTCGATCAGTGCTAACCCAAGTAGAAAAGCAAATTGCTCAAAAGAAGCTGGGCAACCCCTTGGCTCAGCTCCGTCTCGTGTGTAATTCGCCACATAACTTTTACAACCCGTGGAACGCATCGAAGGATCTTACTGTTGACGATTCAATCGTTACAGCATCTGGAAAGATGCTCCTCTTGGACCGCCTCCTGCCGCGGCTGTTCCAGGATGACCACAAGGTTCTCATCTTTTCACAGTTCACGACTCAGCTGGACATCCTTGAGGATTACTGTCGGGAGCTACGTGGCTGGAATGTTTGTCGGATTGACGGCTCAGTCTCGCAAGAAAGTCGCCGGACCCAGATTGCGGACTTCAATACCGATCCAGAGTACAAGGTCTTTCTTTTGTCTACTCGCGCTGGCGGACAAGGCATCAATCTGGCGTCGGCGGACACTGTGATCCTCTTCGACTCTGACTTCAATCCGCAGCAGGATCTTCAAGCCCAGGATCGCTGTCATCGCATCGGACAGACTCGTCCTGTCGTTGTCTTCCGTCTCGCAACCAAGGATACGGTCGAGGAGTCTCTCCTTCTGTCTGCTGATGCGAAGCGACGTCTTGAAAAGCTGGTTATCAAGAAGGGTGGCTTCAAGACAATGGGCCAGAAGATGGACCTCCGTGAGGACCTGGACCCCGAATCCCTCCGGGCACTACTCCTGAAAGACGGTGAAGTCTACAGGGTCTCTGGCGGAGAGGAGGTGTTGAGCGAGTCCGACTTGGACGTGCTATGCGATCGAAGTGAGGAGGCCTATGCCAAGGCTGCCAGCGGCGAGGGCGATGCAGATGGTTACCGTGTGGTCGAGACTGGCGCAGACTCGATCAAGATGGCAAGAAAGAACTGAGTACGGAACGAATATGTGATGGATCTATTGCTGACATGATTGTATGATATGAGTCTGCGGATATACATGGTTTGGGTTGTTCACAGGGCGCAAAGGGTCCGAAACTTTGCATTTTTACACAGTTGCTATACTTGCTAACGGTTTTGGAACTATCGATAGCCTCGGGATACAGGCTCTGGCTGGGATCATTGTATTTTTAAACATCACTTACTTCTTTTTCTTTACACATTTGACTGTTCTCACGTCCTGCTGCTCAAGAGGCACCAGCAGTCCAGCATACAACATTAGACGCACCTCTTTCCACACACAGCTCCTGAGTACCCCCACCATATGTTAGCAACCGTAATAGCAGCAGGTAAACATCTCCCTCCGCGAAATAATTCTGTCAATGAAGTAATTGTCATCGAACAAGATGGGCTTGGCTTCAATGTTGCCAATCCCAGTATGGTCGGTACGTACCCACAAGTGGGGCTATCGGTCATCGGCCTCCCGAAGCGCCGCCCATTTTCCAAAAAATTTCCAGCGACAGAGACTCTCTTGCTCGCGACTCCAGATTTTGAAGGTTGAGAATTCCCCATCCTCTTCCCTTGATATCTTCAATATCCTCCACGAATGGCTCCCAGCGCGCGAAATTCCGGCCGCGCGGCCAAGGTTCAAAAGAATGGTCGTACTGAACAGCGACAGCAGAAGCGTAAGAGGGAGCAGGAGGATCTTCAGCAGCTGGAGCAGAGGGTGATTGACTTGGTATGTTTTGGGATGCCCTCATTTGACGGTTTGAACTTGACTAATAGACTCGTTAGGACCCCAAGTCGGATGCCATCAAGAACTTTTCACATCTCCCCCTCTCCGTACCGACCGCGTCTGGCCTCGAGGCCTCGCATTTCCAGGTCCTGACCGATGTCCAAGCCCAAGCCATTCCCCTCGCCCTCAAGGGAAACGATGTCCTCGGAGCCGCCAAGACAGGCAGCGGAAAGACGCTAGCCTTCCTGATTCCCGTCCTCGAGAAGCTCTACCGCGCACAATGGACCGAGTACGATGGTCTCGGCGCCCTTATCCTCTCCCCCACCCGCGAACTCGCCGTTCAGATTTTTGAAGTCCTACGAAAAGTTGGTCGAAACCACGTCTTCTCCGCAGGTCTCGTCATTGGCGGAAAGAGTCTCAAGGAAGAGGCAGAGCGATTGGACCGCATGAACATCCTCGTCTGCACCCCCGGCCGCATGCTCCAGCACCTCGACCAGACGGCCGGCTTCGACGCAAACAACCTACAGATCCTGGTACTCGACGAGGCGGATCGCATCATGGACATGGGCTTCCAGTCAGCTGTTGACGCCCTCGTCGAGCATCTTCCCAAGTCGCGACAGACTCTCATGTTCAGTGCGACGCAGAGCAAAAAGGTTTCTGATCTTGCGCGACTCAGCCTCAAGGATCCCGAATACGTCTCTGTTCACGAAGCCGCAGCGAGCGCAACCCCTACGACCCTTCAGCAACATTACATTTCTACGCCTCTGACCGAGAAGCTCGATACACTGTATGGTTTCATCAAGGCCAACCTCAAGAGCAAGATCATTGTGTTCTTGAGTTCTGGAAAACAAGTCCGATTCGTGTACGAGAGTTTCCGTCATCTGCAACCTGGTATTCCTCTACTCCATCTCCACGGCAGACAAAAGCAGATTGCTCGAATGGAGATTACGTCAAGATTCACCGCTGCCAAGCACTCGTGTCTGTTTGCTACCGATGTCGTTGCGCGAGGAATTGATTTCCCTGCTGTCGACTGGGTCATTCAGGCTGATTGCCCTGAAGACGTCGACACATACATCCACCGAGTTGGCCGAACAGCTCGGTACCAGAGCAATGGTCGAGCTGTGCTATTCCTAGACCCGAGCGAAGAGCCTGGAATGCTCAAGAAGCTGGAGCAAAAGAAGATCCCCATACAAAGGGTAAATGTCAAGGAGAAGAAAAAGAAGAACATCAAGGATCACCTGCAAAGCATGTGCTTCCAGAACCCTGACCTCAAGTATCTCGGTCAAAAGGCTTTTATCAGCTACGCCAAATCCATCTACATACAAAAGGACAAGGACGTCTTCAAGTTTGACAAGCTCGACCTCGACGGCTTCGCTGCTAGCTTGGGTCTTCCCGGAACGCCGCAGATCAAGTTCCAGAAGGGCGACGATATCAAGCGGATAAAGAATGCCCCTCGCGCAGGCATGTCCAGCGACTCCGAGTCTGACGAGGATCTGGATGGTAAGAAGAAGAGCAAGAAGAACGAGGTGCGGACAAAGTACGATCGCATGTTTGAGCGAACGAACCAAGACGTCTTGTCAAGTCACTACACAAAACTTGTCATTGATGGGGACGACAAGAAGGGTGAGGACGATGAGGAGGGCGATTTCCTGTCGGTGAAGAGAGTTCTCAGGGATGATGATCTTGACGAGGCTTCCAAGGACGCATACAAGAGCACAGCAAAGATCATTGAAGGTCTAGGCGGCGAAGAACCCTTCATCGTAGACTCTAAGCGTCGCGAAAAGGCCCTCAAGTCGAAAAAGAAGATGGCCAAGTTCAAGGGCAACTCGACCAAGCTAGTGTTTGACGAAGATGGCAACGCTCATGCCGTGTACGAGCTCCAGGACGAGGACGACTTCCGTCAGGAGGGTCCCGCGGAGGAGCAGAGACGCAAGTTTGTCGAGGACGAGAGTACGAGAGTCAAGGAGGCGGATGTCGACGACAAGGCTCTTGCAAAGCAGAAGCGTCGCGAGAAGAAGGAGAAGAGAAAGGCTGCGGAGAGGGCGGAGCGTATGGGTTTTGTGGACGACGAGGATGCACCTATGCTACAAGCCGTCGACGACGGACACGATCCTTTGGAGTTTATGCGGTCTCTACCTATTGCTGGAGAAGATTCGTCATCGGAAGAGGAGAGGGAACCACCGAAGAAGCGGGCCAAGAAGTGGTTCGAGGACGATTCCGAGGACGAGGAAAAGAAGAGCAGGAAGAAGGGCAAGGGAAAGGGAAAGGTTATCGAGATGGATCAGGAGCCAGAGACTCTCGAGGATCTCGAGGCCCTTGCTACTGGGCTGTTGGATGGTTGAAGAGAGAGGAGATAGGTTCGATACCCTTTGGAGCCTTGTGTTTACGGATAGACAAAAGTTGCAGATTACAATTGCACGAGGTTGTTTCTCATGGGCATGTATTCATCTGTCGTGCATGTTATTGTTGTGGTTTCTTTAGAGAGGAAGGCAGATATTCAGTCACAGCAATATTCAAGGTCAAAAGCAAATCATCAATACTATTCATCAAAAAAAAACCTATCCATTCATACCATCCAGCTCCGCGCTCAGCAATGCCGACAAAAAAAAAAAAGGGTACCAAACGCATATATAACCTCCCCCAAAAGACAAAAAAAAAAACAAGCAAAAGAACTCCCCTTACTCGTCTGCCCGCCTTCCAAAAAGTCTCACCCTGTAAAAGCAAGTATGAGTCTTGGCACCATAATTGCTCACAGCACGAATAATAACATGATCCGTCATGGCGCCCAAATCTTCAAGTTCCGGGCTGAGATGGTGGATATGCACGCCGTTGTGCAACTCATCGCTCTCGTAGACAAACTGGCTAATCTTTACGAATGAATCCTCAAAGTTGGGAGGGGTAAAGTCCCAGTCTTCTTTGTTGTCGGGAAAGTGCGTTTGTGAAAAGTCGCGCACCTTTTCACGCTCGTCGGCTTCGATGTTGGCCCAGACTTCGATTTGGCGGGGACGGGCTTCGGGGTCTGTTGTTGCGCCGGGGAGGATGTGTTCGATGACGACTTGTTGGGGGACCATGAGGTGGGCGAGATGGACGGCGATTGAGGCGCTGTGAGCGTTGCCGCGATGGTTGATAGTACGGGCAGCGCAGTAACAGTCTCCTTCGTCCTGCCAGGGGTGAAGTGCCACGATGGGAGGTAGGGGGTTCACACCAACGAGGCCCTTTTCGTAGGCCTCGACAGAAGCAACCCCCTTATTCCACGGATCCCATACCGGTGCCGTGCGTTTCGGGTCAATAGTAGCACCAGCGCCTACTCCAAAAAAGTTGACCTGGTTCTTGAGCACGGCATCCCAATTAACCTTGATCTCTCCCTTGGCCACGGCCTGAAGACTCAAGTCAGCCAGAGCCTTCTTGACAATCTCATGTACAAGTTTAGAGATCTCAGTCTTGGTGACCTGCTTAGGGGCATCAAAGGTTGCAGCACGAATCATCTCCTTGACACGCTCATCCATCTTTGTTCTCAACTCCGTCATCTCAGCAGCGATCTGCTTCCGATGCTTGGTAAACTCGCCCTCAACCTGTTTGAGAAACTGCTCGCGGGAGACGACGGCTTGGTTCTTCCCCTTGAGCTGCTCATTGACAATCTTGGTGAGTCGTTCGTCGAATTCGCGTTCCGAACCAGCAGACTGTCTCTTATCCATTGCCTTGTCCAGAATCTCCTGAATCTTGTTGTCGTTGTTCTTGATCCATCGATCCCACCATCCAGAGAGTTTACTCTCCACTTGTTCAGCAGCCCCCGTGGCGCTTTTGTTGATGGTTGACGTAAACGAAGGATCTTTGGTGAGCCGAGCAAGGAGTGCTTGCCACTGTCCATCAGAAGAGACCTCAAGGTTACCATTCTTCTTCTTCTCGAAACTCAAGAAACTACCGTCCGCCTTCATGAGATCTCGGAGAGCATGCCAAAATTGCTGCGAGATGACGGGTTTCCCACCCTTGGTGTCCATGTGGACGATGTGAGGGACTATAGCCTCCAGCTTCTTGATGGCTTGCTCATGGATGTTGTCCTTGTCTTTTAAAGTGCTGACTGCCTTTTTATAAGACGCCAAGAACTTTTCAAAGGATCCGGATCCGCGCTCTTCTGGCTTATCCCAAATATTGGGTTCCTCATCCGTGCTCCAGGAGGGCATTGACGGGATCATGTTTCCAATCCTCTCAAAGAAGCCGGAAGAACTAGGCCAAGGAAGGGTACCCGACGATCCCAGACCTGGGAAGCTTGGTACTGACGGCATAGATGTTCCCATTCCCATATGTATAACGGCGCCGCCAATCAACAAGGCAAGAAAAGAAAGCATGGTCCAGTACATGGTCAAGCCCGTCTGAGAGCCTCGAAGTTGAACTCCACATACTCTGTTGATAAAATTGAAGATGTAATCCATCAACTTGTCGGACAGCCACTCCAAGGTTCGTACGTACGTCATGGGATGAAAGATCCGCCACAATTGCACGGCAGGAACATCGTGATCCTCGTCAAAGTCGTCAAAGTCGTCCAAGTTGTTCCGCTGTCCCATAAATAGGCGGAAAGGCCAGAGCGTGAGCACCCAGGCGATTTGTTGCTGGAACCACTGCTTCCACGTCTCGTGTTGAACAACGAATCGGGTCCGGGTTTCTCTCTCTGCTCGTTCACGAGCGACTTGGTCTTCGACGTCGCGAATCTCTTGCTGGATTAAAGAGTCACGTTCCCGCGGATCAATCGGAATCTCGTTGGCCTTATCGAACGAGGTGATCCTCTTGTTGATCTTGTCGGCTTGTTCAAAGAGCCCCCTTTTGTCTGACCGATGCTGTGGTCTCCTTTGAAAGGTTCCCTCCGATTTCTCAGACGTCTCATCGGATCCGTGCCTTGGTCGACGGTTGGCGGCCACTCTATGCACACCTTGCAATTCCGCTTCTGGCTCTAAACCGGTTGCTTCCTCATACCCGCTCTCGTCCTCTTGGTCTTCTTCCCGAGCAGTATTTCGCGCTGGCAATTGGTTTGACCTTGTCTGGCGCGTTCTACTGGGGGCTGGCGTGTTGATCTTCTTTCCATGATTGACAACATTTGTCGTTCTCGGGTCCTCCTCTTCTTCGTCTTCATCTGAAGACTGGTAAGCCGGTCGCAGTCTCCCGGTGCGCGCAGGTTGTGAAATACGTTCCTCGGACACATCTTTTTGTGTCCTAGCTGTTTTGGAGGTGCGTTGTCTTGTTTGGGGACCTGGAGTCAAAGTAGGCGCGGATCCTATCGTCGCATCTTCGTAGTAGTCACTTTCCATACCAAAACTTCGCAGGCTGTCGGCGTCACTACCAGCGACAGTTCCCCGAGGTAGACCTCCAGCGCTTAGCCGGTTTCCATCTGAGGCACGTTAGAAATGATATACCAGGTTTTTTCACAACAATACTCACTATCACGAGAAGTCTCCTCATCTTCCACGGTTGCAGCCCGAGGTTTTGGCGGTCGCACAAACACATCGGTGTCATCACGCTTGGAGAGGGCCTGGTTGACGGCGGTGCTGATGTCCATCCGCTGAAAGCCAGCGCTAACTCTAGGCGGCGGCTCAACACCAGATCCATAGGTGTACTGTCTCCGAGAGCTCGGAGTACCTTGCAGCGGCGGCAGCTGAGGTCGTATCAGGGCGTTTGGGGACTCGTGTGTAGATGTCTGCTCCGGTTCCCGACTGGCGAACCGGGGACGTCTACCGGCGGCTGCTCTGGGAGGCATGAGTGAGACAGGGTGTAATTTTTGGTCGAGGTTGAGATGAACAAGGGATTGAACAACAAGATGGACTTGATGTGAAAGGAGTAAGGCCCTTTTGTGTCATGAACAGGTGCCTGCCGCTATCCTCGTGTAAAGGCAGTCCAAGCAAGGGGTGTCGTCGTTCTTTGTGCTATGAGATGAGAATAGCAACCATGAGAAAGTTGGATTGCCGAAAACGCAGCACAATATGCATGCAGGTGGCCGACTACAAGTCCGTTCCCATCCAGGTCCTGCCAGACAAAGACGGTTCTTTCAGTGCGCCAGCTTGGGGCTGGCCAATGTCGAAGTTCAGTTGCGCGCAAGTCACAACAAAGAAAGCATCATGTTGGTGGTGGCGGGTCGACTTGGGGAAATTCTCACAATGCGGTGAAGGTGCGCGACTTGGGGGCTCCGAAACTTGCGAGATGGAGAATGAAAAAGTCTCTTTCTTTAATCCGAAAATGATGCAAAATCTCGTCGCTTCTTTTTTTCTCGGTCGTATTATTCGTGATCGTCTGTGAAGGTGTTGAGGTGAATGCGCCTGGAGACGCGATGCGCGCCGAGGATTAGGCGCCGCGAATTGAGAGGCTGGCGTGATCACGTGTTTGGGCGATGTGAAGTGACGCCAAAATGGCCGCCAAGTGTTGGGACCATGAGGAAGACATGACGGTTTGTGGTGTACGTAGAAAAAGATTTTTTTGTTAGAATCGTCCAAGCAATGGATATGTTGGGCAAAAAGAGACAACCAAGGTCTCGAAACTTGCAGTCAAGTACCTCATAACATGATGTGCCAAGTGACGGCATAACCAGTCCACTCGGCGTCAAGTTGTGTGTTACTCTACTCGGCGGAATTCATTCAAGTCTCATGTCAGCCACCAGATTCAGGTTCTCGTATCAACTACTACTAGCCATCTATAGAAGCTACAAACTCTCTCCTATAGCCGGGCCAACAGAAACAACACAAGCTAACGTTCCCATCCCTCATCATGAACCCCCCCCTGCTTGGCAACGGCGCCCCGCCACCCTCAAACCCAGAATCGTCATCTCTGACTGGCTTTCTCCGTCCAAGCAATCAAAGCGTTGCTCTGACGCTCGTGTAAACAGAGTTACAAGATAATGAGGCAGAAAACCCCTGACCATTTTCTATATCGTTCTCTGTCCTTCTCATCTCCTCGCCAACCCCGTATTAATATCCATTAATTATAACACGACGACTCGCCGCCTCAACAAGCATCCATAATAATCTCACCACCACATCCATCTCTTTGTTAATTAGACCCGCCACCCCCAACCCTTGTCCTACCCCCCATCTCCCTCTTCCTCTTAAAAAAAAGTGCCCCGCCATCTCCCTCACCTCCTTGCCTTAAACCCCGCCGCTTCGCGCATCCATCGATTCTTCCCGTCCTCACCGCAAACTCTCTCCCATCCTATCGCTCATATAACAAAGAAATTGACAATGCCTGTTGGAACAGTTCTCGTCACTGGGTACGCCACAATCCCCCTCCCTTGCGACCCTTGCGCCCCGTTTTGCGCCCTTCTCGACTCTGTCTTTGTCCTCGTCGCAATCTGATTCCCCTCAGACGCTGCCGCGCGTTGTCGTCTCGTCTCAAAGAAACAGCCCATTGCTAACCACCTCATTCTTGGATCTTGCAGTGGCACTGGCTACATTGGCTCCTTCACATCTCTTGCCCTGCTTCAGCACGGTTACGATGTTGTCATTGTCGACTCCCTCTACAACTCGTCCGAGGTTGCCCTCGACCGCATCGAACTGCTGGCCGGCCGCCGTCCTGCCTTTTACAAGCTCGACGTGACCGACGAGAAGGCCCTCGACGAGGTCTTTCAGAAGCACCCTGCCATTGACAGCGTGATTCACTTTGCTGCTCTCAAGGCAAGTTGTCTGCTGTCCTCCGGTGACGCCCGTTAACACCATCCGCAGGCTGTCGGCGAGTCCGGCGAGATTCCCCTCGAGTACTACCGTGTCAATGTCGGCGGCAGCATCGCTCTTCTCCGCGCCATGGAGCGCAACAACGTCAACAACATCGTCTTCTCCTCCTCCGCCACCGTCTACGGCGATGCCACCCGCTTCCCCAACATGATCCCCATCCCCGAGCATTGCCCCATCGGTCCTACCAACACCTACGGCCGCACCAAGTCCATGATTGAGGATGTCATCACAGACTTTATTAACGCTCAGCGCAACAACCTTGAGAAGGCTGGCAAGGAGTATAAGCAATGGAACGGTGCCCTCCTGCGATACTTCAACCCCTGCGGTGCTCACCCCAGCGGCATCATGGGCGAGGATCCCCAGGGCGTTCCTTACAACCTTCTCCCCCTTCTTGGAAAGGTCGCGACCGGTGAGCGCGAAAAGCTGTTGGTATTCGGCGACGGTAAGTTTCCTAGTCAGGCACAGCCTCTTTCTCGCGCAATTCCTAACATGGGTTAGACTATGCCTCCCGAGACGGCACCGCCATCCGCGACTATATCCACGTTGTCGACCTTGCCCGTGGTCACCTCGTCGCTCTCAACTACCTCCGTGAGAACCAGCCCGGTGTCAAGGCATGGAACCTGGGTTCCGGCCGTGGCAGCACCGTCTTTGAGATTATCAATGCCTTTAGCAAGGTTGTCGGCCGTGACCTCCCCTACCAGGTCAACCCTCGACGACAGGGCGATGTCCTCGATCTTACCGCGAACCCCTCTCTGGCCAACAAGGAGCTGAACTGGAAGACGGAGCTCACCATGGAGGAGGCTTGCGACGACCTCTGGCGCTGGGTCAAGAACAACCCTCAGGGTTACAGACAAGACCCTCCCGCGGAGCTTCTTGATGCCATCAAGGCCAAGGCTTAAAGCGATGCGATGATATAGGTCACGTCTGCGAGCAGGCCTTCTCGCAACTTGGGTCTAATAATTCCGGTGGTACATGTTTTTGGATTGAATGGTTGAGCCGTCCATAGCATTTAGACTTGTAGCGCGTTCAAAGAAAAGGAGCAAGGCTAGATTTAATCACATTTTATGAGCAGCTTGCCCGTCGTCTTCCGGCTCTCGATGTCCTGGTGCGCCCGCGCAACATCCTTGAGGGGATACACATCGTGGATCGCAACCTCAAGCTTCCCGGACTTGAGCTTGTCAAAGAGCTCAGTGGTGTACTTTTCCAGACTAGCTCTCGGCGAGACGTAGACATTGACGACGGGTCGCATCAATCGGACGCACTTGGGGGTGAGGCGGAGGATGTTGACGGGGTCCACGGCGCCAGACTGTCTTGTTAGTCGCGAACTCCAGGGCAAAGGGTTCAACTTACGGCATTTCCGAACGAGATAAGGCTGCCCTTGGGCGCAATCATTTCCAGATCAGCGTCAAAGGTGGCCTTGCCAACGCCGTCAAAGATGACATCAACGCCATGACCACCGGTGATCTCCTTGACCTTGGCCACCACATCGTCGTGCGAGTTGATGGTATACTCAGCACCGTTCTTCTTGGCCAAAGCGAGCTTCTCCTCCGAGCTAGCTGTGCCGATGGTCTTTGCGCCAACCGCGCGCAGCAGCTGGACGAGCAGAGTACCGACACCACCGGAAGCGGCGTGGACGAGGACCCATTGGCCGGCCTTGACCTCACCAGCCTCACGGATGAAGGTCCAGGCAGTCAGACCCTGAAGGTACGCAGCCACAGCCTGCTCATTTGAGATCTCATCAGGGATGATGATGGCATCCGCGGCGTTGACAACACTGTACTCGGCATACGCGCCGACGGTGCCCATAAAGACCACACGAGCTCCGGAAGGGAAGTTGGACACGGAAGAATGCGAGTCAACAACCGTACCAGCGGCTTCACGTCCAAGAGTCAGAGGGAAATGCGGCGCTTTGTACAAGCCGGAACGGAAATAAGTATCGATGTAGTTGAGACCGGCAATGGAATTGCGAACGAGCAGCTGACCCTCGCCGACCTTGGGCACAGGGATGTCGGTGTACTCAAGAACCTCGGTACCGCCGTTCTTGTTGATCTGAACGGCCTTCATCGTGGGAGGAATGGGAGCCATCTTGACGGTGGAGAGATGGGAAGCGACTCGGGCGATGCGCTGCACGGGAATGAGATGTCTTGCGACTAAGAGTGACGAAGGCCTGAGAAGTGAGCGGCGAAGTGGCGAGGCAAGCGACTGGGCCATTACCTATGTATAAAGAAACCTCGAACGAGTTGAGAGCAAGTCGGAAGAAAATCGGCTTGAGACGGTCTTCACGATAACGGCCACGGGTATCCACGCGCTGGCGGGGTCGGGAAAGGTTCCATGATGGCGGGGTAAAAACCCAATCGTCTGGTGTTTCTGCTTAGCAATCAAAGACAGGCACGTCATGCAAGGCGGTTTCGGAGGCGGAAGTACGGCATTGTGCTTCTTGTTTGAGTATGCAGTCTTGTTGTTGGGATTGTTGAGGTTGGATATATGTAGAGGAATGGGTTTAGTGATGAATAATTGTAGGTGCTAACAGAGATCTAGTAATCCAGTTTGAATGCTAACAGCATCAGACCTGAAGATCAGACGACCAGGGTGATTGGTATATAATGGGAACAATATCTCAAGAGGGATCTAACAATGGAACATGCGATCAGGTCTTGCAGGTTGCGTCAGTGAGTTCACCAGCATGGCTCCATTGTGGCTTTGCAAAATACCGCTGGTTATTCGAGGATAGATATGGAAAATGTGCTGGCGATTGTCAATACGCGGATACCATTGAAGTGACAGGGTATCAAATGGAGCTCATCCAGAAACGTGTGATGGAGGTGAGAAATCTACCCATCTGTGGAGAAAACCATAGTCTCAATGTCACGTATTGCAGAGACAAGATGCAAGCATAGACAAGCATTCTAATTGCAAATAGATAACTCTAAAGAAGTTACACATTTTTTACAACTCAATCCAGAGCCCGTTGTGTTACTCAAGGAGAAATACTAGAGGTGGATTGGAGCACAAAGTGACACTTGTGGTCAGACACATGGTGGACAACGGTCCACGTGTCGACGTTGATTGAGTAAAACCGAAAGAATATTTCTTCCTTTGCCAAGATGCCCTCAGCCATCATGTGACGATTGCAGTATCCATTGAGGTTGGGTTTCTCGTAAAATCGGTGAAACCATTGTCGATATAGGGTATCCGTCAGGACAAACATTACTGGGCGGACAAGGCTCAACCCCAGCATCAAAGGATCAGTCAGTCGTCAATTCTCCAATGACAGTCAATACTGGAATCCTTTGCTGTTGAAACGAACCGAAGGATACGAGCTTCCATCTAGGCATCTATTTAACAGCTAAACGAGTGTAACCAACTACAAAAGTCCGCTGTCGATAACCGAGACGGTTCAAATTTGCAGAGGTTGCGCCAGCATACGCGTAACCGCCTCGTAAATGGCCCCAGAACGTGTGCCCGGCGGGATCCGACTAGACCCCTGGTCTATTCTTAGCCCTCGCCCGAATGGTTCTCTTTGGGGTCTAGCGATCGACGTCAAGGTTTCTCGAGGCAAATAATCAAGCGGTTTCATGTTGCTCCGCGTGCCAAAAAAGTGTGTTTGATGTGATGCTCACAATTTGTTGATCAAAGATTCGTGTCGTTCGCCATTCATAGTGGAGGTCAGCCATGGATGTCACAGAGTGGCAGTGCAAGTTGAGCCGCGACATGGCCGGGCATTTTGCCTTGGGGCTGAGCACGGAAAGTTCGCAAGCTGTCCTAGGGGCGAATTAAAGAGTGAGGGGTTCTGTTAGAGATTGGTTACGCTTTACACCGTTTGAGAAATTAATTAATAATTATTCGACGTTATTCGAGTCTCGAGCTGAGCATCCAACGGAATTCGAGGAGACGCGTGCTCTAGCGCTAACTCTTGGCGCTGCCTCCACCATACGTCACTCCTCGCGGGTAGCTTTTAGGCCCCGTCTGTGACATGAGGCCCTGAGTCGTGGGGCACTGACACTCTGCGGCTGTGGCTCAGTGGGGCTCATGGCCCGCAACCCCAGGCAGCTGTAACGAGATGAAAACAAAGGCTCCAATTGCAGGGCCTGTTTAAAGGGAAGGAGGCACCGGGGAAGCTCTTGCATATTGGTCTCGAGGTCCCAGCCTTACCTATGAGGGGATGCGTAGCTTCAGGACTTCTTCCATCTCTTTTCTCAACTTGGACCTGTATTTTTACGTCGCCTCGACATCCTCCGCCGTCGCTCCAAAGCTTGAAGCCTCTCGCTCGTTATTCTACTGAGCGTCGTCAGCTTTCCCGACCTTCCGCCACATAGGATCACTCTGTTTCACGACGCCTGGAGCGCGAATTACCCTGATCAGGCCTCTGCCTGCAACGGTGGACAACTTGCAGCCCTGCATCTTCCAAATGACAGCTCCAAGTTGAAGAAAACATGCACCAAACTCCGGCCGACGCCCGCCAGAGGCGCATCATTCAGCTCTCACAGCAATGGGGTTTTACCTTTCCGCCTAGCGCACCTGCTCCCCTTGCACGGCCCCAGCAGCCGCCCTCCTTCAGAACCCAAGCCGACGATGAGGTCGCCGAAGGCCTATTGCAGAGGAGATGTGCCGAAGTCGCCCAACTACGGCCCAAGAGTGGCCTTTCCCGAGCTTTCTCATCTGGCAATCTCAAGAAGGGCAAGCATTGGGACACGAAGGAGATTTTCAATGTGTTGAACTCTTGGGTTGATAGCTCCGGATCTGCCGGTGTTGCTGAAGCTCTCATCGCAAAGTTGGCTGCTGCGGGTATCGATCTCAGCGGCATGCAAACACACAAATCTGGACTATTGAATCGACGTCGCAGTTTTGACAACGGTGTCGATCGCACGCGACTGCTTAAGTCTGCTATCGAGCGAGATCAACTTGAAATGGTCCAGGTTCTCATCCCTCATGCTGACCCCCTGTCACTCGATACCTGTCTCCCGGCGGCCATCAGGACTAGAAACCCACAAATCGTCGAGGTTCTACTCAGATACGGCGCGAATGCTTCCCAAACTGCAGAGGGCCAGGATGAATTCCGCCAAGCTTGTTCTGTGCCTGCTTTATCAGGCATAGTTGCACTCATTCTACGATCAGAGGGGCGCCCATCACCAGTTTGCGTCTCACAAGGGTTGACAGATGCTGTAAGAGCCAAGTGTTTCGATACTGTTCTGCACCTCAGCCGCTCCACAGCAGATGGAAATTACAATCAAGCTGAAGCCCTCAAAATTTCGATCAACAACGAGCGAAGAGACATGGCAATGGCCATTGCCACCGGAAACAAGCCTCCTCAAAGCCCAGGCCTGGAAGAGGCATTTGGGCTACTCATCGAACACACAAAGCTGAATCCAAAGATGAAGCTCGACTTTGCCGAACTTTTACTCTGCTGTGGTGCCCAAGGCGAAATACTTGCTCGATCGCTCGAGCTGGCTTGTGAGTCTCAGTTCTTTGAGATGGCTGATCTTCTGGCCCGTTACGGAGCTTCTGTTGAGCATAATGATGCTTCTGCTTTGAAGGCTGCTGTGTCGAAGGGCCAAGTGAGTCTCGTTAGTTCGTTGCTCAATGGCTCCACTGCCATTGACCCTGCCCTGGCATCGGACTGTGTCTCTTTGATCCCACAGCAAGCACCAGGTGGCGCGAGACAAGCGTTGCTTCGTATTCTGCTCAAGAAGGGCGCCAACGGGGCTGCCTTGAACGAAAATCTTGTCCTAGCAGCCAAGTCTGGAGATACTGAATGTGTCGAGCTTCTTCTGAACCCTCACTTTCATGACCAAACGAACGGACATCCCAATGGCCACGGAAAGCCACGCATCAGTAACCGCCATGCTGTCGCGTCCCCAGATTTCCAGAATGGGGAGGCTTTACGCACCGCTGTCATGAGAGGAGACGCACATATGACCTCTAGTATTCTTGCCGCAAGGCCTTCGAATGAAACACTCTCGGCAGTTTTCCCCATGATCAAGAGCCTCCCGAACGGGGATCGATATCACATGGTCGAACTTTTCCTCAAAGGAGCATTGACTGGTCCATGTTTGCACACTGCCCTGCAAGACGCGATCAGTGAAGACCCTTCCCAGCGAGATGACGCTTTAATCAAACTGCTTCTGAAGTACAATGCGGATATCAACTACAATGAAGGAGCTGGACTGCATGCCATCATTGCACAAAAGGATCTCGCACTTCTCTCTTCGCTGATGCAAGCCGCCTCTCCCCAGACTGCAGCTGCCCGCATACAGGATGTGATGAAGGTTACCGACCACCGAGCTCGCTATGATATGCTGGCAATGTTGTTCAACGCCAGAGCAAGTGTTGGGGTGCAGCATGTGGCTGATGCTTTGCTCGCAACGCTCTCGGAAAAGCCAGTCGATATGTCCCTTCTCCATCTCATTCTGCAACAAGGAAGAGCCGACATCAACGCGCTTGAAGGCCAGATACTCCAGAAAGCCGTTCAGAATCCAGACCCAAAGGTCCTTGATACAGTTCTCAATATTGGCAAGCAGAATGTGGACACAATACCCCGTTGTCTCGACGGACTGGCGCCTCTCCCGTCCACGGACAACAAGGCTTGGAAGCTCGGCGTGATATTATCAAAGTCGGCTAGGAAACTCGACCTGAACTCTATGCTAGTTCGGGAAATTCAAGCTCTCGTTCAAGATAGCTCGGATAAATCGTCCATGTCTACCTTGTCCACGTTGAAGAAGCTGCTGGAGTGTGGTGCTGATCCCAATGCGTACCAAGCACGGCCCCTGTGCACAGCAGTTGCTGCAGCTCGAGAGCCACTGGTTGACATCATGTTTAACTGCGAGAAACCTCCAACCCCGGCTTCACTTGCGGTTGCTTTGCCTCATGCGCTGTCCATTTCGGACCCCATGAACCGCTTAACTTTCACCAAGACATTGGTCGAAGCTGGCGCCTTACCACGTGAGGTCAACAGGGCACTTGGTCATGCTATTGGCCATTTCACATCTGATTTTGCGCTGGTTAGTACTCTGGCCGGCTTTGCTGATGCCTCAGATGGCGAGGCCTTGGCCTTGGCTGTTTCGAAGGAATCACCTGAGATCCTTGATCTGCTTCTCTCGCGGACCAAGCATACAATTGATATCAGGAACTCTTGCCTTGACACAGCAATGAAGATTACGGACTGGACATCGAGGCTTGCTATTTGCAGTCGGTTGGCGAAAGCTGGGGTATCCCCGCAAGCAGCCTCCAACGCATTGCTCATCGCGGCTCGTGATGGAGACCTTGAGCTCGGAGATGTCCTGATTGCCCATGGCGCAAGCATCTCGACAAATGACGGTCAGGCCATCATTGAGGCATGTCGAGGTGGCTCCGTCGAGGTTCTGGATGTCCTTTTGAGGTCAAATGTTGACGTTCAGAAACTCACTCTTGAGCGAGGTTTCCAGGCTGCTACTGAAGTTGGAGATCTAAACAAGAGAGCGATGGTCTTTGAACGTCTCCTCAAGAGAGGCGTCTCGGGTGAAGTTGTGGACATTCAACTCGTGTCGGCTGCCAAGTCCGGCGAAGCAGGGAAAGAGATTCTGCGAGTTGTGTTGGCAGCTGGCGCGGATCCTAATTACAGCAACGGCGAAGCGGTCGTAGCGGCAACTAGGAGTGCTTTCGTCGGGAATCTTGAGTTGTTACTGGGGCTATGGCATCAGGGGAGCAACCAGGTAAGTGGCTTAGCCTTGATGCATGTGGAGTTGCTGACGCGTCTGAATAGAAGAAGGCATCACCCCCAACATTGATAAGAGCGTTGAAGGCATGCTGGAAGCTAAGTCGCGACATTCGATACCAGATTGTTGACGATTTGTTCAAAGCCGGCATGTTAGCTACCGACGAGGTCCACATCGCCTTGAGCAAGGCTGTTGGTGAGGATGAACCGGACGAAAGGCTGATTCAGCTCTTGCTTGACTCTGGAGCATCTCCCCTGACCAATGGCTGCTATGCTATGGTCCAAGCTGTCCAGGGTGTCAAGGCATCTCCGTTGAAGCTGCTGTTAGCGCGAGACATCTCTGAGCAAGACATCAACCACATCTTTTCGGGCGGTTTTACAGCCGAGAAATTCGCAACATGGTTTACCCCGGAAGGCTTCGAAGTCGCAAAGATGCTCCTGGAAAAGGGAGCAAACGGGGACGCTCTGAGTGGTGCCATGGTTATGGTGATGAAGAACAGCACCGACGAAACTGAGTCGCTGGCCGACCAATTCGTTGAGCTCTTCATTGAACATGGCGTGGACGTTGAATACGAGAATGGGGAACCTCTTGTTTGGGCGGCGTCAAAGGCCAATGCGTTCTGGACAGAGAAGCTGCTCACTTGCAAGCCATCAGCCCAAACGCTCTCCTTTGCCTTTGAACGCTTGTTCGACACGGCCAGGTCCCCCGACGAGGTGTTGAGGCTCTTTGAGCTGTTTTCTGGATACCGAGATGGTGAGGTTGGGCTGGACATCATGGTACGGAGCCCTGGATCAGAGCCAATTCTGGTCAAGGCAATCTCGCAGTATCCAAGATCATCCGAGGTCCTACAGACATTGCTGGACGCCGGATTCTACCACGACCAGACCACAACACATCGCATCCACGATAAAGTCGACGAGCCTGAAGAAGCGACGGTCTTGGTATGGGCCATTGCTCAGCCGCAGAAGAAGGTCAGCTCGAACTTGATCAAGATGCTGATTGAGCGCGGCGGTAAGTCCATGAAATCCGTGTTACGAACAAGTACTAACCCTGATAGCCAACGTCAACTTTGAAACAACAATCAGCAGGACGACACCACTGATGCTGGCCGTTCAAACTCGTCGACCAGACATTGTCAAAGAACTACTCATCGAAGGCGCCAACGTTGACGTTACCGATGCCATGGGTCGAACACCACTCTCGATGGCGACTGAGATCGGTGGCGAACTATCTACTCGAATGATGGGCAACCTCCTCGCCATTGACCAGTCGGAAGATGATGGATCTTTGCACAACGCTGCCAGGGAGTTGAATCTAGCGGCTGTAACAGTTCTTGTGGAACATGGTCACCATCCTGATTTCCCTAGCCCGCTGCACGACGGCCGTAGTGCCCTGGGAGAGGTCTGCCTCAATGGATCCAACTCGGGAGCGCTGACGGCGGACCGGGAAAAGCTCATGAATAGGGTCATGATGTTCCTGGTCAAGGCAGGGTCTGACCTGAGCATCAAGTCACATGGGAAATCATTGCTTCTTCTCTGCTTTGAAGCCTCGGACGCCCTTGCGACCACTCGGGTCTTTTTGAAGGCAGCCATGTGGAAGGAAATCAACAAGCCCTTTAATCACTACACTGATGGTGAGTATACTTACTCCCCAACAATGTATATCAAGAAGGTTATGCCCGAGTCGGATACGCGAGACCAACTTCTCGAGCTACTGCAAAAGAACCGGGCAGTGGATGTGTACTATGCGAACTCGGGAGACCAGCCAGATGATGCCGTTGGTCTGCCAGCTGATATGGAAGTCGAAGAGCGAGAACGAAAAGCTCGACTCAGGCGCATCATGCTCGAGTCGGAAGACCACGCCATTGCTCTCGCGCGGAGAAAGGAGGTGGCCAATGTGGGAAAACAAATCTGGGAGAACAAGGCAGAGATTGAGGATGCCCGCCGCCGCAAGCTTCATAATGAAGACCTCATGGCAACTCGACACAAGGCTGACCTGGAGGAATCGCTCTTTAATGCTGCGCTTAAGAGACGCCTTTCAGAGCAGCACAAGCTGACCCAGTCAAGCCTCGATCGCACAAAGGCGGTGGCTGCGGCGGAACTGAAGGCCGAGGACACACGACAGCAGAAGATGCTAGAATGGGAAACCAAGATGAACACGGAGCGTGCAAGCAACGCTCAGGCGCTCAGCAGCCTGCGGGTTAGTGAACGGGAGGAGCTGGATCGTATCGAGAGAGGATCCGATGAACGGATTAACAAGAGATTGGAGGCTCAAAAGAAGTTGGTAGAGACACAGGAGAGGCTGGCGAAGCGGATAGCCTCGGTCCCAGGAGGTGCGGATGCAAGGAGACAGATTGGATTCGTGGAGGAGGTTAACTAAGGTCCTCCATTGATGGCAGACTGAACTTGGCTTGCAAGGCGTCGGGTGTTGGAAAATTGGGCATCTAGATACCTCTTTCGTTTGTAGGAATGAATCTTGACTATATACTGACAATCTGAAACACTGAAACCGGTCAGTAACTCCGTCGCTTCTATCATAGGGATTGAATATCTGTTTGTGATGCTTCGAGGTGCGTTGACGTTCATCTGTGGACTCGACTTACAGGGGCTCACCGCCTTGGGCAGAAAAGTTGACCGCCAAAAAATTATGCGTTTTCTGCCCCTCCATCAAGCATCGCAAATCGCAGTTCAATTCTTTCACGTCGCACGCCAACATGAAGAACTCAAAGAAGAAGAGCGGCTCGTCCGCCAGCCGGATCGCCGATGCGCGATTCGCCGATTTCGAGACCGATCCCCGATTTCGGCTGCCATCGAAGAGGCAGACCAAGACGACAATCGACAAGCGATTCGCGCACATGCTCACGGACAACGAGTTTACTGCCACTGCCAAAGTTGATCGATACGGCCGAAAAGTAAAGTCGGATTCCAAGAAGAAGGCTCTTCAGAGGCTATACCGCCAGGAAGATGAGGATGAGGACGAGGAGGAGAAGGAGGAGGATATTGAGGTTGACGATGACGAGGTGGTTCAGAGGGAGCTGCGTAAGGCGCATGAGAAATACGACCCTGCGCGTGGCGGTGGCTTCTCTTCTTCCGAATCGGACTCTGACTCTGACGATGAGTCTGATTCTGATGAGGAGGAGGGTGGCGCGCAAGTTGACGCTGAGGGAGACATGCAGCGCTTCCAGGATGAGCAGAATGAGGTTGAGGCTGGAGAAGTGACGAACCGAATCGCCATTGTCAACCTTGATTGGGATCATGTCAAGTCTACCGATCTGATGGCTCTTTTCAACAGTTTCCTCCCCGAGAATGGAGGCAGCATTGAGAAGATTTCAGTCTACCCCAGCGAGTTTGGCAAGGAGCGCATGCAGCAGGAGGAAGTTGAGGGACCCCCGAAGGCATTGTTCAAGGACTCCAAGGGCGACAACTCGGATGAGGATTCTGACGAGGACAGCGACGAGGACAGTGAAGATGGAGATGAGAAGATCAAGAACGCCCTGCTACAGGAGGGCGATGACCAAGACTTTGACAGCGATGCGCTCCGATCCTACCAGCTCGACCGTCTACGCTATTATTACGCCGTCATGGTCTGCTCAAGCCCATCGGTTGCGCAGAAGCTGTATGAGGCTGTTGATGGACGAGAGTACCAGTCTTCCTCCAATTTCCTCGATCTTCGATTTGTCCCCGACGACGTCACTTTCGATGACGAGCCCCGAGATGAATGCGACAAGGTGCCCGACTCTTATACCCCCATCGAGTTTGTCACCAATGCTCTGCAGAGCTCCAAGGTGAAGCTCACTTGGGACATGCACCCAGAGGAGGTGTCGCGCAAGGAGTCTATCAACCGTGCTTTCACTGGTAAGCGCGGCGAGATTGAGGAGAACGACCTCAAGGCCTATCTTGCTAGCGACAGTGAAGACGAGGATGATGTGGAGGAGGAGGTTGCTGAGGAAGAGGGAGCGGCAGAGGATGAACCCAAGCTTTCCAAGAAGGAGTTGGCGCGTCGAAAGATGCGAGCAGCCCTGGGCTTGTCTGAGGAGCCCACCAAGTCTTCCAAGAATGCACCTGTAGGTGACATGGAAATCACCTTTACGCCCGCCCTCACAGAATCCGCCCCCAAGAAGGAGGCTGCGGAGGAGACAACAATCGAAAAGTACAAGCGAAGGGAAAAGGAGCGAAAGGAGAAGAAGCGCGAAAAGGCTCGAGCCAAGCGAGAAGGCCGTGACCCTGAGGAATCGGACGAGGAAGTTGTAGATGCGCCAGCCGCTGAGACAGAGGACCTTGGTTTCGACGATCCTTTCTTCACTACTGCCGATGAACCTGCGGCAGTATCAAAGACTTCCATTCGTAAGGAAGAGCGTCTCAAGAAGCGTCAAGCCCGCGAGGCTGTAGAAGCCGAGTCCAAGGCGCAAAAGTCACAGCTAGAAAAGGTCATGGCCGAGGACGCAGACGACAACCAAGTCGCGCACCTGGACCACTTTGACATGAACGAGATCATCAAGGCCGAGAAGAACAAGAAGAAGAAGGGCAAGGCCAAGAAGCGAGCCGAAGCCAAGGAGTCTCGCGGCGGTCTGCAGGAGGATTTCAAGATGGATGTTGCAGATGACCGTTTCAAGGCTGTGTTTGAGAGCCACGAGTACGCTATCGATCCATCGAACCCCAAGTTCAAGGCTACAGAGGGTATGCAGCAGTTGCTTGAGGAGAGCAGGAAGAAGAGGAGGGGTGCGGATGATGGTGAGGAACCGAGGAGCAAGAAGGTGAAGAAGGGACGGAGGTGAAGAGGCGGTAATATAAAGAATTGACTAGACGGTGTATGAAAAAGAAGTTTAGGAGTTTGGTGATTAACAAGTTTGGTATCTGATAGCCATGATTCATAAAGCACATACTATGCTGTGTTGTTTCTACAACGCCGCCGTCTTTTTACTCAAAACACGCTCTTGAACAAAATCCCACCCATCTACTCAGCGTCCAGAGGTTTCTGACCGCTCCAGAAATGCATCTTTCCGTAGGCGTGTGTACTCGAGGATCTCTCATCGACTTGCGGCACTCTGCAAAGAAGATTTCCATCTCGTTCTTTTCCCAGCCCATCTTGGGGAAGTGGAGGGCTCCTACGGCGGGGAAGAATTCTTCACAGGCTGTGCGGTAGTACATGCCTACCAGACGCATGACCCTGAATTTGTTAGTATTCTTCTTGGGGACAGAATAGAGGGCTGGCTCACTTGTCTTTTGGCCATGTTCCGTAAGGAAGTTTGATGTAGTTGTGTTGAATGTTGACGAACCCTGCCTCGGCGAGATACTGGCCTCCAAATACAGCGAGCGGCATGTGCATTGGTTTCGAACTGGGCAAAGGCTTGGACGAGGTACTCTGTGAAGCGTTAAGGGGCCAGTCCTCGGGAATGGTGTCGTCGTCAGTGTGTACTTGGCCATCGACGTCTTGAAGTTCCACCCAAGCTCCAGGCTTCATGTTTCTGATAAAAGTTAGAAGAAGGATCAGGAAGTCGGAGTTGGGACGGGATACGCACGCGTATGCTTGCTTGAGGAGAAGCACTGGTGACTTGAGGATGGTGATCATGTTGCGGAGGTGGACAAAGTCAAAGTCGCCACCGTTGAGCCACTCATCTTCAACATCGTCGACCAAGAATCTGGCTAGTTGGCAACATAATCACACTCATTGTACCATGACTTGACGTTTGGAGGTACCCAGCAAGGCTGAATAGGGCTAAGATCGAGACCTAGCACCTCTGCACTCGGATATTTGTCTCCCACTGCAAGTGTCAGCAAGCTCCTTTACTTAAACAACCTGTCCACATACTCTCAATAGCCCATATCCCAGTCCCAGCAATATTTTGCGGATTCTTCCCAATAGGAGCATAACACAACCTCCCATCCGTAGCCTCCAACATCATGGCATGCAGCATATCCTCCCTATTCTGCTCTGCCTCATCATTCGGCAGAGGATACCTCCCATGGCGATAACGATGATACCGACGCCCGTTTTGAAAGCTGTGCTCGTAGATGCTTGAGCCGATCGATGTAGAGTCGGAGTTTCCGGCTATCGAGTCGGCGTCAAAGTCGCTGGCTGAGAATTCACCGTCTTCGTCGCTGCCGCCCGCTTCGATTAGGGCGTTTCCGTGGAGGAGGCCTTGGCTTTGAGGGAGGGGTTCTTCTTGTTGTGTTTGTTCTGTGAGTGTTAGTTTCTATTATGAGAGTGTGGTTCCCTCGTGGCAGCCAACCCCCCTCTTGGTCTCTGCTTTGTGCTACCATACCTGGATCATTGACATCATCCTGCTTCTCTATTCGCGGACTCCCCTTTGGGCTCCCCTTTGGACTCGCCCTAGGACTTGTTCGTTTGTCACCCATGATGATGTATACTTTGCGCCCGTAATTGTAACTCCTGTAGACGCGCCGCAGGTTCAATGACGAGCGGGACGTTCCAGATAGAGAGAAGCAGAGAATCACGAGACAAACATGCAATGTCTGCGAGAAGAGGAGGTCCCCTATGAGGAGAAGTGAAACCTCAGTCCAGTGGGGCGCAAGACGCAAGAACCTGTATAGAGTATCCCCCTCGTGGATTATCCTGGTGCAGAAATGTGACAGGTTACTGAGGCAAGGGAGAAGAGGGAACATGTGTGAGAATTGAGACAAAGGAAAATAAAAAAGGCACGGAAAATGCCACTAATATGTAAAACACCACACGGAAAGACTTGCCATTTGCTAGCAATAGCTAATTGACAGTCCAAGTTGATGGCGTTCTAAGAAAGCTTGTGACCGAGAGGAACGAACCCAAGAGTCTGGGCCCGGGGCTTTAATGCCAGTCGGGACGGCATGGCGCATCTTGACAGCGAGTGAGGGGGACGGGATGCCGCGTGCCCCAGGCGATCGATAGTTTGGGTCTTCGTTCCCGGGGGCCTCGGACTCGGTAGGGCGTTGAGGGGATCTTCTGGGGCGTGCTTAACCTGGATTTCACTTGGTTTTTGGAGATTGTTGACTTTTTGGGATTGACGTTTCTTTGCGCTCGAGCCCCTTGGTAGCAGAAGTTGGACTTGATGGCTGCGATTGGTTGTTGGGTGCTGTTGGTGATGGGGGGTTGCTGAGACATTCATCTGCTGTTGGATGGAAGAGCTTTGTTGGTGATGGAGGAGAATAAGCCAAGAAGATGTGGTTGGAACCACGAAGTAAATGCAATTGATTAGCTGCATGATGGTGCAAATCCGCTGTAATAGTCTCGTCCTGTTGAGCCCTCTGATCACCAATAGAAGCAGCATGTAATTGAGACGAGATCCCTTTAGCTAGCCCTCCTTCGTCCCACAGCGCCATCCTCGTAGCTAATCATCAAAGTCTCCATCTTTGGCCTCAAGGCTGTCAGTTGTAAGCCGCCATGGATAGCGTTGGCGCTCGTGCATATCGAGATCTCTTCCCCACCAGGAAGCCTCTATCAGATCCCCGTCGACTTCATACTCTACCTGGCTCCATTGATATTCCTCTTTGACCATTCGGTCGATATCAAGATTGTATGATCGCTAGAATGTAAGCAGAGACGTCTTGGGAGGGCATTCTCCAGGGCGATCAACAAACGCTGATTCGTTTAGACTCGGCAACGCTCATCCTTTACATCACTGACGTGACCATAGGATGATCGCGGGGTATAAACCGTCAAAGGCTGTTTGACCAAGGTGAGGAGCAGATCTACGCCAAGATCTACGACCCTCTTTACCATCCCTACCACGACCGAGATCTCGGGACGTCAATTAATGTTATCTGCATTGTGGATGAACACTAAAGCCACAAAGCTTCTACTTGCGATGAGCGCAGCAAGTCCCGGTCGACGGCCTCGTTGTTCTCTGAACCTCGGGCCGGGGTAATTTCAGATGGCTTCTCTGCCGAGCCGCAGACTACGAAGTCCCCGTGGATTGGATTTGAGGCGTTAGTATGTGATCGTTGATGAAGGCCAAGAAGCGGCGTCGCATATCCTCTCGGCCGCGGGTTGAGATGGCCTCGGTTATGAGAGTAAAGGTTAAATTGAACTTCCGTGGAGTCAAGTAGGGAGCTTCACATCGTGGAACATGATGCTGGTGGATTGAATCTGGGAAGAGGCTGCCCAGCGTGATGCTCTGGCAAACGCGTGGTGGACAACAAGCCAGACTGCAGATATAGCCTCACCAACCCCCATGTCCGATATCGCCATTGGGCTCGGGAGGGAGATCAAGGGTCCGGCTACAACTTGCCGGTCAAGATGGTCTGCCAGGATAAGCAAGAGCCTCAAAGAGCCCTCGAGATGGTGTCTACAACAATGCAACTCGAAGCATGGGGAAATGACCATTGTGATTGTTAAGATGCAAACATTGAGATGGAGCTGCATGCAACTGTAAGAAGCTGGCACACCATCACGTCCTAGCGCCAAGAGATAGAAGCTCGACATTCCCAAGACGGCAATTGAATCTGCAAAGATGTGAGAGCTAAGTAAAGAAACAGCTAGACGGTGAAAGCTTGAGTTGTCATGTGGACTGTTTAAATAGACCAGGACCCCCACAAGGGGAGCATTTTCTTATCTCTCGCGTCGCATCGAGTGTATGTGCACGACATGGGCATCTCCCCACGGGAAGAAGACGACTGGTTCTGGGTTTTTCGGATAAGCGACAGAAAAAAAAAAAAAGCAGGCCAGGCCAAGGATGCGTGGGATGATGCGCAGATGGGGGATGCGAGTGGTGAGAGGTTGGACCTCCACCAGTTCGCTGCGAGACATGAGGTGATTTGCGAGGGATGGATTAACCTGACTCGCCACTAAAGACACTGAAGAAGTCTTGACAATCCGTCTCCAATTATGTACTGTAAAATACAAACAATGACCGTGTTACTGTGTTGTAGAACTGCCGCTCACCGACTTGTCACCTTGAGCTGTCCTAGCGCCATCGAGATTCTCAAGGAGCAAAAGAAGCTTGGACGATTATGGAGGGTCCCCGGGTCATGACACCCTCACAAATCGGCGCCACCATCCCCGTCTCAGCATGACCATCCCATGACGATTCCACCTTTTCCATAGTCTGTGGGGAAACGCGTGAGCCCTATTTTTCCTTTCGTTTTGTGTGAGAGCTCCAACGTCGCAACCTGTGTGTGTCCGTCCACTAGCCATAACTAGCTGATGGATCATCATGGCCGCTGCCTTGATAACGCTGCTCGCCGCTGTCGTGCCTTTTCTCTTCACCGTCCCCATCTCTCTCCTCCTCATCACCTACCTCATCCAGTCTCGAGATAAATTCGAGCTCGCAGAGAGTCCAGACACGCCGGCCTCGTCTCCTCCTCTGTCCCCCGTGTCAGACGCTCACAGTTTCTTTTTTGATGAGAGTCCATTCTTGATAGACTAAAGGTCATGCCCGCCGACTCGACGACCCCTCTGCTCCCCATCTCCACTCCCACCGCCGTCGCCACTCCTCTGTTTGCGAGGCAATCGCCCGATCCTCCTCCTTCGATCGCAAACGATGTTCAGCGCTTTGCCATCGCCACCTTTTCGCTTGTTCGTCTCCTGCGTGGTCTCTCCCTCATAGCCTACCCGCGCTTCGGTCTTTGGGCCCTCGACATTCCTCCTGATGGAAGCGCATATATGCTTGCCAGTTTGATTGGCGTGCGCGACGTTCTTCTCGCCGGTTTTCTCTACACTGCCGATACGCCTTCGGATCCGACTGCTCGTCGCGAAGTTACGCGCGCTTTGGTGGTGAACCTCCTGAGCGACGCGCTGGACGCGTTTGTCCTCATTTTCTACGCCGCGTGGTCTGCCGACTGGGGAAACCCCGTCGCCGTCATCGTTATATCTGCCGTCATGGCTATCCTCGAACACTTGACGCTCTGGAGCCTGAGCGAAGACGAATGGAACGCGCTCGACCACCGAAGTCTCGAGGATGACAAGAAGGCAAGGATGAATGCTTGGCTGAGGGAGCTGGAGCGCTGCGGACCTGAGCAGTCGATCGTTCCGCCATCGTCGCGGGCTTCTGTGCGATACGGAGCTGTGGTTTAGTGGTTGGGAGGTACAAAAGCTGGTGAGGGTTGGTTTGATATTGTTGCAAGGCGTTACAAGGAGTCTTGAACGTATCCCTCGATGGGATACGGCTGGAGTTTGGAGTCTACATACACGAACCGATTTAGCGGGATATGAGTTTGGTACTTCCCTGCGATTAATATAATATTCAAATCACCTTGCGTGTCGTAGTAATGGGGATAGTGGACTGTCGCCTTGTCTCATCTATCCCGTGTCTGTTCCGCTTGGACGTTCTGACAGCGGCGAGCTTACCATCATCAGCATGTCTCGCAAAGTTTATCGCAGGCGACGAATCAACCGCAACTGGTGCGCCATCCTCGACAACTCAAATATCTGACAGATAATATCCGGGACAGATGGTTTGGAGGACCGAGTGTTTGAGGCCATTGGCTGGGGATGGAGCCCGGTAAGTCGTCCAATGGTCCACACTGCTGTTGGTTAGGTTGCAACTGTGTTAATCTGTTGGATATACATGGTTGGTAGTGGTAGATGTGAGTGACTGAGAACTAATACGGCTGCTATTCTCCGAGAGCAAAGCATATTCGGCCCTTCAAGCCAAGCCACAAGTCATAGACGACTCCATTTACCACCACAAAGGCCCATATATCGTCCCATACATAAAAAGCGTGCTTTTCCGCGGCGAGCGATGGCGTGATATAGCACAATCGAAGCACAATCGAAGGCATCGCAACCATATCCCCACCCACACGTCGAGTTAACTGGCTGCCGCTCAACCGGCGGGTGGAGAAAAAGGGCGGTGGTTAATGTCCCGAAGAGTCTTGGAAGTTTGACTCTGCCTCTGTCAACTCATCCTTTGTGCAGATTGAGAAGAGTTTCTGAACTGACTAGTTTGTGCTCTTTCATTGTCTGCTTTCAATTGACACCATGGCGATCCCTCCCGTTAAGCGCGTGGCTGTCATAGGCGCTGGTCCCGCGGGCGCCATCGCCGTTGATGCCTTGGCTCAAGAAAAGACATTCGATCTCATCCGAGTATTTGAACGTCGCGAAGGTCCTGGAGGCTGCTGGTAAAGATACCACTTCCTTTGCCAATTGGCTTCATTAAACTATGGTGCAATTGCTAACAGTCTCAGGATCGACGACAAAGCTCAACCCCCAACAGTCTCCAACCTGTCGCAATTGGCAGACCGCACCGCAGATGTGCCTCTAACAATCCCCGAGAAGCTTCCGGCCTATGCGCCCAAGTCTTCTCAGCCGCGCTTTGAAGAGTCATCCATTTATCCGTATCTCGAGACCAATGTCGCAAGTGTGGCGATGGAGTTTACTCAGGAGCCCATTCCCGAGATTCGCAGTGAGTGGTCGGTTGGGATTC